AATAGGATGGCGTCCTGGTATCTGAGGAGCGCCAACGTGACGCACTGCGCGCGGATGATGAGGTTACGGGGGGATTACGCAAATCAACTCCGCAGGCGGATGATATCTGGACGGCAGGAGGATGATAGAGGTCATCGGCATGCGGGGAAATCTTGCTGGTTCGGAAAGATATCTATCTGCATCGTGTTCGTGCGGGTGGGCCGAGGCTGACGCAGGAAGTAGGCGATAGTGTAATCTGGGAGTCTTTCATGATTCATCGCCGCAGGCTTCTCTTGCCCTTTCAGCCCGGCTGATTCGGAGCTCTCGCAAGGGCGACCGTAGTGGATAGCTGTATATAAACCGCCGGCTGACGGTGCGATGCGGATCGCCATCCCCTCCCCCTGTCCGCTGCTGTAGCATACGCACACCGTCCCAGCGTGTGACCGCGCGTCTCACTGTCACACTTCGGCAGTAAAACACCTTGCCTCGCGTAGCAAACCTCCCCAGGCTAATCCTTTCTGGGTTCCCAGCCACCCATAACTACCCCCCAGTTTTCTCCGAGACCCACTCCTCCTCCCTCCTCCCCCATGACCCGCCACTCACTCGAGCTCGTCCGCTGGCCCTCCGGTGGCTCGCACCACAAGGAGGGGCAGTACGCGCCCTCCTCCAAGCGTTCCGACATTTCTCGGTTGCTCGACCCGGCCTACCTCCCTGGCCCCGTCGCGAGCTCATCGTATTCTTCTGGCGCGTCGTCGTCGCTTTCCCATTCGCCCACGCGCGAGGTTTACGTCGACCACCGGGGCGACCTGCACGACCCCGACTACCGCCACTTCCCTCCTCTCCCCACCACCCCAACCAAGCGCCGCTCGACGAGTCAACGCGTCCCGGCCTGGGAACGCGGATACCCGCGCACCGGGCCATACGACCTCGACGAGAACGACGAAGATGCGGACGCGTCGGACAGCGAATACGCGCAATCGCTGTCGCACTCCAGGCCTTTGACGCCTGTTCCCCGCGTCACCCGTTCCGCGTCTAACCCCGCCCGGTCACGGCCGAAGGGATACTCGACTTATTACACCGACGCGTACTACTCGGATCATGGCCACACGCATTCCGCGTCTCCGTCGAGAGTCAACTTCTCCGGTCAGCAGGGCCACCGCGAGTCGCCACTGCACCATATGCGGCACGAGTCGTTCTTCGAGTCCATAACACCCACCGGATCCTACGTTCAGGAGCCCCAGTCGTTCGTTGCCAACGAAGACGATGAGGAGGAGGCGCTCAGCGAGAAGAAGCTGCGTCGTCATCTCCGTCGCAAGTCGAAGAAGTCCAAATCCGAGCAGGACGAGTCGGACGAGAAGCCATCGACTCAACAGCCAGAGCAAGACGAAACGACGTATGTTTTCTGTCTTTGTTCGCCCGCATACGTTTTGCTGATCCGTTTCGCCAGACCTTCTTGCTCGCAATCGCTCCGTGTTGCATTCCGGGCGTTGTCTTTCCGCCTTCGCTACCGCTTGTTCCGCGCCCAGCGCACTGTGCGCCATAAAATAGGGCAGACGCGAGCTCGCGATGGCTGACTATGCACATAATCCATCCCACTCGGTCACCGCCCCATCATTGGACGCTCGCTTACGCCTGCCAATCGACTTGATCACGAAAGCTCACGATTCTGCCACTGAATCGCTGTTATCATGACGCATCATGGTCAGCGCCTTCCATCCGTAGTTCGCTAGATCCGATGTTGACCCATACTTGCAGATGCAAGAGCTGATTGTCGTGAACCATTTATTTTTCACCTATCGCTCGCATCGCAATCACGTTTTTGCTCCGGACATTTGACGATTCCTGCATGCCCCCTACATTTGTATTCCACATTCACGTTTTCCCCTCACATTCACATCACGCATCCCAACATCATGTGCTACCCCCCCTTCACGCTGCATTCGGTCCGCCCAAGAGGCGGCCGCCCGCAAGATATATTTTGCTGTCTCATTGGATTTGGTTTGGCTGCGACGCCCATTATGATGCTCTCTCATTGGTTGACGGAATGGAGACGAAGTAGGAACGACGGCCGTTGATGTCAGTGTAGAACATAAGACGATCTGTACGAAGTGGAGGATGGATACACCACTATACGGTCACGTTGAGATTCGATGCCACTCCACCTATTCTGCAACGGTAGGACGGTTAGCACTCATAGGATGGAATGCGCCCTCAAGAACTCAATGAGACGTCGATGACTCGACGCTGGGGCCCAGTCGAAGCGCTTTGTGCATGTGCTTGGTCCTGTCAGACAGGTCAGATCTCGAACGAAGAGTTCCAATTAATTGTATTTGGAATCATGCGTGATAAGCTGCTCCGATCGCCCTCGTAGTTTTTGCGACATTCGGTGCCAGAACACGAAAGACAGTTTGTTCGTCATGCAATTTGCTTGCGATTGAAGATGCCTCGAACCCTCCAGGACATTCTTTGAATACTCATGATGTTCATTGCGTTTACCACACCGGGAGCCTCGCCGCTTGCGGGCATCTGATTACAAGGTGCATTTTACGCCGGTTGGGACGATTCCACGGGATTCCACATGATGGACCACAAAGGCCTGAATCACGCACGCCTTTCCTCCGACGCCTGGTACTTAGCACCGTAACGCATCAGCCGAGCGGGTCGAGGCGGCCCGAGCGGCGTGCCGAGAGTGCTACGAAGTTTGGCGCCTGTCTCAATCGCTCCGACGGCGCATGGATCCCGACAGCAATCCGACTCCTTCCGTTCGGCCAGAGCGCCATTTTGGCGTCACATAGGAGCAAGCGAGGGAATCATGCGCGGTTTGAGAGTTTTGAGTTGGCCGCGGCGGGGGCCATGGCCGGTGGCGATGCAGAATTCATCGGCCCTTTCATCTGCGGTACACATGTAGCACAGCCTCCCCCATAGCAACTCAAGCTGCGTCTGCGACTGCGTCATCCTCTGCCAGGGCGCAAAGCGGCTGCGGGCTGATAATGCGAGCGATATCTTCCCAGGTCGTCCTGCCTCGCGTCATCGTCTGTTCAGCATGGCGGCCGTCATCCGACAGGATTCCTCAATGGCCCATACATGTGCCCTGGTTATCTTCCCCCGGCCTACGACCACAGCGGAAGTGACCGCGGAAGCGTATCTACCAAGTATATCCAACCGCCTTGCGGCCAGGCTCATATGGTCAGAGATCGATAGAGTAACCCAACCGGCGGCGGGTACCATGCTCCGTCCGTCATAACCATGCCAAAACCAGCACGGATAGCACGGATGACCGCCCTTCCTCTTGTTGACATCATTCCGTGACGATGCAGCGTCGGCTCTCGCGAGTTCTTTCATCGGCCCACAGATCACCAAATTTACTTTCCATACGCGCTTGTTCCGTCATTGTCACCGTGGCTTCGCTCCAAACGGGTTTGTTTGAATCTCAGAGGTATGGTGGTAGAAACTCGTCCGAATTTCAGCCAGTTAGCTCCCTGCGGCACATGTGGGCTATCCGAACTTGGACCATCATGTAACTTACCGGCTTCCGGGAAGGCACCGCTAGATGCATCACAGGTCGCTATAATCAGGCTCTTCTGGCGCGTTGGCACGCAATGCACGCACCGTATCGGCGCACTCGAGTGCTAGTCATCATGCTTGAATCACCGTGCAGGCCCGAATCCCCCTGGAGAACCTCTGGACCTGCGCAAATTGCCTCGAGGCAGCCACGTTCGACACTCTCGCCCTTGCCCACCGCGCCGTCCCATACCAACATCTCACTGGCGTCCCGAGAGCCTCGCGGATCTTCAGTCGTCTTTCATTGCACCTTCCTGGCTCTTGCCCAGAACCGACTGGAACCGACTGCCTCGTGTTGCGCAGAAGGTTCAAGCGCTCGTCCGCGACACTCGGTCATATTGAGTAGCTTCAACAGCACCTGCACGAGGCTTTATACTGTTAACGGAACCGCGAAGAGCCATATAGCGGTGCGATAACGGCGCTGAAGATACCGACTGCATGCGCAGATGCCATGTGTTCCTAAGTTGGCGTACCGTAGCGGCGCATCCTGACGCTATTAACTTGCTATGAACAGTGACGCCAACGTGACAACATCATGACACCTATATGTCTGCCAGTGGCCGCGATATCGACCGCAGGCGGTGCGGCAGCTCGCGCCGTTGCCCGCCATTAATATTTTCGTCGGCGATGCACGCCACCACCCCGCAGACATGCATATCCGAAAGCTGTATGCTATCTTTAATGCAGTCGATAGTTTGCTTCTCCACTATGCATGTCCCCGCCGTTTTCCTCTATCTTGGGCGCTGATCCTGTTGCGACAAGGACGGCGGGAAATCATCAGGTCATGGTACCAGTACGAGCAATACTACGAGATCTGGGGAGTGACACTTTTGCATTGAAGTTGCACCGTGCCCCGCTTTCGTCGACCGTGGCCCGTCGGCGTTGACATCATCCAGCATCAGATTCTGTCAGTAAGGGTTGTATGCTATGGCCACGCGGTAGGTTTGGTTCACCGAGAGTGCGTAACATTAGCTTCCACTTGTTCGTTTGCGACGGTCACAATTGTCTATCATCATCACCTGAAATATTAATGGGTTTCGGTGCCCGCATTCTGTCTGCCCGTCCGCTAGTCTGTGGATGGTTCTTTATATCACGTCCCTCCGTTGGTTCTAGTCCGATGAGTTGTCTCAACGCACAATACTGGCCTTATTTGCATAAATTGCATCCAACGAATATGGACAAAGCATGTCATTTGTGATTGCTAAATATAGATACAGAATATGTACAGGAAGACATGCCGGACAGATATCGTGAGGACCAAGAACGTCTACTAATTTCCAGAATCACTAATGTATGCGCGGAAAGTGAATGCGCCCTAAAACGACGAAGATCGTTACGTTGGCTGGCTTCGCTGTCTCCTTCAGAATAAGTCCGATCCGGGGAACAGCTGAGAGTCCCCTCCGAAACCCTCGCCTTCGCTGTGCTCAGATGCGGCACCAGCACCATGCGCCGGCGACGACGCTAACATGTTCTGCCGGAAACTCGGCCCCATGGATTTGTCCAGGCTGCGATGCGATGTCGAGCTGGTGGCATGGAGATCAGGATAGTTTCCGATCTCAGACTCCTCATCATAGTCCGGATACGCATGACGTGGAGGCGATGGTGGGGCAGGCTGCAATGGCGCCGCTGTACGATGGGGAATGGATTCATGAGGCTGTCGCGAAAGGGTCTGTGCTGGAGTTTGTGGCTGATGCGCACGGGGTGTCGGTTGACGGGTTTCGTATTCGAACTATCAGATAGCATGCCGTGAGACAGACGCGCACATTCGACACTAAAGCACTTACGGCGTCAAACACCTCGTCGCGGCGTCGCCCTCCAGAGTCCTTGTCAAGGCAATAGCAAAGGTAAAGTGTGTCGGAACTAACAAAACGGGGTCAAAACCGCGATAACACCGCCATGGTATTGTACTTACGTATCTTTGATGAGGCCAATGCAAAACAAGCCAACGATAGCAGTGACACCCCCTGCAAGCACAGAGGCACCGAGTGCTTGCTCCGGAGCGTTGAGCGTATGGGCAACGAAGAGGTACGTTGCCAGCGAGAAGGGGAACGTGAGGGTCAGCGGGGCAACGGTCAACAAAGTCAAAGGAGCTAAGCAACGTGCATGAGTGAACGTCGACGTCGAGGAGGAGCCAGCAGCTTCAGCAGAAACACTCACGTTCGGTCTTAAACTTGCGCTTGTACTTGCCCTCACTTTGGCCTTCTACCCTGGCTGTCACTTCGCGCGCCTTCCTGGCAGCGTTCCAGAACGGATCTCCCGTCAGGCCAACGTATATCAGCGCATGTGTGCTTAAAGTACTTGTGCGGAGCTTGACCTCCAGCTTGGTAATTGCAAGCGCCAGTGCTACGCAGATGGGCTGTGCGTATGGTCGCATTACCAAAGGTAGATAGGACGGTAGCGCCCGGAAGAGGGCCGTTGAGAGACTGAGCATGCGGATGGACGTGAGTATAAGCGACGAGAGCACGATAGTTCCGAGAGAAGGCTGCGTCGCGCGAGTGAGCGCGGCGTGTATGGTATGGGTTGAAGTAGGTTGAGGCGGCGGAGCATCATAACTGAAGGGAAAATCAGCTATATGTTGGGTGAACGATCTACGGGCACTTACTCCATATAATACCATGACCCAATGACACCCGCAGCCGTCACCCTCAGCACACCCCGCGCTACGGCCCAGCTCCACAACCACACCCCGACCGTACCCGCGATTGCCCAGTTCGCCCAACCCCTCACATGCCACTCGAAGGCGCCTTCATTCCCATGCAGCGGCGTGGTATATCCGATAAGCAGTAGACGAAAGACCAGAGTGAGGAACGGCAATGATGCGAGCAAGGCCGCAAGTAGGATTGTTGGGCTGAGCGCGAGCAGTAGGGGGTTCTGAATGAGGATCTTGGTGGTAAGCGTCAAGAGCGCCGAGGCCGTGTGGATATCCCGTGGCAAATCAAGCAGGCGTCGTGCAGTGAGAAGGGATAGTATGAGGGGGACGAGTGCGAACAGGCGTAATCCAACCGTTTCTCCCCACGTCGGCTCCGTGTTCGCATCCCACATGAAGCTGCCGATGAAAGCCCAAAGAGCTGAAATGAAGAGTGTTGCGGGTATGAAGACACTCGTAGCAATCATCACAGGGCGCACGAACAGTCGCAGGAGGAATACATGTGCGTACGCCGCGCCCGCGCTGAGGAACGTCAGGATCGTGAGCAGCGGAACGGTGTGCAGGAGCGTTGTATATGGTAATGACACAGGCTTCCTCTTTGGTTGATGTGTGAGGAGAAGTACAAGCAAGGCGAAGAAGGCGATGAGCCCCAATGCAGCGCACCATACCGATGTCCATATGGAGTCGTGGTATTTGCGCCGACCGCGAGGTAGATGCCGGGGATCCGGGAGAGAGAATATATGCGCTCCATCCCGGGGGAGTAAAGACTCGGTCAGGGAGATGTGGGTCAGAGTAGGTGGGGGTGCTTGGAGCGGGGGATTAGATGTCGGGTGCATAGGTGGACTAGGGCTCGGACTGCGTGATTCGATAGAGGATGGGTCCGGAGATGGCGAACGCATCATCGTGTGGTGAGCCAACCAGCCTCCCGTTCCAGAAGCCAGCAATGGCTCGGACGGCTGTTGCTCCTCTTCGTCTAAGCGAAGATAGGGATCGTCGTCGTCCGCGTAATCCATCCCATATCCGCGAGTTGTCGAGGCATGACTCATCTGTTGCATGCGCTGAGCTGATTCAGAGCCTGGAAACACTTCTGCACTCACGTCGCTTGCTCGTAAATGCGGGTCGTCGAGGTCGTCAAGGTCTGCGTCAGCACTGTGCCCGGTGCGGGAGCCAGCTTCAGTAGAGAACGAGTAGAAGAGCGGCTGGGATGATTCAATGCTCGACCCGGGGTTCTGCCTGTTGAGGAATTGGGATGCGTACGCCGCGAAGGAAGTTGCCATGAGTCGAAGGGCTTATCCGTCCCACGCAGCCAGCGCCGATTATCAGCTGGTGTGGAGTCCCGAGCTCTACAGTGATTGCTGAGGTAGTAGCGCACAATATTATGCAGGCGCACCGACAGGCCTAAAGGAAGACGGGGCAGAGGCGGAGACCAAGCCAGAAGGGTACGCGTACGATCACTCAGGGGACGGTATGACTGAGTGGAAACTGACCGTGAGAAGGTTGTGGATTGACTCCATTAGTTTGCCGTTACAAGACTCAAATTGAAAAGCCATAACACGGCGAAGTTTCTCTCATGCAAAGGCACCATAAGGGCGATGCTACCCGCTGATGGAACAGCCGGTGACGTTTTTGATTCTTACAGGATAACCCGGTGCAATGTAGGGATCTCAGCCACTGTCAACCTTGGTCAACTTGCACACAGCCTCAGGAACTGTACAACCCGACTCCATCTTTCTCCGCACGCAGCAAAGCAGCCGATAGCACCGATGCTTATACTCAGCAACATTCGCTGACCTTCAGCTGCGCTCTGGCAGAATGTGGCAGAACTCGCCTTTATGGTAGTGGGACATCCGTGTTTGCCGGCCTGAGCTACTCCTCCGTGATCAGTTGATCGGTGCAGAGATTTGGCATTCGCTTGGCGAAAACGAGCAGAACAAGCGCCTCAGTATCGCTTCTCCGTCATGCTTCACGGCGCCGTGATCTTCGGGCCATCGAACACTTGGGGCCTATATATACGAGTTGGGTCAGCAAACCATCTTGACCCGCACCCGTGTTGGGCACCTCTGTCGTTGTTTTGCCGTTTTCCTTGATCGTTGCCTGTCGGGCCTACTTCGCTCCAGGTAGAAACATGAAACCCGGAAAGCGGAGAGAGACGACGTCAACTTCGGTAAGTTTTCGTCTGTTCTGCTTGACATCGCTGACCTTTGCTCAAATCACCACGATCAGACCTCACAAGCCAGTCAAAAGTTCTCGCAAATGCGTGCAATATTGGGGAATGGGTTGCACGAGTCTCTCTATCAACCGGAAGGCACCTCGAAACGGGGGGAGAGCAATGAGGTTCGGCTTGTAAGAAGATTGAAGCTTGTACGTCGGAACTGAGAGTTTTGCGTAGGGACGAAGGCCAGAGCCCGATGGAGATGGGTGGGTGTACATACACTCGCGGCTCAAAGAGCATGACAAAGCTATGATCCTGGGTTTCACTGGTGACATTGATACGTTGCTGGTCTTCGTGAGCTGTTTGTACTTTTTTCTGCGAGCGTTCATTGATGGCTGTTCGTGTTTCAGGCCGGCCTCTTTTCCGTGGTGCTCGTCACATTCCTTGCTCCTGTATATGAGCAACTCAAAGTCGATAACGATGAAATCTCAACGCGGATCCTCATGACAATATCCAACCAGCTCGCTAACATATCCGAAAGCCTACCCGCGATTCCCACCGATGCCTCTCCAGAATCATTCAAACCCCAATCATCCATCGTGGTTATTTGCTCCCTATGGTTCTTCAGCCTCGTCATCTCCCTTGCATCTGCCCTTCTTGGGACATTCGCAAAACAGTGGCTTCGGGAGTATCTCTTGTGGACCACGGTCTCTCCAGTCCAACATGCTGTTCATTTACGTCAATATCGTTATGCGGCGTTGTTGCGCTGGCGAGTGCCCAACGTTGTCACATCCCTTCAAACCCTCATGCAGACCGCCGTAGTCCTCTTCTTTGGTGGATTGATCACCTTGCTATGGCCTATCAATCATACCGTCGCCGTCACGACATCGGTTGGCATCGCCATCACAGTTTTCGCGGCTTTACTGGCTGTTAGCCTCTCCCTCTTCATCGAGAGCTGCCCGTACAAGACACCTTTAGGATGGTTACTTCTGTTATCCTTCCGGGGCCTGCTTGATCCTTGCTGCCGCGGGATGTTGACACTCTATTACGACCTACAGGCTGCTTCGAGACGGTGGAAACCGCTGGCTCGCCTCTTCCTTGCTATTGAATGGTTCTACAAGAAATTGCCAGATAGCCTTTGGGACCTTCAAGTTCCCGACGCGTGGGCTCACCGCGATCTTGGCCTAACTTCCTTCGGACAAGATCCAGTGCGCAGCGCGGCATGGCAATGTCGTTCACTCCTCTGGATGGCGTCACACGAGGAAGTAGAAGCGGAAATTGCCTCAAAATGTGTTGCCGCGTTACCGGGAACTCCGCTACCGCGTAGCGCTGGCCGCGCTTCCTCTTCCCCCGCTCCCAAATCTTGGACGTCCTCGTTTGCAGACGAGTCTCGGATTAGGTTGGGGTCGTATTGGATGGCGATCTCGGAATACTTAGACCTCGGCACTCGCAAATCCGTACCTTTCCTCGACATGATGCAAAACGAGCTGGTCGGTGCCTTTCAGACTCACCCGAATATCAGGCAGGCAGTCGAGCAGCACTTAAACCCCGCCCTCGGGCTACGACTAGCCCCACTGAGTCCTACGGAGTTCGGCCTCATGTTCAATATGCTCGCTTCCGTGATACGGAGATGTGACGCCGCTCGATTCATCATACCATCGGAGAACAGCAGCAACGCTTCCCATGACACGGAGGGCGCTGCTTACGAGATGCTTCACGATCATGGCCCGTTCAGCGAAAACAACCTCCGACTACTCTACACCACATCTCTATCAATCATGAATCTGCTTGCAGATTCTCAAGCGCGGTTACGAGCTGCCTACTGTGAAACTCTCGTACGGATACTGTGGCGTTCGACCCGAAGTTCTGCTGAAGTCCGTCAATCTGCAGCAATGTCCGAAGGCACGGAACTCGTTCTAGCCTACCTGCACGTCACCATACCTCCAGACATACAGAACATTGGTCAGTGAACCGTCGTCTTGCGCTCATGGCTTTTGACGAATCGATGATACCTCTACAGAATGCACAACATCGGAGTTGATCGGACTCATGGAACGTACCATCGCCCTTGGCGACAGGTCTTTTGGGCCAGGGGCACAGCGCATATTCTGGGAAGTGACGGACGTTCTTGTTCGCTTCTGCAATGCAGTCGATGAACGAGTACAAGAAGACTTCGAGCAATGTGCCACGGAGACGATGAGCAGCTTCCTCGCGCTCATCGAACGTCATATGCGGCCTGCTCTTGAGCCGCACAACAGAGAGATCGCTACTATCCCTTGCGCCGCGCTGGACGACTTTGAGAGACGACATCGCGAAATATCTTCACCCGCTTTGCCATTTTTGGTAGCGATCGCCGCAGGATATCAGGATGGTAGAGGCTGTCCAGGGCTGTACAATGACCTTCGTTGGCAAGATCTTGCCTCAGAAGACCAGGCATCGATCCGGAGGCTCAACGAACACCTTGACAGCTGGTTGGAAAAGCACAAAAATACACCCATATCTGCTATAGCTCCAACCTCCCGCATGTCATCAGGAACCCATGGACCGAGAGAACAGAACTCAGACGAACAAACGAGAAGAGCGGATGACGCCCATCTTCTTGCCGGAGAGGTCGTTAGTACAGAAGCAGGTCACTTTCGACGGTGGTTACACAGGGGTGCTCATGCGGCAGCATCTACACTACGGTGGACATCGACAGCCCGTCCTGATGTATCGCAGCCGCCTTTGCCACTGCATGCTCCTATTGTCGAGGATGGCGCAGAGTAGTTGCAAATACTGGTCTCTTATTCACACTGATTTCTTACACGTTCCACCCATTGTAATAACACACTAGACGTAACCGTGATTTCGCGATGTCAAGTCATTCAGGTCAGACATCAGTTAATATCCCTCGCACATATATGTGATTCAATGTACAGTATCTGCTACCTCATCGCAGCTCTTGGTTGAACTCCCTACCGATTAGCATGCGCCTAATCTCTTGTGTCCCGGCGCCGACAGTATACAGACGAGAATCCCGCAGTATACGACCCATAGGGTAATCTATGCAAAAGAGTATACTGAGCATCCGGGAAATGAGTGGCAGAACGCCATGCGTACCATTGATGTACCCGTTTCCTCCAAGGCATTGCATACCTTCTAAGGCGACCTCCACGGCCTTCTCGGTCGAGTACAAGATAGCACCCGCGCAGTCCTGTAATACTCGATTATTAACTTGCTTTGTCACTTCATAACACGAAACGTCAAACATACTCTCCGGCTGATCTTGCCATTGTCACATGCACGTGCTACTGCATAGACATAAGAACGACTTGCATTCAACTTGGTATACATATCTGCGATCTTGGCTGGATGCGACATATAATTACACCTGAGGAAGGACAAGAAAGTGTACTGACCTTGCATTAATTGGAAGGTGCCTACCGGTTGTCCGAATTGCTTGCGTTCATGGACGTATTCAACGGCATAGTCGAAGGCAGATTGCATGAGGCTAAAACCTATCAGAATCGCATTGCAGCAATCGACTGGTGCACTAACCCAAGGGGCCCACCGCTGAGAACAAGCCGCTCTAGATCAAGTCCTGACATGAGAACAGCCGCGCCGCGATCAACTTGACCAAGGACATTCTCTACGTAGAAACAATCCATTCCGTCAATGAGTGCGATAAAAGAGTCATGAGAACACCATACCGTCAGGAACTTCGCAATTCTCGAAGACGAGTTCGCAGGTATCACTGCCCCTCATTCCGAATTTGTCAAGCTTCTGGTGCGTAGAGAACCCTGGGAACCCCTTTTCAATAATGAAGGCCGTTATACCCTTCGACGCCTTTTCCGGGGAGGACTTCGCGTAGACTACTAGAGTTGACGCAGAAGGTCCATTGGTAATCCTGATAGGAAAGAAGTGAGCAATAAGCAAGGTAAGCGCTCGGATCGTCTCACCAGAATTTATTGCCGTTAAGTCTCCAGCCTCCCTCCACCTTGTCTGCTCTGAGCTTCATGCTCACGACATCGCTTCCGCTTCCCGGCTCGCTCATAGCCAACGCCCCTACTTTCTTGCCACTGACAAGATCCGGCAGATATTTCGCCTTTTGCTCCTTCGTACCGTGCCTGTGTATCTGATTGACACAAAGGTTCGAATGTGCGCCATAGGAAAGGGCGACCGATCCTGACGCTCGGGACAGCGACTCCATAGCTAGCGTATGCTGGAGATATCCTGAGGCAAGGCCTCCGTATTCCTCTGAAACGGTCACCCCAAGAAGTCCCATGGATCCTAATTTCTCCCAGAGATCCTGTCGGACGCGTCGACACCTGAGTAATCGAGGGTGGGGGTGGAGACTCGCTCACCGAGGGGAAGTTGTTACTCCGGTCAATGTCAGCCGCCCTCGGAGCAACTTCTCGCTGCGCAAACTCTTCCACCGCATTTCGAAACTTAAGTTCGATATAAGCATCCATGGCCCGCAATCGGGAACATGAACCAACCTCATCTTGTTCCTCCGTCAACCCAGCGATGTCGGTGTTGTAGAACGAGGCGTGTCGACGTTGTCCTGCGGTTCGAGAAAGGTTGAGGGAAACATTCCGACGAGAAAGCAGTCTGAGCGAGGAGAATGGGCGCATGGTCGGTCAGCCTCGATCTGGGGACGACGGTGTGCTCCAGTTGTGCTCCTTACCCCAGGTTTACCCCGGATCGGCTCGGAACTCGGCCGGGCGCCCGGTATCACTGAAGAGGGTTCCCATGGCCACGAGCAACTAACTGCACATTTGGCGTTCTCCTTAAGCATCCGAAACCTGAGATTTGAAACATCGATCCATGCTATTGAGACAGTCGGGCGTTCATTATTCGGTCGACGGAAAGGAGGATATATTCTCGAGTTCATGGTAGAAGTCATCGCTACATTGCATCGTGTACTAACACTAGGGCCATCGGCAGACGTATACCACACAGCATAGTAATCCTAACAATACAGAGGCAAAGGTCAGGCTACAACGTGGAAGAGCGCGAAGGAGATAAGATTATTAGGAGGGCCTAAGGTGTGAAGAATAATCATCAATTCCTCGTGAGGCGGTCACAAAATTATAAGAAAAAGGGTGTAAATATCTTGAGTGCGTAGAGTTGCGAGTCGTGGCGAATGGGACCGGAAGATTACGAGTATGAGATCTAAATGCCGAAGACTTGGTAGTCATATTGGACGGCCTCGCCCCAGTAGCTAGGATCGCAGTTGCCGACCTCAGCTTCACCAGTGGCGCCGAGATTCTTGGCGTGGACGTCGCTGGTGCCAGCGGCCGTCCACGTCTCGTAGCCAGAGACGTTAGGGTTGCCGTTGTTGAGGAATGCCTTGTAGCGAGCTTGCATTTCCTTTATCAATGCGGACTGAGCAGACGTGGGCGAAGGCACGGTTCCGAACTGCAGAGGGCAAGGTCAGTATTGTATTCATAAGGTCCGGGACATGCGAGCAGGACTCACCACTATCTCGATGTCGTCCTGGTGGCAGACGACTCCGGGTTCCGTGCAGAAACTCACGTCGGAGTTGCCTGGATACGACGCGCCGACGTTGTACAGACCAACAAACGCCTTGCCACCGGCAGACACCCAGTTGCGAGCGAACGTCCAGCTGGAACATTTCCAGATATAATCCGTGCCGAGGGTTTCTAGTTGCGTGCGGGCATCGACGGTGCTCTGTGCGACACCTGCAGGGACGGCGTATTTTTGAGAATCGATGATATCATTCGTCTGGGTCTCGTCGAAAGTGCCAGAGAGGACCAGGTCAAATTCGTCTTCAGGGACAGGGTCCTGGAAGTTGCCGTAGATGGTGAACGCAGCCTCGTTCAGAACGGTCGATATGAGTATGTTCTTCGACTGAGAGGGGAAGGCAGCCGTGGAGTCCAAGGGGGACGTAATAAGGGAGCCATCGCGGACCGGACGGATAGGTTCTGCTATGCCTGCAGATCCATCCCCAATGCTCGAGGCATCGTCCATCAAGTTTCCTTGAGCATCCAAAATCGTGTCCAAGCTTAGCGCGTTGAGGCACGTTGTGTTGGAAGCAGCACAAGGAAGCAGACCGTTGAAGTAGCTCTGCATCTCAGACTGAGTAGTCGTCGACAGGAAGCCATAGTCCTAGACCACGCTTATGAGCCACGGGCACGCGATACTGGTAAGAAACCGCTTACCATAGGATCGGACTGGATGATGGCTTGCGTGAATAACGACGATGCAGAGGGTACAGCAAGCAAAGCTCGAATCATATTCGCGCCAGAACTCTGGCCAGCGAGGGTGATTTTCGAAGCGCTGCCGCCGAAGCTGGGTACAATCTTCTGCAAGAATTTGAGGGACGTGATGACATCGCCGACAGCGAGGTTCGTGGCCCCCGACGGAGCCATGAAACCAAGAGCGCCAAGACGGTATTGGACAACAGCAACGATCGAGTTCGTCGCAGCCGCGAGTTGAGATCCGTCCAGGCCCTGATTGGTAGCTGAACCAGCGACGAATGATCCACCGTGGATCCTGCGCCATATAATTAGGTTCGTACACATCAATGAGCCACGCGACATACCACATCATAACCGGTAGATTCTTAGTGGTCAACGCAGAGGTCGGTACATAGAGAATCATCGACAGGCAATCCTCCGAGTAGCTGGATGCATCAGCGTCTGACTGAGGGCATCCGAGCGGCGTTGAAGAGGGGTCGGTGTTCCCATTTCTAATTGCTACAGTTCAGCAACAAGCCAGATGGCATATGTGAAACCACGACATACGGAAGCGCCCATGTAGTTACCACCGAAGAGGATTTCCACCTGCTCGCCGATCCATACTTGACTGAATAGCGAGCTGCAGTGGTGGTGTCCATGACGCCCGTGGCAGAGCCGAGCGGGGTCGAGACGGAGACTGTCTGGGTGCTATCCCGAGGACAGAGGATGGCCCTGAGGATTGGAATTTTGCATAACAATCCCTTGTTGATGACCGGGGGAAACACTAACGCGCTCTCCACGGAACGAACGGGACCAGCATACGCCGACGAGGCCAGCAGCAAAGACGACACGAAGAGCTTGATGAACGCGACCATGGCTGCTCGGATTGTAAGAGCTCTGAGACCTGTGAGACCGACGGCGTGGAGGAGCCCACAACTGCTAGCTGAGGGAAAGCCCCGAGGAAAGACAGAAGGCTTAAGTACGGCCGGCGCTGGTGTCGTGCCTGCGACTGTAGCCGGATTGAATGACCAGGAACAAGATGGAGGGAGCGGTGATAATCAGGAACGGAACGGGGCACTCATGTGCTGTGTGCATCTTTTTCTGCTCGGCAGGAGTACAATACGCGTTCTATGCAGGTCACCACACGCAGGAGGAACAAAGCCGGACGATGTTCTGCGCGCCCATCACGCTGCGTCACCGGCGTGACTGCCAAATCGGGAACAATGCCAACTGGTTCCGCATGCCCGCCGCAGTCCTGGGCACTTGTCTTCAAGCCTTTAACCCCTCAAAGTCTCAACTTGTGCAAGGACACATGCTTTGAACGATCGAGTATGCAGCATAATAATATCTGCTTGCCCTCGTCCGAGGATTGTACCTCACTGCTGCAGGCGATATCATCTACTGATTCCGTGCGCAACAGCTTCCACCGTTGGTCACAGGGCCATGAGAGTTCAACGATATGAAATTCCGGTCTCTCTGATGCTATTCCAAGGCATCCCGGCTCATCTAAGATGGGTTTGAAGAAGAATCCACGCTAGAGCCTGGACCGTACCTGACCGCGCTACTATTTTGTCGCTGCTCCATCATCGGTCTATCCATCACCTTGTTTTCGCTGCCATACCACGGACCGCCGTATTTCTCGATTTCGAGGCTTCCTCGTGAATATTACGATCGGATCCTTGGTTGTTGCCCCTGTCGGTTCCTGTAAGTCCAGATCTAGATTGTTTGACAATAATGACCTGGAATAGACTCGTCCTCGGGTCGTTACGACACATGCTATTACAGTCTATCTCTTGTTGTCGGCCCTCTGTTGCGATTTTCCGACAACGGGGACCAAAAGCGAGAATGCTCCCTGCGCCAGCTACCGATCACTGGCGCAATTCAGTTGTCTCTGCCCTCCTTTGCCGCGCGAGGCCGCACCCACCGCCGGCCTTATATCTTCCCACCTCGTGTTTGGATGCCGGTGGCCGATGATCTCACCGAGGTCTTGTTTTCGCTCCCGCACAGTATCTGTGCCTCAATTGATGATCAGAACATGCGACTTGTTGTAATCCGTGGCTCGCTGCCCTCACGTCGCGTGCACATACGCCCATACTGGGCTTATGAACATCGTCTGCGGCCCGCTGGTCTCCAATAGGGCATCAACGCCGTCGCTATCGATGATGGCTGCCTGTTTCCCCCAGCCGTTCGCTCTTGACACGCTGGAAGTTTCTTCGATTGACGATTAATCTGATCGTCGGCAACACACAGAGAAATGCCTGTCTATTTCAATCGTGCATCACCCTATTGGCGGCTATTGTTTTGTGTTTCGCAGTCGCGCGTAAGGCGGTCATTAATAATCCCGTTGAAGCTTGCGATCTAATCTTGGCATATGGACGTGCAAACTCGGCACATGCTTCCACTTGACAGTTCGGAGCGGGACAACGCGTCCCTATGACGTTCTTTCAAGCATTGAGACGTGACCCCTGTTATTAGTGAATTATACTTCGTGTTATCGCCGTAAACAGGTTGCTCTCCAACGGCGGGTCCTCCCTGTTCAGGGGGTTCACCCGATTGCGATTGCCAATGGCAGAACCTCCTCGAATCGCATGGCAACATTGTTTCATTTATGTTGATCTTGATAGTCTGCCTGGTTCCGTAGAACATGATCGTTCGTGAAGGATATACTGCAAGGAGCTGTACGCGAGCATTTACGGTGTGACAGTGTAGGACAATGTTCCAAGTCACGCTGAACACAGTGATTCGTCGATAATCACATGATCTGGCGTAGCGCGCGCCGTGAGGCCGACGCCGACTGGCACAGACCACTGAGTTTGGCGTTCTTGACTGCTATTTCTATCCCGGACTGCTTGTATAGGAAGAGAAGCGACTCAGAACTACTGTACTCTCCAGTCTCTCCGAGAGTTTACCCGCCCGAGTCTCGGATAGGCATGGTTGACGATACGATGTCAGGAGCGGGGGAATCAAGCTCAGTGGCCACAGGGGTTGCTTTAGTAGATGCGCATGTAAGCTCATGATCAAAGGCACCGATATTCGCATCCGATTCACCGAAAGTTGCTAAGACCGAAGTTGCGGATAACGGAGTTCAAGAACGATGGTTCACATTCCAGTTCACATGGGCTGGCAAGCCCTTCGAGCTCGAGATCGCGGAGTCTGATCGGTTCGTCGCAAACGTGGTACAGCTCGCCACATACGCAGCTCACACTCTGGCGCAGAATATACGATCTGAAGGGCTCTCTGTACAGCTTGACGAACGTGCCGCCTGAGCGTCAGAAAATCTTGGGTTTAGTGAAGGGCAAGCTTCCGCCAGAGCAAGAAAGGATCGGTGATCTGAAGCTCGTCAGCGGGAAGAAGTTTACTCTCGTTGGGACTCCCGAAGGCCACGAGATCAAAGATCCCTCCGGTTTGTTCCCTATCCCCGTACTCTCATAGCACTCGTACTCATGCATGAACCCCGCTCGCAGAGATCGAGTTCTTGCCTGACGTGGTCAACGATCTCGACATCGACTTCTATGCCGACCCTGCCGCAGCGGATACCTACAAGAACGACCAGCGCAATGTCCGCAAGATCAAGGAAATGACTAAGAAGCTGAAGTTGAACATCATCCATCCTCCACGACCCGGAAAGCGGCTCCTCGTGCTAGATATCGACTACAGTATGTGTCAACACACAATCGGAGAAGATACTCTCCCTCACCTCTTTCTCCCAGCTATTTTGGATACAAAACCGTTGACCTCGGGTGCACTCCCTCCGACGGAATGCATTCGGCCAGGCCTGCACGAATTCTTGGAAGCCGTCTACCCGTTCTATGACATCGTTGTATGGTAACGTGTTTGATCGTTCCTCGACGGGATTCCCGCATCAGACTTACCGCTTCACAGGTCCCAAACCAGCTGGATATGGCTCGAGACCAAACTCGTGGAAATAGGCATGCTTGGGGACGAGCGACGAAATTACAAGGTGACTCTCGAAAGCTTCACCCGTTTCGGATCGCCTCTCACGGGCGGGCTATCCATAGATCTCTTTCGGTGAAAACCTTGCCGACGCTCGACGGTTCTCCCGCTGAGTCTGCTTTCACAGTGCTGGACAAGACGTGCATGTTCACCGTCTTCTCGAAACGGCACGGCAAGAACGTCTCCCATCAGGTCAAGGCGCTCAAGATTATCTGGAACCACTTTCCTCAATTGTATGTTCACGATGTCGTGCTCGCTCATATCCGCGCCGACCGTTGTGAACGTTTCTTCCAGTAACGCGAAGAACACAATACACATCGATGACCTGGTGGGCATCTCGACTTCATCAAAGCTGGGAATGCTTATTCATCGCAACGTCCCTTCAGGGTCGAAACTTCGCTCTGAACCCTCGGGAGGGCCTCAAGATATCAGCGTTCAAGAACGCGCACACCGAACAGGCCCGGAACGACCGTGAGCTCGCGAAGCTCTCCCGATACCTCGTGCACATCGCGTCCATGGACGACTTCGAGGCGATCGACCACAAAGTGAGTCGACTGGGGGCATGTTATGCCCGCGCAGAGACTGATACCATGGCCAGCAATGGCATAACGTCGTCCGGGGGATGCCACCTCGGTGATACCCGCTCTCAGGCACCCTGTGGACTGCGATCCGTACATTATACATCTTGGAATCATGTCACATCTTTGTAGCATATCATATCAACGCCGCAGCATCATCTTCGGGGCATTCTTATACAATGGGCGTGTACAGTAACATCACAAGCATAAGGAGGCGCGAGAGGTCCGGTATCTATATCTGGGCCAAGTTCCTACCACGGCCTACCCGAGAATTCAGGAGACCTGGCCGTGAGAGGGCTGCTGGGCACGTAGTTGCCAAATTCGTATTTGCCGACCTTGGCCTTCTTGATGATACGTTCAATAGCATCGAGACCTGCGGTACACGTTGAGAAATAACCGCATGCAGCCCATCGTCCGAGACACACGTACCTTTATCCAGATCCTCGAGCGGCGGTCCGAAGGATAGGCGGACGAAGTGATGGCATGATGAGCGGAAGAGATTGCGGCGGTGGGAGGGGTTGATGTCGAAGAAGATGCCGGGGATGACGATCGTCTTCTCCTTGAGCAGCTCCTCGAAGAAGGACAAGCCGTTGTTGAGCGGCTCAGGGAGATCCTCGAGGTCGAGCCAAATGTAGAAGGTAGCTTGGGGCGGGATCTTCACTTCGAGCCCGATCTTCTTGAGGCGGGCGAGGACGTGGTCGCGCTTCTTCTTGAAGTGGCGCTGGAGAGCGAGACGCTCCTGAACGACGTGCTCGGGATTGAGGAGAGGAATGGCAGCGAGCTGCAAGCTGCGGTACGAAATGCCCGATTAATAGACGGACGCGAATGGTTTTCGCATTTACACGTACGGATGGTTCGCACCACCGTCCAAGAAGGAACCGGATTGCGAGAGCGCGGTGATGAGGTTTCTGGGGCCAACGACCCAGCACACCCGCCAACCGGGAAGGCGGAAGTTTTTAGTGAGGCCGTCGATGATGATCACGGAGTCCTCGTCGACGTTCTCGATGTACTTCGCGGAGGAAACGCAGTGGCCGTAGTCCTCTTCTTTCTCGGGATACATGTACCACGAATAGAACTGCGAGGAGGCGTGGGTGTGCGGAAACAACGGGAGCCATGCAGATTGCGCACCTCGTCAAGGATGACGGTCGTAGTTCCTTGACGCGCGATCTGGACGAGCTTTTCCAGATCATTGCCTCTGTGGGTTGCCGATCAGTCGGATGCGAAAAAACAGCGTTGGAGCAACGTACTGGATGACTTGACCGGTGGGATTGCGCGGATTGGATGCAAGGATCACCGCCAATCCCTGATCGTGAATGTCCCTCTACAGGATTGTCAGACGACGAATCGCATTCGCGAGGCAGCATAGACCATACCTGGATCTCGTCGATATCCAGCGAATATTGCTTCTCGACCCTCAGGCTGTGCGGGAAAGTGGTCAAGATAGGAGTAACCGATCGAAATGAACGACACAAACGCAGTTGGCACCGGGATCAGGCGCTTAAAAGCTCCAAGCATCTGGTCGTAGGCCGTGTAATCTTTCGCAAAGATCGTCGGTCAGATCGACAGCTCTATAGACACGGAAATTGCTGATCTACCTGGAACCTGGTAGGACTGTAGGCAAGGTCAGTGCCACATATTGCTAGCCAACATGCCCAGCAGACGTACAGTGTACACATCGCCGATGACAGCTGCCACGCGGCTTAATCCCGAACGGCCACCTGGAACGATACAGACGTTCTCAAAGGTGTACTGGGATTCTTTTCCCTGGCGGTAGGTGGTGTTGTAGAGATCCGCCACGGCCTGTCGAAGCTCCTTGACGCCGGTCGTGGGGGCGTACTCGAGAGAGTCGAGCGGCACTTCGATGCTGGTCGGACGGGCGGGCTGTGGGGGCTTGATCAGTAGGCAGCCCATCCGCGATGCGCGCGGCGGGCAGACTGACGGCGTCCGGGATCGGGCCCACTTCGGGAGCGCCTTGGCCCATGTTGGCCCATTCGTGGGCGGTGGCGTTGCTGAAGCCGTTCGCCATGGCACGATCAGAGCAGTAGATGACTCCGGTGCTGCCGGGATGGAGTACGCCGGGGACGGTCTCTTCTTCAGGATTCACCGTCTGCGGCAGGACACCCCTGGGTTTGTGACCGGCGGCTTCGCGGAAAATCTGAGAGTGGGAGGTTATTGACTTATCATCGAGGCGTATACGAGCGTCGAGCACGGGGGCTTGCCTGGTGGGCCTCGGAGTCGGACTCCTGGATGCTGGACTTGACCGGGTCATCTGCCTGGAGGGACGAACGGCAGTTGAGGGCGAAATCTGGTGGCGGATCACGCGCACTCACGTTGTTTCGGAAACGCTGCAAGAGGGGCGAGAGGGTGGTCATGGCGGTGGCGAACGCGGAAGACGTGCAGGCGACTGGCGATGGTTCGCTGTGCGTCCCACCAGCGATTGGGCCTTTTGAACCGATTTAGCGGGGGACATGACGCGCTGGGGCGTGTTGGGCACATGATGGCATCTCGCCCAGAATAGCACCTGCGACCGCAACGAACAACGCCTGCGCAGCCAAGTCGGTATCGTCGCACAGCTCCGGGAGATGGCGATCTGCCTGCAGCCTGGCGGAAGCAACTCGATGGCTGGGCCGGGCTTATGGCAGTATGCCCTCTCGGATGGCCATTCCGTTGGGCGCCAGCGCGGGTGGCTGATATAGCTCGAGCGGGAGATATAAGCAGCAAGCACAGAAACACGATCCGACTGATCTCTGGAGCCTTGCGCAGACCGCATCAGCGACCGAGCGCTGTCCGTGTAACAGAGTCAAGTGACGCCATACCCCCTTCGCGGAGACAGATCTGACTGTGAGAAAAAGCCGGACCTAACGGATTTTCGCCATGGACCAGCAGCACCAGCTCATACTGCTCTCCAGGCTCACGAAATGCTCCGGTTCGCGACGAGGAACGTCCCCCGGCGGTCGACGGCCCCGCTGAGGCGCAGGGCGTACGCGACGGCGTTCACCAAAGGCTGGCTTTCGGACCCAAAAACCGTCGGAGTGAGTTTTAGTCTGCCCGCCCGACGCGCCTCGTTGTGCTCAACTCGCTTCGTTTCCTTTCCTGCAGATCGTGGGATGTCCCTTCAGGTGCGCTAAAATAACGACTCCCTTCCGTTCAGAACGTTGACTGCTATCTTCCTCCTCAAAGCGGTGGCCAGGTGTGCATCTATTTGCGTCTACCCGACGACCTGCGCTGAACGATAGTTTCCTCTCCTTCAGCCCAGACCGGGTGTAGACACCGGCCCCATCCACCTCGTGCAAGCCGGTCTCCCCGACCAGCTCACCACGCTCGGCTGGAAAGTGCACTTCGACGGACATCACCAGTTCGAGAACATCCACCTCGCCGACGATCCGCCCATCGGCATCCTCAAGAACCCTCGCTTCGTGTCGAGAGTATGCGAGGCGGTCTCCAAATCGGTCTATGGCCACGCCAGCCAGGGACGGCTGCCGCTGACCCTCGGCGGTGATCATTCTCTCGGGATGGCCACTATTTCGGGAACACTGCAGTAAGCGAGGCGATGTTTTCAAGTCCAGGCATCTCACTCGGCGCGCGCTGACGTTGTTTCAGGCGGCATCCTGATGCCTGCGTGATCTGGGTCGACGCACACGCCGATATCCACATGCCCGAGACGACTGAGACCGGTAGGTAGTCGCCGTCAGCTGCAAGGACCATGTATTCACTGCACACGAGACAGGCAATATCCACGGTATGCCGGTCTCCTTCCTCCTCGGCATCGGCAAGAAGATACCCGAGTTCAGCTGGATCAAGCCAGCGCTCAAACCATCGAAGATCGTCTACATTGGCCTGCGCGACGTCGACGCGGGCGAGAAAACCATCTTAAAGGTAGGCCAAACTCGAGGCTGTGCCGTCCGTTTACGATTTTGATATCTCGTTTTTTTTTTCGCAGGACCTCGGGATCAAAGCATTCAGCATGCACGAGGTGGACAAGTATGGCATCGGCCAGGTCGTCCAGATGGCTGTGGATCACGTCAACCCGAACCGGGATACGCCCATCCATCTCAGCTTTGATGTGGACGCCTTGGACCCCACGGTCGCTCCGAGCACGGGCACTCCTGTAAGGTGCCGCACGCGTTCCGGAGCTACGCTGCTCACGTCGCCTCGTAGGTTCGTGGAGGTCTGACTTTCCGCGAAGGGCACTACATCTGCGAGGCCATTCACGAGACCGGTCTGCTCGTCGCCCTGGATCTCATGGAGGTCAACCCGACCCTCGGGACGGGCGAAGAGGACGTCCATCAGACCGTGGCGATTGGCTGTTCCCTCGTAAGGGCAGCGCTGGGTGCGTGCTTCCTCACATTGGCGATCACATCCCGTTCACGCTTGACCCTTTCTGCTCAGGGGAGACGCTACTGTGAATTCTTTCAGATGAACCCTAAGCATCCACGAGTTGGAAGAAGTTACGACCTTAGCATCACCGTCATCTGTAATACACCCACATATGCAATAAACCCTCCAGTGCACTATCAGCAATGATATCCGAAACCTGCAGAGCTTACGGCACTCTTAACTCAAAGAATCCTCGTATTATATATCATATTAGTCATACATCTGTCCAGATTACAGCCTGAGCAGTGATGATGCAGCTCTCTGTGCTGGAATGCGCTATACTTCATGAACGTGATATTCATCGTCTGTACGATAATGCACCTGAGGCTCGGGGATCTTCTGGTCAATCGCGCTATCGTCGCTGGTTGCATCCATGCGATAAAGACCGTCGTCGTTCGTCATAACGGAAGCTTCTTGAACGGCGGTCCGCAGGTACCTGTAGTAATCGCTGTTCGTCGTCCTCTCCGGTGCATGGGCTTCCATGATGCAGGGCTGTCGTATCATTGCCTCAGTGATGAGATCGGTGGTCAGCTGCATCGGCGAGTGGGTTTCATCGGACGAATCCGACGATGAACCGTGCCGCGATAGTTCCGGGGGCGACAGAAGGTCCAGCCGCAGAGGCGGAAGTTGAACACCACGGTCTCCGGCGTAGTGCAGCGACGGCCCTGCTTCAGCCCATTGCCCGCCCAGCTGTTGGTTGAAATGGCCGAAGTACATGAATGGCAAACTGGAAGTCAGGTCAGAGAGGGCGATGCGCTACGAGAGACATGACTCACTGGGGCATGTCTACCGCGGCATAGTTGTAATTGCCGCACTGCATAGAATACGCGGGATCCGCAAGACGCGCGTCGAACTGCCCAGGGAGCGCGCAGTGAGGTAGCAACGTCGGGTCAATAGGATACGCCATGGGAGCGTCCCGCGTTTGAGCAGCATCCGGTGCTTGGAATTGATGGCATGCGTCCGCGTGGTGGTTCCTGTTCGGCGGCTCGTGCTCGTTCAGTTGGGGCAACCAAGTGAGCGTGGGTAAGGTGAGCGAAGGCAGTTTCACAGGACGGTGTCGGGGTTCATAAGGTTTTTCGTGAACCCTCTTCTTCACGCCAGTGTCACTGTGAGTTTGGATTTAGTCTATATGAGACGATTTTATACCGTGTACGCACGCGCTGTCGCTTGCTGGGTCGGCTTCTGAGGGAGCAACCGTATGATCCTGAGCCCCCCGTGAACTGTGCCTTCCGGGCCCTCGCGGTTTGCGTTCTCGTACGTATACGCATGTGAGACCTCTTTGCGTGCATCGCTCACACGTAGGTTCGTCACCGCTGCACTGGTGGGGGGTGAGCAGACAGCCATTGCAGATGACGAATAGCATCATTCACCTTTGCTTTGCGCGTGCGGCAAGTCTCGCAGGCAATACGTGTCCGCCGTCGAGGGGAATAATCTATGTCGTCCGCGAAGACGTACGTGTTCTGGACAGGCCAGTCCATTGGGGACTCCCCGGCGGAACTGGATTGGCGAGAACACCGCGTGGACGAAGAGGAAGAAGACCCAGAAGAATACGAGCGCCCCGCCTTCGATTTGGGTGCCTTGACATTCAGGTAACCGTTCTTGGAACCGGCGCGCCCCTTCGTAGAATCATGGCACGGGCGTGCACCGGCGTTGGCTTCTTCTATGGCCCTTTCCATAAGCGTTCTGAAAGAAACGGCATGGGGAATGGGCTCTTCGGTAGGAGGGCACGTCTGGTTCGGTTGGGTCTTTTGAGGAGATGAGAGTTGAATGACGGGGGCCGCGTCCAGAGGAACGATGGGTCGAGACAAGGAAGTACCCTCCATCCGACGTTCGTAGATGGTTCTCATAGTTCGTGTTTCGGGGTGGATAGAGATGTTTGGAGGTAGAAGATATGTCGAGAGGGGATAGATATGCCGTTAGGATGAGATGGGCGATAGTATGTGGGTATAGCGTGTTGTTACCGCAGGGATCGCGCAGCAACGGGGCGTCGTACAGCAACGTTCATATATTGGCCTGCACCGAGGGCAACACCGAACTGCTGTCAAACATAGACAGCTGTCCAAGAAACGGCAGCATCTCCGGTCCAAGTGGAGCGATATCCACGCCAAGCGACATGATACACCAGGTCTACCTGCGTATAGAAGCAGGCCAAGAAACTCCAGCAGATGCTCAAGCGCATGTGCGTGTAATCGCGGCCCAACTCCGAAGGGGTCATCGATCCGAGGCGTGACAGTGGGTTGCGCAGCTCATGAACGCAGCCCTATCGTGCTTACAAGCGAAAGTTAGCTTGTCATGAATCGAGATTATGCAGCGCAACTCTTGCAGACGAAAGTACCAGCGAGCCTTCCGAGTAGAGGGTGCCAAAAACGATGGTCATATATGTCTGGTTTATGGGCTGTCTTCGAAGAAGCGGACAGCCCAAGAGGGCGAACAGTTGCTTAGCGCCCGAACGCTCAAAAGTCATCCGCCTCTCCTAGGCCGCCTCGAGCGGAAGCGGGCCAAAAGGCTTCGATTTTCTTCCACGTCTTCGAGGGCGCCAACGAGGTTGCTCTTTCGATTGTAGGGGAACGGGCGGGAGGCGCAGGTCGGTGTGGCTTGGTGGCGGATCATAAGACGTCCGGTCTAGGCTATCCAAGAGTTTGGGCACCAAGGTCTTGCCAATATGGTTATGAGGAATATCTGCCTTCGTTCCATGGGCGCGATCACCCTGCTCGCTCGGACATGAGTTATCACGACGCGAAGGGTTTACAAGACAATGTACCTTCTTTTCCAGAACTCTATAGCCACAACGCGGATTTCTTGCAGTCCTTCCGTCGATACGGGGAGAGACATCCTTGGGGGTCCTGCCCGAGTGCAAGACTGGCGTTCGTGTTCTGCCACGATGACGAGTCGACTCGTTCCTTTTATTCCAGACGCAGTGATCGATCAAAGACGGCCGAGCTGCGGGTGAACGAGAGCGCTGAGAGCTGGAGTTCTGAGGAGCAGGATTAGTTTGTTTATATTGGCGATTGCTTGAACGCCTCTTGACCGGGGAACCAGGAGATTGAAGGAGCAGTCCAGGGAAGGATACGTGATGGTTTTCTGGGGCTTGGAACGCCAGAGACGTGTGATAGCCGTTACTGTGGTATGAAGTAACGTCTCTTCGCCCCGTTCCTGGTCTTCGGCCGCGAAACCGGGAGCCGTTGTGGAAGCCGTCGATCGGAGCTTTCGTAGATACTGGGACGGAACGTTGTACATGTTGAGATTTATACATGGCGATGTATGGCCCGACTGCCCAGGGGGAGAGGATACTAGAGATGTTCTCGAAAGCTGAGGCTGCGCAGTTCTGCGGACGTAGACTGTTCAAGGTGACCGGGTTGGAGAAAGCCAGAGACGAATGTTGCAAGAGCTTGGTATGAATCAAAAGTGACTATACGGACGCCAGCGGGTGTTGATTCGTGACTTGGAAAGATGTGACGGAGGCTGGTGACCTGTGTCGAGGTTATCGTATCGTGGGTGATTGAGCATCCATCCCACGGAGCCAACCAGGGTTCAGAGCACACGTATAGTGGGATATAGTACGCCCCCCCAGTTGGCCTTGGGCATCATCCAAGGACAACGTGTATACACCATTTGTACGAGGATCTACGGTGCAAGGCAAGGATCGCACTGCCACAACCTCGGTCGATCCCGTACGCGTGGGCAAGGCGCCCACCTTCCAACGCTCTCGCATTCATGGAAGATCGACTTATCAGCGAAACTTCTCCTGCGGACTGGAGTTACGTAGCCGAGGGCGGCGCTACGATAGTCCTTGCTTATAATGGCCCGCCACATCCAGATTTCAATGGGACCGTGCTCCGCGCACGTAAAGCACCTGTTCAGCCCGGTGACCGCGACTGCAAGCCGGATAATGGCCAGGATCCCAATCTAGACTCTGAGGAAGTAGATGACCCTATCGTCGTGTTCCAGAAGGAAGTCATTCAGCGCTTGGTCCCTTCGGATGCTTTGCCTTTGCTCCGGAAGATCCGTGTTGAGCACGACTGGCTAACAGAGTTGGCTGCGCTTGTGGAGAAGGACAGGCCCAAGGTTCGCAGGCAGAAAGACAAAATCGATGTTACTCGAAGAAGAGCTGTGCTTGCCACGGACTTGGTCGGTGGAAATGGATGGGCAATCGAAATCAAAGTGCGTCTCATCCCAATCGCCATCCCGCTGGTTTGTTTCTGACCTGAGATGCAGCCGAAATGGGGTTTCTTGCCTTCACCGCATCACTTGTCTCCTCAAACACGCTCGGTCAAGACCCGTACCTGTCGCTTCTGCATGCATGCTCATTTCAAGATGATACACGACGGCCACGAGCCTGCAGGGGACTTCTGCCCATTGGACCTGTATTCAGGCGATAAATTACGTGTCACTCGGGCCGTACTTGCACTTTGGGACGGATGGGTCAACAGTAAAGGGTCAGCCAATAATCTTCGGGTCTTCGTCTCCGGAGAAACCATCCATCCCGACAACGTGCGTCAGATACATCTCGTCCTTTGGTTTATTCACCCATTTTATGGTAGGATGATTCTATAAACCGTCTTGCCGCATTAATCTTGCCTAAAGGGCATGCTCTGGATACGATTATTCTTCGCCAAAGGTTCGCCGCCTCTGTGGTATCTGCCCTCATGCAGTCATCTGTCCTGCCCACGCTGTCGCGTCTGCAGCGCAAGCTAGACGTTCTGGATATCGAAGGCCTCGAAAAGCTATGGGAAGCAGTTCATGGCGATGGTATATCCGAGACAGCTCTGTCGTTTTCAGCTGCATCGGGTGAGCCGAGCCTCCAAGAATGGCGGTCTTTCCTCGAGGAGTATCTGGCAGGGCACGAGACCATGGACCACGCGCACCCTGACCCTGCGAAACTCCGCTACTATACCCTCGCGTACCTCCTCTCCATGAGCTTCAAGGATTGCTCCATCATTGTCCGGCCAGCAGATGGGCAAATCAAGGCGAGCGTGTCGGTGATCGACCTGGACGCCAAATCGGTCAAGAAGCTCTCTCAATGGGCCAAACTAGATCGGCAGATTGTGACAACGTACGGGACAGTAGGCAACAAGAAATTATGCGCGGATGCTCACCATCAAGAGATCATGACCCCAAGTCGATCTGGTGTCTTCCTCTGGACGGTTTCTTTGCTTACGTTGACTGTATCGCGGCTTGCGGGGTCTCGACGGAAACCTACTTAGACTATCTCACAGACTTTCTATCACCACCGATGGATCCTGTATATTACCATTGCTCGCACATATAAATTGGTTAGTCGATACTCTAATCACCGGCGACCGAGTCGCGACGCCATGACGCCACGCGTGCTCGTGCCCTCAGCGCGCCCCACGTGAGTAGTGGTGCGAAACGGCTCGACTCGACGGAAGTTCGTTGACTCTGGCAAGGGTACTGTCCGTGAAGACTGTCAGTGGGGGATAACTGTTTCGCTCATATCGCCATCTCATATCCGGCTGTTGGGGACGAGAATATGGCCGCGGCAGCAACGCTCAAAATGTCTGTCATATCGTTACGCTCACGGATGCGCATGGAACTCATGTCGAGTTATGCATGTAATAGCTTAACAGTCGGTCCGGCCGCGGGGTCGATCAGAGACCTCTTTGCGAAAGTCAAGAGTATCGATGCGAAACATGGGAAATTCGACCTTCTGCTCTGCGTTGGGGATTTCTTCGGGAAAGAGCAAGGCTCAGACACCCAAGATCTGCTTGAAGACAAGCTGGAAGGTTTGTCCGTCAACTTCGTTGCGTCTCCTGTGCCTGCTCATGCATACAATATGCACAAGTTCCAATGGAATGCTACGTGATGCAAGGTGGATATGCCCTTCCCACCCCGGTGATTGAGAAGTACGCCAAGACTGGCGGGGAGTTGTGCAAGAATGTGTTCCTCCTCGGTGAGCGATGAACCTACGCATGCGTCATGTCTAGACCACTCATGAACGGATCTTCTAAGCTAAATCTGCGATGGTGACTACACCCCAAGGGCTCAAGATCGCTTGTCTGGGGGGTGTATACGATTCTGTGGCATACGTAACGTCGGACAGCGCTCCGGTAAGCGAATGTGTTGACCTTGCACAACCTATCATGATGTCGAAGACCAGGGGTTTCATTCAGCAGAATATAGTCGGCAGACGGTCGACAAACTGTTGGCCAACATCAGCGGCCCGCAGAAAAACAAGAACTATAAGTCACTCACTGCCATACAATCTGCCGGAGGCCCTTCCGAATTGGTGGACATCCTAATCACCAACTCATGGCCTACGTCTATAACGGAGTTTTCCTCACTCCCCGTTCCCGACCTCCTTTCGCCCGCTGCCCCCGCCGTCGACGTCGTGATGCGACGTGCGAAACCTCGATACCATTTCTCCGCTTCGCGATTGTTCTGGGAACGGGAACCCTTCGTGTGGGACGATGAACAGGGTCGCGTCTCCCGATTCGTCAGTTTGGGCGCTTTTGCTGGACAACCGCTCCCTGAGGGCGTGAAGAAACAACGGGTACGTTCGCACCCTGTGAACTTGAATAATATCTGACTTGATCTCAGTGGTTCTACGCGTTCTCGATCACTCCCTTGGAGAAGTCGACGGCCTCAGCACTGCGGCCAGCGAACGCCACTCGGAACCCAATTCTGGAGGCCGCACCTCGAGGCGAGAAGCGACAGTTTGACAGCGGCGAGAATTTCAGATGGGGCGGTGACCATCGACCTGCCCCGAACAAACGTAGCAAGCCTAATGCCGGTGGGTGCATCATATCATGGTCTGTAGACCGTGTACTCATATCCCAGGCTATGGTAGGCGACAAGCCAGGTGTACCACCTCAAGGTTACAAATGCAAGATTTGCGAGTCGGCTGAGGTCTGTTCTCTATATCCAATCTTTCTAGCACTCTAACGTTACGGTTTAGCATTTCATTAACGACTGTCCCGACCGAGCAAAGCCTCCTGAAGGCTATGTATGCAAAATATGCAGCGAAGTAGGTCATTCGTGCAACAGGATGCTACTTGTTTTACGAGGGAACAACAGCCGGGGCACTTTGTTCGGGATTGTCCTACAAAGCATGCCGTCGGAGACACCGGCGGCCGTAAACCTCGGCCGGGATACATCTGTCGTGCATGTGGAAGCGAAGAGCATTATATCGAGGACTGTCCCACCGCACAGCAACGACGAAAGGAAGGAGGAGAGAAGCGAAAGGGACCTATGAAGGAGATCGCGCGTGAGTCTAGTCTTCTCATGGTGACTCAAGCCTGATGTAGTCACACCCAGCGGAGGAATGCTGGTTCTGCCTCTCGAACCCAAACCTGTCGTCAGTGACCGCGATTAATTGAACGGACCGCTGACTGAAGTAATGCATTAGCAAATATTTGATCGTTGCAGTAGGGACGGAATGTTACGTGACGCTGCCTAAAGGTCAGATCATTCCTACACACGACCCACAACATAGGCCAGATAGCTCCATGGTACCGGGCGGCGGCCATTGTTTGATAGTCCCCATAGCGCACTACGCAACATTGGCCTCGATGGCTCCAGATATCGCTGGACCCACTATCCAGGAAGTCGAAAGGTCTGCTATCCATCGCGCTTCACAGATCTCACATACTGACGATCCCCCCACTACGTCCCCGCTATGTGCAGATACAAGTCAGCTTTGCGAGCATTCTACGCCAAATACCACCATGCCGCCGTGTTCTTCGAGGTCGGCCGCCTGAGCGGTCGTGGAGGTCATGCGCATGTCCAAGCCGTACCTGTCCCCCTAAACCTCAAGGAGCGCGTACAAGAAGCGTTTACGGAGCATGGACGTGCCAAAGGCATACAGTTCGAGGTTGATGACGCTGAAGCAGCCATGACGTCCTGCAAGACCGACAATCGAAGCTACTTCAGGGTGGATCTGCCGGACGGCAGGGTGATGGTCCATTTGATGCCTGAACATGGTCGCTTCGATTTGCAATTCGGGAGGTAGGCACCCTCGCCGGAAATCGCATGATGCTCTGGTGTTTATATCACTATTTGCAGGTTTGCCTTAACCAGTTTGCTTGGTATACCCAATCGCCTGGATTGGAAAGCATGCGTCCAGCCCGAGGAAGAGGATAGAGCAGATGCTGAAGCTTTCAAAATGGCTTTTGCACCTTTCGATCAGACGATGCAGTTATTCTAGTCTGTCTTGTATTCCGGCCAAGTACCGGAGTCTGCGCCGCCAGGTGCCTGATAATAGTTACGCTGCTATCGAGCTGGTGATTGTGATGAGCCATATGCGCAACCCTTGATTTCCTAAGTCTGGACACGACGCGGTCTCGAGGATCGAGATGTGACCACTGCCGCTCATATCAATGGGATCCGCGGTAATCGATGGAGACAGGAATGGCAGGGTCTCGCCAATGTGTGTATTCTTGACCTGCCGGTAGGTCCAATTTTTCGCGATTTGGCCGACAGTGGTTGAGTCGGTGAAGCTCCGTTCTTCTTGTCTTTCTTTCGCTCGCGCTCGTGATCTACCTTTGCACGTTCTATATCTTGGATCGCGGCCTGTTTAGCGGTCTGGTAGTACGTCAAGGGTGGTTTCTTTTTCTTAGGTGGGGAAGGCGCCGGGGGCGACTTGGGTTTTGGGGCAGATGTGGCTGGCTTACTACGCGCTCTACGACAGAAACGCTTCAGAGGGTGAGGATCAGGGCCCTTGTACTGCAATAAGACGAAGGAAGCCGTTTCCGACGCGGGTCCGAACCTGAAGCCTGGGGCACGAGGCGAAGCTATTGATGGGCGGATGGATAACGATGGAGGAACGAAAGATGCCGACCATATCACCGGCGCTTTCACGTCAGTTTTCAGGTCAGACTCGATCTTATTCTTCTTCGTGCTAGACGGAGATGGCGCTTTCGAGAACCATTTGTGCTCTCTTTCGGGCGGCGGAACGTAATCCACGAGTACGAACGTTAACTCTGGTTTCGGTCCATGGAGTTGTCCATCCACAGCCACTTTCATCGATTGGGGTTCCGAAGATTCAATCTCGCCGGTGTCCCCAGCCATAAGACGCGCAGTCTCTGCCTTGAAGGTAGCTTTCGCAAGTCGTTCGAGAGCTCGTCGGTATTCCGGGTTTGCGGCCAGTGAATCGGTCCCGAAGCTCACATCCAATTCGATGTCGACGTCAACATCCGGATCGTGTTTTGCGGTTTCTTCTCGAGCTTTGGCCTCGGCCAGCACCACCGCGATTCTTGCCCTTTCGGCTTCCTTTTGCGCGTCAGCACGCTTAGCTAGCCGCTCTGCACGGGCAAGTTCAGCTTCCTTGCGTGCATGGGCACGCTTGGCTAACCACTCCGCACGAGCACGTTGAGCGAGAATTCGCTTGAGCCCTTTTTTCGGTTGTGGGTTCGCAGGTTCGCGGTAGTCGACCAGGGTGAAGTTAGGGTGGGGGACATTCCGAGCTTTCCCAAAGGAGCGAGCAGAGGAAGCGACATGCGACTGCTTCATCAGGGCCGAAGGGAGTACACCACGAAAGACCAGCTCGGACCCGGTCTCAGTCATGAATTCAGGAACATAGCTGGTGGTGTCCTGCCTCTCATCCACTAGTCTCGGAGCGTTGGCTAAGTCTCGAGTCCCAGGTATGTAAGTAAGAGGCACGAAAGCAGGGGAGAAGCTGGAAGGAGGGATGTAGTAGCCGTGTGAGAGACACGCGCTTCTTGAAGCGTTTTGCAGGAGATACGAGACGTCCGAATACTCCGAGACATCTAAGGGGATCTCGTTGCGATCACTCGTGCTCGGAGCATGCGGAAAAACAGGAAGAAGCCGGCGGCGAAACCTAGGGGGTAGTCTAAGGGCTCGTTGATAGACTGTAGGGTCCATGTCTTCGGCAGACGCGGAGAGATCATTCACGGCATCTTTCTCGCTCGTAGTAGTTAAAAATGCCTGGTAAGCAGTTGTATCGCCTTTGCCTAGTTCAAGATCTGCGTTCATATCTTCGTCCTCATCAATAGATAATCGTTTCCGGCTCATCCGCACGATGGTATCCCGAAGCTGTTGAGCAACACCTGGCTTTCGCAGTCTCTGTGTCCGATTTCATCGGTAAGGAGGATCAACGATAGCAAGTAATGACGCACCTTCTGTCGGTCCATCATCATTTGCTCCACCCGCCGCAGTTCGCCCTCCGGCACCCGCTCCCGACGATGGTACAGCCAGGGCCTTCCGCGCAGGTGCGACGGTTCTTCGAGATCGGACCGCACGACAGGCAGAGCAAGGAGAAAGCAATTGACGGGCCAGCGTGGTGAAGTGCTCACTGGCGGAAATCCCTGTGGCCATGGCTCTCCGCCCGCAAATGCGAGCATGCACCATCTGAGGCCAGGATTGATGGTGCTGGCGTCCTGCGCGCGACCGAACGACGCAAGGTACGCAACACGATATGAATTGCCTGAAAGATGCTCCAACACGACACAATACTTTCCAACGGAGTGGACAGCAGCGTCTCGAGCTAGGTCACGCTCATATGGCGTAAGAGGGCCAAGACGCTCGAGGCTATGAGAAAGCATACGTCAGTAATCGAATGCGGCGGATCAGTCCAAGCCTACTTCTCCCATATGGCCTGACGAATACCACCCGAGATATGAGCTATGTCTCCCCGATTGAACACGCCAGGAAGATGAGGTGGATCGTATGTGTCTGGCTGAAAGACATGTTCATGATAGAGCCCTTCAAGGCGGAGCCAGTAGAAGTCCATGCGCCGCCCGTAAGATCGCACTTGGTATCAGTGGACTCTTGAGACTTCAGCGTTGGGCGTCCTTTGGCACGGCTACGGAACGCTCGCAGGAGTCCATTGCAGCAGGGAACAAGCCGAATTAATGCCACGTGACATGCCAGCGGCGACATCCCGACGTTTGATTGCCATCTTGGGAATGTCATGAGGGCGCTGCGGCTTCAAGTTCAATGCAGCTTCAGAATCATAACGTGCCGACTGCATGCTCAGGCTAACCCCCCACATGTCGCGGCTCACATCCAGGGTCATATCTCCACGCAGCATGTCTTCAGTCAAGGCGCGTAGTCCTGCTGAGCCCAGGCTTTCAGCCAGCCTCGTCGTGATCAACGAGACAGACCATGTGCTCCTGGTCCAACGGGCATTTTCCTCGGGGTCCTTTCCTGGAGTACATGTTCGCATGGAATTCGCCTTGAATGTCTTACGCTCGCTAAGTTATCACCTGATCGTAGGTGTTTCCAGGAGGCCATTTTGATCCCTCGCAAGATGCTTCGGTCGAACTCACCGCAATACGAGAGACCTTTGAGGAGACCGGCCTACTCCTTGGCATGGACGGCGAGCCCGCGCTGGACAACACAGCTCTGAATAGTGCTCGGAAAGATCTGTATACGGGCAAGATCGCATTCCCCGCGCTTCTCAACGAGTGCAATGTGCACCCTATCCCAGACAAGTTGCTGCCATTCACGCAATGGATCACTCCAGCAAGCGCCCCTAGGTAAGCACGAAGCCTAATATCATATGCAATGAAAATGCTCAATTCAAAGGGCTGCGTTCAGACGCTTTCATACACATTTTTTCGTGACATTCCTGTCGGAGGTCGATGACGGCGCAAGACCAGCTGCGGCGGCTCAAGGAGTTCACGAACAGAGAATGCCGACGCCGGATGGCGGCCTTGAAGTCTTTTCTACGCGTTTCTTACGTCCGTCGGTGGTGCTCGAGCAATTCCGACGCAAAGAGATCGCTTTGATGCCGCCGCAGTTCTACATCTTGTCTGTACTCGCAGATATCTTTGCGGCGCAGAATCGGAGTCGAGAGCAACAGCATGCTTCCATCCGCCAGCTTTCAGCTGGGCCTTTCGGACGTGCGGTATTCAATCCGTTGGCTTTGCCGAAGCGTGATAACCAAGCCCCGACAATCATGACTTACGAGAGCGACGAAGAGCGCGGTGGCCCTAAAGGGCGACGGCATCGTTCAGTAATAAAATTCGGGCCAAGTGGAGTGAGCATAAGCACATGTCACAAATTCCTCCGTACACGCGGCTCAGCGCACTTGGCAGGTTTCAAGCGAGATGTCCTTGGAGCGCAATTTCGACATCTTCACGGAATTTTTCGAAACACCATCCACGCCCGGCCAGCTACCAATCGCCAAACTGTGACGTGTAGGACTGTGTAGGAGCCATTCAGTATATTCTCCAGTGACGGTCGTAGTCGTTCGAAACAATGAGAGCGCTCTTCAGGGGGTTTGCAGAGGTTACGCCTCCATGGTCGACACAGCGCTCGTGATGTGGTCGAATGTCGCCAAAGTCGATGGCGCTGGTGCTAGCAATATAAGTGCCGCACAAAGCGTTCCAGGATCTTAACTGCGCACCTCCTATAACCGCGCCTGGAGAAGCCGGATTTGAGATGGCTCGAGGGGTGAGTATTTGGGAAGCAGAATCAAACGTCCAGTTCTGGACCGCAGAGGCTACAAAACGATCCGTCAGCATACCTATGTCTCAATTTTAGGTTGGCTGACCTTGAGGCAACTGTTCGGTTGGAAGACCAAGGTACTTGGAGGTAAGTGATGCTGGGATCGAGGTGTATGCTTTCGCAAGAAGAATGGCGGTTCTTTGACGGAAATGCTCTATGCGTTGCTTGATTATTAATGCGTCTACATGAATCGACAGGTAACTGACCAACGAATGCTCTGACCATTTGCCTAAAGAGTTTGGCAAATATTTCATCCGGTACATCCAGCGTGTATAACTGCTCTGCGCGACTATAAATTTGCGCATATTCACGGTCCGTGACTGATGCAACCAGACCGAGCAGCGCTTGGACGAGCGAAAGGGATGTGAGGTTATTAGGAAGACGGGCGATTGCGTAGCTTGCAGAGGATCTGTATCGGGAAGTGTTGGATGTGTGCTCATCGTGGTCAAAGCACTAGTACTCACAGGTCATCCACAATCAGATATGCAAGGACCAAGGGAGCGACGACAAATAAGCGTTCTTGCTTTCGATCGCCTTGACACTGGTTGAGGCGTCAAACGTGGAGTCTGGGGACCATCTGCATCGGAACACACGTTTAGATCGATCAACTCGGCGCTCTGAGCCAGTTCCAAATAACGCCCTTCTGCTCCTAGATCAGCCAAATCGCTCAGGCCAGCGCGGTACACGCCACCGCCCTGAGCTTCCTTGCTCATAGGTTGTGCCGGCGGCTCAGGGGGAGCCGGGTTGGCTTGGGGAGCGACTGAAGACGTCTGCTCGGGCACATCGCGTTCTTGATCCATTTTTTCTGCCGCTGTGGTTGGAGGAGGAGTGGACGGGCCTGCGTTGTTCATTGTTAATGGTACTGAATGAAGACGCGCTTACAAGAGCCTGGTGCTCGATCGGTCCGCCAACTTCGGGGTTATATGCGTGGCAGTGCCGTGCGTATGCTCTGCGGCTTTGCCTCAGATCAGGACCCTGCACGAAGAGCTTGGTATGGATGACGAGGTCGAGTCTATCCTTTACATCGGGAGAGAAGTCAATGGTGAAGACCCTGCTCGAGCCTGGATACAACATACCGCGGAGCGCTCACAGCACAGCATACTGCAGTCTACAAGATTCCCCCGTTGAAGGCGAACGAAGGGCATCGCGCAAATGACTGGGGAGATCTCGCTCAGCCGTTATGGAAGGGTCGTATGCGGATCATTGAGAAGTCTTCCGGTGTCTCCATCTTGTTTGAGGACCCGTCGACGGGTGCGTATTCATCCGCTATTGAGGTTCGCAGTACACTGATCAGGAACTATGGGCAGGCGAATGTGCGTGATGCACGTTAGAGGCACGAAGCTCGTGCTTCAAGTTAATGTCCATCTTCATAGTGTTTGCGCAGACGAAGTACGACCCGGCCAAGCCCCCAATTGAAGCTGTCTTGGACTCATCGCGGTACTTCGTCGTACGCGTGGAAGATGGCGGCCGGAAAGCATACATAGGCATGGGATTTGCTGATCGCTCAGATAGCTTCGATTTCAGTCGGTGAACATATCGTTTGTCCGGAACGATTAACTAATGCACAAACATAGATGTTGCTCTCCAAGACTATACAAAGTAAGAACAGTTGTCCTCTGATATAGGATGTAGCTGATATCTCGTATAGGAGATGGAAAGCGTCCATGAACCCACCGTCTCCGACGGAAGACAAACCTTCTCCCCACGTCCCTGTTGGGCCTAAGAAGGATTACTCGCTGAAAGAGGGTCAGACATTCTCCATATCCATTCCAGGGAAGACCAGCACGAAGACAGGTGCTTCTTTGTCAAGCGGAACAGACCTTCTTGGAGGATTGGGCGGCGGCGGGAACAGCAGCTCAGGCGCTAGTACAGGAGCTTTCCCGTTGTTGCCTCCTCCCCCCAGTGCGCCGAAGAGGAGGTAATCATGCAGATACAGGACAGCAAGGCGGGCATTCCTCCCTTCGGAACTATATGGAAGCCTATGAGAGTATCACTATCCACTCAGTCGATCTGTGTCATACCGACACATATTTCATTCAATGTAATGACTAGGTTCAATGGATCAGTGTCGTGTTCCAATGTTGCACCTGCAATGCGCTCGAGACGACCTATATTGCCTCATTCATGCAACATGTCTTGCACACCATTTGCGCTCCCGGACGCATATTCAGTATGCAATCTCGGTTGCTCGGGGCAAAGGACTTCGGAGCTTCAGCGCTAAGAAGTACCTCAACTAGCGATCCTCGACATCAAGGCATCAGTACATCAGGACATCAGGAATGTGCCTGACATCATGACTACATAGTCCGCACCGAGGTCATTCCGAGTTCATTGACATGAATAACGCTGGTGGCATTCATCGGCACCTGGAAACCAAACATGACGACAAGGGAATAATACCGCCTCTTGACGCACCGAAGATAGACAGTGTTTCCCGACGAATGTCAATAAGTGGACGACTTCCTAAGGTAGACCACAGTGTTGGTGAAGCAGGACGCTTTTTGGCGTCCAAAGGATACCGTTTATGTCAGCAAATACGGCGCGGCACACGTGCTCTCGGGAGCTCTCAGTAGCAAAGTTCACTCAGCTTGAAGTTCGTAGATGATTTACAGCTGCCCCGGTGCTTAGGCCTGCTTGCCAGCGGATTTATACATGAAAATGTATTGACAGAAGCTACCTTGGCAACTATCGCATTTTCTCTGCATGGTATTCCTCGCCGAAGATGCGCTCAGACAGGAATTCGAGCCTATCCCCGGTTACCCATCCGAATATGAACCGACTGTCACCAGTGCTTCTTTCAACCTCAATATAAAGCATCTTCATGCTCGGATGAACCACGCGACCTCATGACCGGACTTGCAGGTCGTCAGTGACCTCCGCACGTGTACTCCGACGTGTTCCCGCCGGATGGTTCGGTTCAAAACCGGATTATTCGGCACTCACTTGTGGCTTGAACGACTGGAGATGCGGATCTCCCCAGGTATATAACCGTGCAGATGTCGAAGAGCAATCCATAGGATCCACGATCCCACCCAACCTCTGGTCATCTATCTCGCCCGGCGATTCTCAGATGTTCAAATACGCCGCACTCCTTGCTTTCGTGTCTGTGGTGACTGCGCAGTCGCAGCTCTACGGACAATGCGGTGGAATTGGCTGGACAGTAAGCGACTCCTTGTATTGAGCTGGCCCTCTTTACTGATTTGATTCGAATTGCAAGGGCTCGACAACCTGCGTTGCCGGCGCTACCTGCACGGTACTCAACGACTACTACTCTCAGTGCTTGCCTGGGGCCGCCAGCAGCAGCAGCACGCCCACGACCGTCTCTTCGAGTCACTCCACCACGACCGCCTCGTCTACCGGCACGAGCAGCGCTCCTACGTCTACCGCGACCCCAGCGGCTGGTAACCCCTTCGAAGGCTACACGGTAAGTTGGTCAACGCCCGATACAGCTATTGCTTGACAAAAATAAACAGATCTACCTCAGCCCTTATTACGCCAATGAGATCGCCCTTGCTGCAGGCAACATCACCGACTCGACATTAAAGGCCAAGGCTGCGAGTATCGCCAATATCCCGACTTTTACCTGGTTGGACACTGTCGCCAAGGTTCCTGATCTTGGCACCTACCTTGCGGACGCCGACTCTATCCAGAAGAGCACTGGCCAAAAGCAACTCGTGCAAATCGTGGTTTACGACCTGCCCGACCGCGACTGCGCTGCCAAGGCATCCAACGGAGAGTTCAGCATCGCCGACAACGGCCAGGCCAACTACTTCAACTACATGGACCAGATCGTTGCTCAGATTCAGAGTGGGTGCTTGCTACGAAATGCAAAAATATATACTGACGTGTCTGCGCTTGAAGAATACCCTGATGTCCGCGTTGTTGCCGTCATCGAGCCTGATTCGCTAGCAAACTTGGTCACCAACCTGAACGTCCAGAAGTGCGCCAACGCCGAGACGACCTACAAGGCATGCGTCACTTACGCTCTCAAGCAACTCTCGAGCGTCGGCGTGTACCAGTACATGGGTGAGCACAGCTTCTCTACGTGTGTTTCTTGACACAGTCTCATTGCTTATAGATGCCGGTCACGCTGGCTGGCTCGGCTGGCCTGCTAACATCTCCCCCGCGGCCACCCTGTTCACCCAGATGTACCAGGCTGGCGGATCCTCGCCTTTCATCCGCGGTCTTGCTACTAATGTCGCCAACTACAACGCGCTCACCGCGGCAAGCCCCGACCCGATCACCCAAGGCAACCCCAATTACGACGAGTCGCACTACATCAACGCTCTCGCGCCCATGCTCGCGTCGTCGGGCTTCCCCGCGCAATTCATCGTCGACCAGGGCCGCTCTGGTGTCCAGAACATCCGCCAACAGTGGGGTGACTGGTGCAACATCAAGGGTGCCGGCTTTGGTACTCGCCCAACGACCAACACTGGTACGTTATCATCTGCAGCACGTATGCAACCGAAGCTTGACACCCGATTGCTTGCTCAGGTAACTCGTACATCGACTCAATCGTGTGGGTGAAGCCCGGAGGCGAGTGCGATGGTACTAGCAACAGCTCCTCCCCGCGTTACGACAGCACATGTTCGCTCTCGGACGCCGACCAGCCTGCGCCTGAGGCTGGCACATGGTTCCAGGAGTACTTCCAGACCTTGGTCAGCAAGGCCAGCCCTTCCCTCTAAAAATATATGACGTTGTTTTATCTACTATACCTATTTGAATGGATTGTGTTTTCTTGAGCGTATATTTCCTTCTCTGAGGTCCATGCTGAGTGGGCAAGTGAATATCCTCTTCGTATCACTGGGGCGATGTGCGCAATGTAATGCACAATGCCCCTGAACAAGAGTCACCTCCGAGCGAACGCTCCAAATACATGCCGAACACGTGATAGCCTTGACCAAGCACTCACGTCGACACTCGGCACTCGGCCTTCGGCTGGGCTGCTGCGAGGGGTATCTGATAACTCTTCTTGTTCCCCTACATCTGCCGCCATGTTGTCCAGCGTATCGCGCAGCACGTTTGGGAGGACTAGTATCCGTACGGCAGCCAGGCGGGCGGCTGCGAAGGAGGCTCGCCGGTCATTCGTTCAGCCCTCCAACGCGGACCGCGCGAGTGTTGTCGACGTACCGTCCATTTACCAGGACGACAATCTTTTCTCACCGCGTCCTGGTATGTCTCGTCATTTTTGCATAGGTGGCAGGGTCGCTCATGTCACTAGACATGCTCGGGTTCAAGTTAGAGCTACCTCAACGCGAAGGATCGGCAACTGATAAAACTCGTCCCATCTACTTGGACATGCAAGTGAGGAACGCTGGTTAACGTGATTACTGTGTTTCTTAATGTTATCTATCAGGCTACTACCCCTGTGGACCCCCGCGTGCTCGACGCGATGCTCCCCTACTTGACGGATCAATACGGGAATCCTCATAGTAGGACACATGCCTATGGTTGGGAGGCTGAAAAGGGTGTGGAGGAGGCTCGAAAGGCTTGTCGATCGCTCAAGTCCATGGATTTGCTTGACTTAACTTGTCCGCAGAACGTTGCGGATATCATTGGCGCGGATCCTAAAGATATCGTCTTCACATCCGGAGCGACGGAGTCTAACAACATGATCATCAAAGGTGTTGCAAGGTTCCATAAAGAGAAAAAGCGGCATATCATCACGACGCAGACTGTTTGTCTCCGCATCTACATCCCACAATCTACCGGTCTAACGCGATCTGTAGGAACACAAATGTGTATTGGATTCCTGTCGTAAACTGCAAGAAGAGGGTTTCGAAGTCACCTATCTTCCTGTCCAGCGCAACGGCGTCATTGATCTCAACGAGTTGGATGCTGCGATCCGCCCAGACACGTCCCTCGTCTCCATAATGACCGTGAATAACGAGACGGGCGTCATCCAGCCTATGAAGGAGATTGGTCAAATCGTGCGGAAGCATCGTGGAGTGTACCTGCACACGGATGCCGCGCAGGCGGTCGGCAAAATACCGGTGGACGTGAACGAGATGAACGTCGACCTCATGAGCATCTCCGGTCACAAGATCTACGGCCCCAAAGGCGTTGGAGCAGCTTATGTGCGACGCCGCCCGAGGGTGAGGTTGGAGCCTATCTTGAGCGGCGGTGGACAGGAGCGTGGCTTACGGAGTGGTACGCTACCTACGGCGTTGATCGTGGGTATTGGCGCAGCGGCAAAAATTGCAAGACAAGAGATGGCGGTAAGTCCTTGCTGTCTGCAACCCTCCTCATGACGAGACATTGCGCGCCTTTTCTTTTCACCGGGAGCTGGGCGGTTACTACTTTGAACTTGTTTCGAGGTTGCCGGCTTGGCGAGGACCCTGCGTGCAGGGGTACTGAACATTTGTCATGTCCGGATGTTTGCAATCAGTGACTGATGCTTATACTCATACAGCGCGACCACGCACGCATATCGGAATTGTCAGAACGCTTGGTCAACAGTATCAACTCACAAGTAGAGCACGTGGTGCGCAATGGAGACGCTAAGGGATATCCAGGCTGCGTCAACCTTAGCTTTGCCTACGTTGAAGGCGAGAGCTTGCTCATGGCACTGAAGGTCAGTACATCGGCCAATTTCGCCCGGAATAATGGCGATTAATGGTCAACATGCAGGATGTGGCATTGTCATCCGGCAGTGCGTGCACATCCGCGTCTCTGGAGCCGTCATATGTTCTCCGTGCCTTGGGAGCCGCGGAAGACATGGCGCACTCGTCTCTGCGCTTCGGCCTTGGCCGCTTTACCACTGAGGCTGAGGTCGACTACGTCGTCAACAAAATCGTCGCAACCGTTAACAAGCTACGCGAGATGAGGTTCGTTGGGATCACTGATTTCGATGTACGGTATGACTGACATTGACTTACAGTCCACTCTGGGAGATGGTGCAAGAAGGTATTGACATCAGCACCATTGATTGGTCCCAGCATTAGGCAATTTCTTCGCTGTCTGATTCTACGTCCTCATTATTGCATTGCCCTATAACGTGATCCGCTGCATACTTATGTACATAGTACTGGTCCTCCTGGTCCCTAATCCATTGACTCTGTGGTTCTGCGTAAATTACGTATGTCGCCATGCGTGGGGTCCGTGCGAGGGAACCGAGACGCCAGGCGGCGTGGGAGGGCTCGCGCCAGCCTTGATAACCCATCAACGACAGCAAGTTGACTTTACTCTCTCCCGCCATGGCCGCACGTCGTCTTTACCTCGGAAGTGAGCCTGTCGTGCACTGGCCTCACGGGCTAGGCTCATTGTAACTCATAGGGCTCCCACCGGACACTCGCTCTGAGGATGTCTCGAAATTTTTCGATGGCTATGGCCACATTGTCGACTGCCGCGTCATGACCGGTGAGTTCTGTCGGCAGCCTGCCAGGCTTTCCTAACTCTGGGCAGGTTTCGGTTTCGTTGAATTTGAGAGCACCAGAGTCAGTTCATGTACTTTGGAAGCGCGCAGAAGGTTGACCCGAGTTCTAGGACGCGGAAGATGCTCTGAATCATTTCAACGGGAAGCCATTCAACGGCGCCAAGTTGGTACAAGCACTTCGCACGTAGATAAGCACTGACAGCATGTGTCCACAGCATCGTTATCGAGTTCGCCAAGGAGTCTCGTCCCCGTCGTGACGTTTATGAGGCCGATCGGTATGGTTTCTGGTCATCCTAGTAGTTTGCACCTCAAGGAGCTTGTCACTTTTCAGCGCTCCTAGGCCCCGTGCAAGACGTCCTCCTGGGATTCGCCTGATCGTTTCCGGAGTTTCTCGTGACACTAGTTGGCAGGTATGACCGCGTCGACAATGATTCCGTGGAAACGTTCCGGCGCTCGCATGGTATAGATTGGCTGGACAGGCACTCACATTGTTCCATTTAGGACTTGAAAGACTTTGGCCGCGAGGCAGGCAATGTATCTTACGCCGACATCGACCGCGATCACCCTGGAGAGGGGTGAGCTTATACATGGTTAGTCTTGGTTTGATATTGATGTCCGTGATAGGATCCTGGAGTACCTGACGCGTGAAGATGCGGACCGCGCTGTCAGGGAGCTCGATGGCAAGGACCTGCGTGGCCGCCAAGTGCGCGTCGCTCTCGACGATCCTGTGCGTGTCCTTTCCAAGCTTTTCATCCCTAGCTAAAAGACGGTACAGCGCGCTGGTGTTGACAACTATCGCCGTGATGATCGTCGCGATGATCGCGACAGAGGTTCTGATCGTCGTGCTCGTTCCCGCTCGCCTCCCCGTTACGACGACCGGCGTCGTTCACCTCCGCCCAGGAGGGATTATGATGAAAGGAGGCCTGCAGGGTACGACGACCGACGAGGCGGCTATGATGACCGCTACAGAGGTCCTGACCCTTACTATGACCGTAGATCCGAGGGGGATCGACGGGCGCCGCGCGAGGACTATGAAAGGCGCGATGACAGGCGGAGGGACGAACGCTATGATGAAAGGCCACCGAGGACCGCGAACGGCGATGGCGGATGGGCCCGCTAAAACGTTGCACAGGATGGACACATACGGACGTCCTCGATAAAATGGATATTGATGTCGGCCGGGCGTACCGGTGCTTCTTCGGAATTTTCTTGGTCTGTGCCCTTCCTGGCCTGGGTTTATACGCGAGGCGCGAGCTGTATATGGATCCTGGTGGTGGTCGATATGGAATGGTCCCCCGGGCACCCCCATCGAATGATTGTATTCCATCGGACGGACTGGCCGATTTGTCGCGCAACCGGGTTACGAATGGTGCATATACTGGTATCGTCAAGCCTCAAACCCCACAAGTCGGTGATTGCTGTCCCTTGGTGTGGAACTTCGCAAAACGTCCTCCGGACGGTGGGCCATCGTGAGAGAACCGTGGGAAATAGGCGCCTTGTGCCCGGTGGGGATAGCGCGGCTTGCACGCATTTGTGCCCCAGCAAGATCAGTTGCGGATTCCAAACGAGTGTGGTTACCGGCGACTCCGGCGAGGAACATCAGGTGAGTGACCGGTGCTTCATCGCAATCGATATCTTGTCGTATCGTCGCCAATGTTTGTGGTTGTTTTGCAATGCCATTGGCAAGGATCCACACACCGGAGCGTTCACGCATTGTATACGCCGCTAACGGCAAGGGTTATCCAGTATGTGCTGAGGTGGATCACAATAAGGCCTGTTTATTGAACCGGCATTCGTAAGCCAGCTCAAGAATCGATATGTGCTGCTATTGTGGATTGGTCCTCTATACCCCACCATGCCAAGTCCTTGGAGTCGTTGCCCACATCAAGTTCTACCCACCGCACACCTACATCTCTCCGGTTGCTCGCGTCAGAGGATTCAGCATGTATTGCCTCTGAACCCAAATCATCGGTAGCGCTTCTGCTGCCCCCGTCGACTCGCAGCCAGAAACGCACTTTCTTGAATTCACTCGGCCGCCGTGGTGCTGGCTGCGCGCTGCCCTTGAACGATTTCTGCACCTTCGCGCTGAACGCTCGAATGGACATGCTGGGAAGCACGCGGATGGTGGCGGTAGGCGGAGCCTCCGCAAATGAGGGGTCAGACGAAGTCGCCAGTACCAAGTGCACTTCTGAGATCAGGCCCCTCCATGAGGTCAAGACTATGACAGCATTGAGCTACTTCGCACCTATCAGACGACTGCTTAGTTTTTCCCCCGTATTTTTCCGCGGAGTCGCATTATCAGGACGCCCGTGTTCTACCGCCATCAAGTCAGTCTCTCATGACGACAGGGCGACGCAATCAGGACATACTTTTGCAGAGTCGTTCCCACTGTGGGTGCTCTCGTTGACGCGCTTCGTCAGCGGTTGGCCCCTGTTGTGCGATAAGGGAGAGATAGAACAATTCGCAGTCGTTCCTCTCCCGGTCAGTGACCTAACAGTTTCGGGAACAGCCAAGTTGACGCATGACCGTAACCACTGTCGATGTGATGGAGGACACACCTGACTGGCGTCGAGTGTTCGCAAGGATGGGATCTTTGCGACGATAAGCTGGCGGGAGTGCCGCCCGAGAAAGGTATCTAGGAACCATCATCTTAGTCGCGTACGGCGGCGCACAACACAGGTACTTACCGTCAAGGAAGGGGTTTGCAGCTACGCTCAGGCTTTCCAGCTCAGGGCACCACGAAGCCAGCGCATCGATGGATGCCCACGATGTCAATCGGTTGGAAACGAGAGATATATGTTTGATTCCCGACAGTCGGAGGTGTACGTCAGTGGTGTCCTGGCTCGGAATGTTTCCTAGTTTATTTGACGTCAAGATGAGTCGCGTAACACTAGTTGCAAGTAAGTATATCCGGACCATGAGTGCGATGCACAAAACAGATGCGCACGCAGGGCAACGAGTAACGCCGGCGACGATGTCCAGCCAATCATCCAGAGCGTTGGTATCGAGGTTCAAGACTTCGAAGACGGCTGGCTTGACATCATGAGCCTGCTCCTTTGACTGAAGAGAGCCGATATGGTTATATCCTGCTTCTAGCGTCCGTAGCTTTGGCATGACGGATCCAGATGTAACCAACTTTAGGTCATCCCAATTGATAGCCGTAGCGTTCAATTGCAACTCCCGAAGGTTCACAAACGCGGATACGATAGCTCCCGATAGTTTCAATGCGCCGAAGCGGTTGTTGCTTCTCGATGATTAGTGACGGAAAGACTGGCGTGATGCACACCCATACTTCAGTGACAGATGCTCGAGGTTTGCGAGTTCCACAGTGATGGAGGCGACCGTATCCCAGTCGGGTAGGAGGTTCTTTGAAAGGTCCAGTCGGCGTAGACCTGGGAGCGAACTTCATCTGAGTTCCGGTTGACAGCTCCCGAAGCTTCATTGAGTAGACTGACTTGGTGAAGCCCGGCTAATTAGTCCGGGAGCATCGGCAACCGCGACGTTCTCTCCATCAAGGCTGGCATTACGCAGTCGCTCAAGTTGCGCTAAGTTGCTCCTGATCCTGTCGAGGCCGACAACCTCGACCTCGATTGCACCCTTAGATGACCCCAGAGTGACCCATTCTTCCGAAGAGCCGTGTAGATCTTCTACGTATTTTGAGCGGAGTGCAGTAAGAAACGAGAATCCCCAGTTGATGGCTGAAGTATCTCGTATGAACGATCCAGCACCAGGATGCCTACATGCAGCGCCAATGCGAATCAAATCACCGTGGCGTCATAAGGGAGATAGGTTGAGCATAGCTCACAGACATGAGAAGTAGCGCTTGCCGCCCTTCGTACCATCATGCTTGCCGCGAAGAGGATCGTCCCATTCGACACCTAGCCACTCTCTTCTTGTGCCATCCACGGGGCCGATATATCGAATCGTGCCCAATTGTCCATTGAGGTTGAACCGAGAGCCGACGCGACAACGTGAGTTCTCAAGATTCTCTGAATGGGGCATTACTGAGATATCGGGCCTACAAGCAGAAACGCAACAAGAGTAGAATATAGTGCCTCGGGAGTTCGAGGTAAAAGTATCGCGGCTGTACCGCGGTGACCGTGAGGCAGAATTCCAAATCAGGCCGGCCACCCTCGCAGCTTTTCACATAAGTCACTCTCTGTCGCCCACTGCCGTCCTCCTCTTGAGCCCTGCTGCTGTTGTTTACGCCCTCAACCATCATCCGATATAAGCTGTGGCAGCTCGACATACGGAAGAACCAAAACCCTTTGCGAGTTTGAGCGCGAAAATTCACGTAAAGGCCACGGGTTCGAGCCACGAAGTCACCTCCGCGGTTGTGGACCTGGACGCGCCGCGAAAGCGCGTTTCTCTCACTCAACAACGCGTCTTTCTTCTGTTCAACGACACCCAACGCGTCTGAAGGATGCAGACGCCATCTTTCTCGCGACATGCACGCACCCTCAGCCCCCCGCTATCAAATGCCGGCTCCTCCCACGCATTTACCATCGGCCCTACAACTCCGGGACAGCAGCAGAAGATCAATGTAACACGACTTGCGATCGAAGGGAAGGTGAAAGACGGTTTTCACGATGCTAGGATCCGCATGTATCTCAAGGTTAGTCGTTTGATTACCCCTGTCTCCGTGACCGTTGAAAAGGCTACGTAGATTTCCCTCCCTGCAGAGAACCTCACTCCGGAGTCTGCAATCCCATTGTTCCCTGGTGGGATAAGTCCTGTAATCAAATGGTCCTCCATCTTCTGACACATCGTTTCAATCATAGAGGAAAATCTAAAGATTCTTAACTCACAAGTGCACCCGCTGGACTCGAACTCAGCACCGTACGACTTCACCTCCTCTACTTCCCCGCTGCTGCACAATGCTGCTCGAGCACTCGGACTCCCTCGTCGTACACAGGAATCCTACCTATCGTTGTTCGGTCATCAGTCTTCCTCACGAATCCCTCATTTGATGTCGCCGGCCATGAGCCGCGCATCGTCTTCGTCAAGCGCTTCGGGAGTTAATTCAGCTCCTTTAGACGATAGATACACCGGTATCGTCACGGTCATTGGGTATTATGTAACCTATGTCCTGCCAAAGGAGTTTCCCCCGCGGTACCTGAACGGTTACGAAGCGGAGTACTCTGGCAGAAGCACACCTTCTTCTCGGCCCCGCGCGTCTGTTGGGGAACGGAACATCGTCCAGTTCATGGCAGCAATCGACATGGCCGTGCCTTTGACAACGAGACCCCCAAGAGCCCCGTACATGGTATGCTCTCCGCCATTCATGGCCCTAAAGTAGAGATCTGACCTGTCGCGCAGCTTTCTGTACCAACTCCTCGTTGCCTCTCGAATCATATTCGACTCCGCCTGTTTCTCCCAGAACCGTCCCGGTCCACAGCGTCCTCTTTCGCGTCCTTATCCTCTGCCGAAGAGTCGGAGCCTGCTTCATGGGACCTCCATGTTGAACCGCATGTCACACGCTCCACATCCTCGCATCATTCTCGCTCGCAGTCCTCCAATTACAGCGAGCGCTACGCAGTTGGACAGTTATCTGACGACGAAAGCAGCGAATCAAGCAGCACAGTTGGCTTTAGTGACGGATGCGGTATACAAGGAACCTTCCCAAGTGCGGAAAGGATTCGCATCCGGTGGGCGAAGCCGATTATGGGCGTGAACGGCTCCGATGAGATGCGACGCGTCGGCGTGACGGAGGCCAAGGGAGAGATGATCGCCTCGGTCCTTGGGAGGGCGCGGACTGAAGAAGGAGACGAAGGCGTAGCGATGCGGATTGATTACAGAGGGACATGCTCTGGGGTATGGTTTCCCGGCGCTGCCACAAAGCTGGGCCTGGATGTGGGGCTTGAGAGCCAGGGATGCGATGTGCGCTGGCTTCCGGGTTCTCCACCAGGTTGGGAAGTCAGTGGAAGCCAAGGATTTATAGACTGGAACGCGGGTTCGTCACAAGGGAGCCATACGCAGTCGCTTGAGCCTCCCGAGATCGCTGTTTCGACCAGGACACCGAATGGCCACGCGCAACCAACGGATTCTATGCTCAGGCATAACGGTTCTGGCTCTGTCAGCTCCCTGCTCCGAGCGCCGCTGCCGGCGCATAATGTACCTGACTATTCCTTTGAGGGCTCACCGGCCTCAAGCCCGAGTGGGACGGTCTCATCGCTGAGCGCACCTGCAAGTGCGTACTTCGACGGCAAGAACCGTGCTGCAATGCCAAACGGTGTATCCGGTGGGCAGACCACGAAAAATGCCCAACCTGGCATGCCATTAACAATCCAACTGAACATCAACCACCTTATGCCTCCTGCTAAGAACCTCTTTTCATTCAGCATCTCCGGCACGCTCCTCGTCATACCGCAATCCGACATCTCCCATTCACGCTCCTCGTCAAGGCTGGGTGACTTTGCATCCGACATCGTCGCAATCCCTCGTTTACGCGTGCTCGTCGCTGAAAAGGAGTCGGTCTCTACCGTCGTTCGAAACGAGATCCGGGACTCGACGGTGGAGATTTACAACGCGAAGGGCGACGTACGTGACGCTCAGACTCGCAAGACTGTGGTACAACCTGGGTCCGAAGGGCGCTGCGGGTCTAGCGGTGGACGTGTCACAATTAAGAGCTTCGCAAAGGCAGTCAAAGACGAGGAGAGAAACACGGAAACCGACAAGTTCCGATCTGTGAAACGCTCTCAGGTGCACGATGGTCACACTCGCAGCCGAGTCAACTCCACGGCCTCCGCCAAGGACAGCAAGGTGGCCGAATCGCTGAAACTGAGACGGCGCAGGGACGGCCCCCTGATTATTACACGCGTTCACGCTACGATTACACCTTTGCTGGCGCCTAACGTCGAAAAGACTGGCAGATCGGGTGCGGACGTGCCGGATTCGTATGCTGTCAGCTTGACGCTTCCCGCACCCGCAGACGCGGACACGGAATGGCTCGAATTCGGGCTTGCTCAGTCAGGCTTTGCTGCTCCCGCTGCAGAACCTTCTAGCGGCGGGAAGCCGCCCACGGCAGACGACGGGCGTCCTCCACGACCAGAGCTTATCTGCGTCAGCGTTGGCGGGGTACCGGTGAGGTACGAGAACACGGTGGCGGTTCCACGAGACAATGATCAGGGTGACGTGCCTGCCCTGGGAGAGGGTGGGAAGAAGTGGCTCAGCTGGGTCAGGGTGCATGTCGGCGTCGCAAGCGGGGAGGATGTAAGGGTGGTTTACCAGGTCAAAGTCGGCGTCGGCCCCGAGAATTGCGATGGCAAGTCGAGGAACAAGCAGAGCACGAGGTTACCGGCGACGTGGGGGGTGTTTCTGCCATGCTTTGCTCTACCAGTGGGTGAGCTGCTGGTTGACATCGAGACCCCGACTGGTGCGTTTTTTTTCCAAATTCGATACTCCACTATCTGATCCACATCATGCAATGGCACTGATTATTCTCCCAGGCCTCGTAATCACATCACTACGCTCGAATCTCGCTCACGAGCAGGTCCGCTTCGGGGCTTACGGCACGGAGTGCCACCGTTTGCGACATTATGCCTCGGATATGCTTTTCCTGCCATCTATCGCTATGACGCTCGACGTCCCTGCCTCGAAGACGGCGCCGAGCCGACGGCTTCGTCGACATGCCGCGAACGCTATGCCGTTCTTGACATGGACTGCTCACATGCTCCTCCTTGCTCTCGTGCTCGTAGGCGTGCACAACCTTGCCAAGGAGATCCAGCGTCGCGGGAACGAGCTGTCATACCCCCGTGATGGTATGGCTCCGACGTGCGCAACGAACGCCGATACCTTCACGATTACAGCTACGACGACCGCCACCCTTACCGTCCACGCGATGCCGAGCGCTGAGCCATCGTCTAGGAAGAGCACCCCAAAGGAACCCAGCGCGTCCGAACGCAGGTCCACCACCCTGCCTTCACCTGAGGTTACCATATGGCCTGATCCTATGCCGGAGCAGACGCCTGTCGTGGTCACGCCGGACTCGACGGCATTCCACCGCGTTAAGCCCGAAGCAACTGCGATGGATCACCGCGGCTCCTTGCTGCCGACATATGCCATGCCTTTCACTTGGCCCCTGCAATTTGACTTTGATATCACAGTTCCGCGTATAGCCAGGCAAACCGCGCATTCTCTCGTGCATCAGGTGCACAAATTATGGCAAGTCATGCGAACAATCTATCATTATCCCCTCCCTCCAACATAACATTGCTACTTACTCTTGGACCGCGTCCAAAGCTGTATGATGCTCTATATTCTCTTCGCTTGCTGGAGTATCTGTTCTATATGAATGCTCCCTAATCACGCTTGCTCACTCATCGCTTAATGTACTGCACCTAGTATTATGTGGTATGTAATAATGTATGGTACGAGACTGAGTGTCAGGAATACGAAGTTGTTGTACGACGGCTTCGCTCTGCAGCCCCGTGGCAGTATAAGTGGAATTACTGCGCACTGCAAAGTCTCGGACCTGTTCTCACGCCGGCTCTCCGCCAGCCTTGACCGGAAATCACGACGAAAGGGCTGATACTGTTTGAATGTTACCCCATGCGCTGAGGAGGATGTCTAGTCGCTCCGCAGCGACTGCAGCGAAGAGGACAGCCGCCATTTCTCAGCACCTCATGGCTGCGTCAACCAGCGCAGGTCCGGCTTCATTCGAGGTGCGCGTAACGTTCTCCTGCATTGAGGCACACTCCACTCATACGCAAGCTAGGCACCCGTTGTCTTTGAGTCCAATGCGGGCATGCGGAGATACATTCTCAATAGGGAGGCGAAGTTGAACGCGCTGAACACGGACATGATAAACCTGCTTCAACCCAAGCTGGAGGTGCGTCATGGGTCGGTGCTTGCAGACTTCCGACGGCTGACGTTGTTTATCTACTACCAAAGGAGTGGTCTCGCTCCGACCTCTGCCAGGTAGTGGTTGGATCCGGTAAAGGCCGAGGTTTTTGTGCGGGTGGGGATGTTGCCTGTGAGTTCCGGGACGACCAGAAGTCAACGTCGGAGCTGATGTCCCACAGCGGTTGTGCAGGCCGCCGCAGAAGAGTCAACGCGCAGCGAAGCTATCGAATTCTTCAAGAAGGAGTGAGTCTTTTCGGGTGCCCGCACCACCCTCTGTCTAAGCGTCATCAGATTTGAACTGGACTATGCCCTCGCGACATTGCCGAAGCCCTACGTCACCATCATGGATGGTATCACTAGTAAGCGCCAAGAAGGTATATATGTTTGCTCGCCCTAATGTGGATCATTCTCTCAGTGGGAGGCGGTGTGGGACTTTGTGCCGGCGCACCATTCCGTATAGCAACAGAGAACACGAAATTCGCGATGCCCGAAACAAAGATAGGGTATTCACCCGACGTGGGGGCGACATACTTCCTTCCGAGGCTGGACGGACAGTTGGGAGCTTATTTAGCTTTGACCGGGAACACGATATCGGGAAGAGATGTTTTGTCAGGGTTTCCCAGCTGTATTCGTCGACCATCCAATGCTGACTCGAGCTTTCTCGCTCTAGTGAGCTTGGTCTTGCCACGCACTACGTTCCATCAAGAAGAATACCCAGCCTTCTTGACCGCCTTGCGTCTTTGGAAGCTGTCACGCTTGACAGAATCAACCAGACGATCGAGGAACTATGTCCGGAGCGCTCAGACGAGCCTCCCAATCGCCTCGTAGGACCCGCGCGAGCTCTGATTGACTCGGCCTTCGGTTATGATAAAGTGGAAGATATCGTTGAGGAGCTCGAATTACACGCGGAGAAAGCCCCGCGCGAGCTCGCGTCCCTGTCGAAGGATATCCTTGACACCTTGCACCAAAGGAGTCCGACCAGCCTGAAGGTTGCACTGCGTGCGGTTCGGAAAGGAGCCAGTTTGTCATTGCTTCAATGTCTGCGCATGGAACTCGGCATCGCTGCGGCCTTCTGCGTGAGTGTACACTACGGACATATCATCCGCAATCATAATGGCGCCTTCTCACGAGGATCTGGTTATCTTATATCTTAGAGCGGCGCGAGTCCCGATTTCATCACCGGTGTGACCCATCTCTTGATTGCCAAGCAGGGAGGACGACCGGCCTGGTCACCAGACGCGCTGCAAGATATATCCGACCAGCAAGTCGAAGACAAATTCTTTTCGAAACAAAAATCTCCTTACCTGCAGGAACTCCCCGAGTTATCAATCCCGGACTTCCTGGATCGTACAACCGAGCGTCATCCAGGAAGGTTCGCACTGCCTTCGGAGGAAGAGATAGAGAAGGCGGTCGTGGGCGACCACGAGACCAGTGGTGATATGGCTGTTACGCTCGACGAACTGGTCGAGAATTTCGCCACCTTGCGACCAGGCAAAGTCGGTGTATCAGAGAAGATTCTGGAAGTGGTGCAGCGGCGATGCCGGGTCAGCGATGATGGGTACCTCGAATGGGTACATCGTAACTAGTCGCCCTGCTGGATATGCCCACAGCCGGCTCCTCTTCTCTCATTCTCTGTCTCACTACGGCATGAGCCCTTGGGGACGTGATGCAATCTTATCTGAACGATGCGATAGCGATAGCCCGCTATGCTTGTCGTTAGCCAGATTATCTCCCGCGAAAGCCCATGATCTTTCTCCCAAGGATGATGGTAACCTTAATAATTCGTGTCAATCGCCACTTACTTGGGTGGGTCTACTTCATTGCACATCGTCCTTGCGGAAGCATCAGATCGTGAACGGATCTCTCGGAAGAACGCATTTGCAAAGATACACTCTGATACACTGTGCAACGTGCCCCGGTGCCATTGCCAGGAAGCCGGCCCGCACTATTGCGGCATGCTTATTTTAGGTGATGCCCATGCAGCTTAGTGAATGATATCGTAGTGTGGACTTGGCACTCGTTCAGCATATCCTGTGAGCGATCTCGGGTTATACATGGTGATGGATAGGAAAAAGGAAGCACGTCTTTCGAGGGACAAGCAACGTTACCACATACACCGGAACCTTCGGAGACACGCTGACAAGAAAGATCCGTCTCTGCAGACCGGCAATGCGGATCAGAGATAGTCCGCAGGACAGAGTTCAGGTAACGCACCCGTTCTGGCGACTGCTGTCCTGCAGCGGGATCTTCCCCGACGTGTCAAATCGCGGGATCGTTGAGGCCGGATTGTCACCGAATAGAGTCATGGTACACGGTACCGTCACGCCGCCGCGAGCATCGCAGTCCCCGAAAGCTGACAATCGAGATTGAGATTAAGTCAAGCGAGGCGCTGCGATCAGACAGTCCATTCATCATACCTTGCGCGCCGAAGATGGGATTGAAGCTCTATAAGTATGTCTATTGTGAGCGATTGGCTCCACAAACTCGGGCGCACCTTGGGTGGTTCTGGAGATGATTGTCGTCCGCGTCTTCCTATGGCTGATTCGGGTGCTGCGTGCCTATCTCCTCGCTTCCCTCGTCACCCTATTTCCGGCACCGGCAGTGACCAGCACGCCTACATCCTGGTCGGCAAGCCCAGACTTCGACATCGATCCCTCCACGGGATATATACCGTCGTCTCCCTTGATCTGCCTTCCTACTCCCTTCGATGCCTGGGAGGATCTTTTGGAACAGGCACAGAGTTTTCTGCATCTTGGCGATGGCGTAGATGCGGAGTTAATTGGCGGAGGGCGCGAGGGCGACCTGTGGAGAAGTCGCGTACAAGGAGTGAGTATATCATCCCTTCACGTAACGCGGACAGAACCTGAGCACAGAATCATTAGCTGCCTGTCTTGGACCCATCGAAACTGTTAGACCTTCGACAGTTGCAGCGCGCTCACATGGTCTTGGCGTTCCTCGTCCACTTCTACGCCCATTCGACGCCGGTCGCGAAAAGGACCGGGCCCGTCATCATCCCGAGGTCCTTGTCGATCCCGCTTGTCATCGTCTCGGGAAAGATGGGAATCGCCCCCATCCTGACGTTCGCGGACACCGTCCTTTGGAATTGCGAGCGCACGGATGTCTCTGTGCCGCTATCTTTGCATAACGTGAGGCCTCGCGTCACGTTTTCAGGAACCGACGATGAGCGGGCCTTCTATATGGCCTCGGCAAGGACAGAGCTCCTATGCGCTCGAATTCTTCACATAATCCAGGAATATAATAAACTCGACCACACTCCTTCAATCGATACTATCACGCAATGCGCAGGTTACTTAGCACAGCTCGAGACCATCACGGAAGAGCTCACGGAGTACCTCGCCCATATACGTGACGAGGTGGACCCACACGTATTCTATGCCACCATTCGCCCGTGGTTCGTTGGGAGCGATCCAAAGAGCGGGCTGGAGCATAGTTGGGTTTACGAAGGAGTGCCAAGTGACGGACTAGAGCTCGATGGCCCTTCTACAGGCCAATCCACCGCCCTCCAGTCCTTGGACGTCTTTTTGGGGGTTGATCAGCAGATGGAAGGATCGAGCGGATTGCATCGCGGACCTAGGAGTGACCAAGGATTCATGCAGCGAATGCGAAAGTACATGCCCAGGAGTCACCGCGATTTTCTTGAGGAACTCGCCACAGGAGATGGACGGATCCGAGACTTAGTCAAGCGAACGCCCGCTCTGCACGACCGGTACAATTCGTTGGTGAAGGCGTTAACGAGATTGCGGGACATGCACATGCGCATCGCGACGCTGTACGTTGTGACCATGGAGAGATCCCATCGTCATACCGGGGCACGATGCCCATTCTCCAACATGTCGAGTCGGGTGAACTCCGAGGACACAGGGAAGACATCGGTGAGGGGAACTGGAGGCAACGAGCTATCTGCTTTGCTCAAAGCAGCCCGGGACGCGACCAAGAGAACAATGATCAATAGCATATAATGACTGTGTGGTAGACCTGGAGTCCTGGACTGTAGGCCCTTGATGTACTTGTTAGCCTGAGACGCGGATTATGACATACGTAAGTTACCTCCGGTTATGTAGCGTAGTAGTATTTGTATCTCTCAATCTTTGTGATATTCTTGTACAACGTTGTTCGCGAGTTTTGTCGATGCCGTTGTCTCCAGGGGAGGTTGCCATGTACAGAAGCTGCTAGCCACGGAAGTGAGGCTGAGATCAAACTTGGGCGTGCGCTTTCGATTGACCCTGCGGTATAAAAACGAGGATCGGCTTCCAAACAAATCAATTTTCATGCTTCGGGGTATCTTGGGACGGGCCCACAATCGAGGATCTAAAGTTTCGCTAGGGTAGTAAACAAGCAGAGGAGGGGCAAATGATACGGAGTTGCGCGAAATTGCTCAACGTTTGACCTCCGCAGGATCCGTGTGACATTCAACATGGACTACCGCGCCTAGTACTTACATGTCCTAGAGCTGAGTCCGGAGTCTGTATGTATTGTGCAAGTACTATGCAGACCAGTTTATGATTGGGCGGTCGCGGTCAGTGATGAAGAACTCGTTCGCGTTGCCGTTGGTCCGGTGCCCGCTGGTGCCCGGGTAAAAGGCACGTGATCATCCGGCCTCGTCCCCGTCAGACTCAAATCGCCTCTCCGCCAGCGTCTTGCGACCTCGCGTATTCACCAAGGACGATGGCGTCCGCCGCCGCACGAAGTCCGAACTCCTCCACGTTCCCCGCACTGCTGAAGCGAACAAAATTTGTGACATACGATCCGGCCATCGCGCAGGTCTACACCTCCCCCTCTGGCGATGCGCACCGCGGAAACTGGGGCCTGAAGCGCCCACTCGCGCTCAAGAGACGACGCGCTTTCATCACCGTCAAAACAGTTGACACCCTCGAGAAGCAGACGGACTGGGACCCCGCCAACCAAGAAGCACTGTTCATGAAGAAATGGGCCGAGGTCGGCAAGGTCGATAATCTGCAGCCGTATACGCCGTGGGCGGAGCAGCTAGGAGTTACCGGCTTGAATCGCTGGAACATCGACAGCGAGTTTGCTCTGGGGACGAATGACGGCTCGGCCTGGATCAACGCCGCCAAAGGGCAGCGGAAGGCCCGTACGAGGGTCAGCTCGCTTCAGCCGCAGAGCACCGGCACGAGCGCCGACCCCTCGCAAGTGCGAGAAGCCCCGACAAGTGTCGACCCTCCTCAGGTGCAGGGCCTCATACCGAATCCCGAGGCGATGAAACCGAAGGAGTTCGAGGCATATCTGGATGATATCCGCGAAATGCGACCGGAGTTCTTGGAGTTCTTGAAGCAGGAGGCGGCCAAGTCAGAGGCGGAGGAGCGGAAGCATCTGTCCCAGGAAGCGCTCAATGCACAATCAAGCTCGCGGAATGGGGCCTCACGTCGGCGGATTGGCGTGTCCGATGACCCGCTCACCCAGTATGCTCAGAACTCGAGCATTTATCGTACATTCCTCCGAGAACGTGCCATGAATCATGCTCTCGACCCCCACTCGAGGAGGCTCGAGCGCCAGCCCCACCCAGACGCTGGCCTCATCTACATCAAGCTACCCCGGCTCCAGCACTACTTCATGACCAAGCCGCAACCAGGACGGGTGTTGCAAGGCACGTCGTTGGTACGCGATGCGCAAGCCTACATCACCAGCTTCGCGGGCATGACGCCGCTCCTCAACCGCAGAGCTCACGGTGACCAGACCAACGTCGACTTTGGCACAGACAAAACGCCGCGTTACGACAGCCAAGCGGGCATCCTCCGAATGCGACTCCGCAAAGCTCAATTGCTTCGCGCGCCTGAAGTTGTCGGCAGGCACACGACGGGCCTCAGTGGTGCGCGCATCACCGGCGAGGTCGAACCCGTGGGTCAGATGGATGCGTACCGCCCTGTCACCTGGGTGCCGGGCAGCAGGGACTACGTCGGAGCGTTGACGCCGCTCGATGGACCAGTCGCGCCCATGCGCTCTGGCTTAGTACCAGCCCCGAAATCGAGATCAGGGCAGGGAGCAGCGAATTACCTCGTGAAGAACTCCATGCAGGGAGAGCAGTTGTTGAACAGAATCAAGGGCTTACTATCAAACATGAAGACTGACGAGGTCTCGGAGGGGGACGACTTCTAATCGTTATATGGAGGGTATGACTTAGGATACTCAGTATCATAATTTGATGATTCGGCTGAGGGCCCGATCGGAAGCACAGGAAACTTAGTGGTTTGGAGGGGTTATGGATTGTGTGCTAAGCAATACTTACGTATACATATCCCGACCTTCATTGCCCAGGTATCCGAGGCATTGCACCTGAGTGCGTGCTTCGTGATCCGAGAGATTGCAACACCCGATGATTGTTCAATATGATACAGAGACAGGGAGCACACGTAAGATGACCAAGAACTGTACAGCTACTGGCCATGGGCCCAAGGGGTCTTGAGCAGGTCGCGCAAGTACGCTGCATCCGCAGCATAGTCTAAGGGCGTTATCCTCGAAATCCCGTATCGCACACGTGTCGAGTCCTAGCATAGGTTAGCGCCGGGGCACGCTACACGCATCCGTCACTCACGCCGAATGTGTCTTGCTTCGCGCGGCATGAGAAATTGAACGTTTGGCAACCGGCCTTGTGCAGGATACCATTAAACTTTGCTTCGTCCCGTTCCTGAACGATATGGAGTTAGAGGTGTTTTATGGAACGTGCAAGCTTACTACCTTGATCTGAACTAGCTCGGTGGCGCTCATGTTGTTAAATACCGCGAGCCCGACATCGTTGAAACCTTGGAACCAAGCTTGCCCTGTATGATCGGCCACAGCCATGGACACAATGTATCTAGTTGGGCGTCGCATGAGCAAAATTTGGGACACAATCAGGCTGCGCAGCATACCGGTACTCGGGCGCATCGTAAGACTCGTCGCACTTTTCGCAGCGCCATCTGCCGTCGGGGATCTGCACGACCTTCTTGTTGCACCCTTCCTTCGGGCACGCGGGATAAGCTATGTTCTCCCCGCGGACGTGCATGACTGTCGCTTGAGCGAAGAAGTTGTCAGGCCGGTCCGACGAGCCCAATTGAAGGTCCCGAATTTCGCCCAAGGTTTTCACCTCGGCTCGGTTGAAGGTGCCACCCATACCCGCACCGCCGGCTCCGCCCGACAAGAAGCTATGGGACTGGAAGGATTGACTGTTGCCCACGCCGTCGTACCAGCCACGGAGGTGGTGAACCTCAGGGATGTCGGGTTCGATCTGCATGGTACTGGACGAAACCATCGACAGGGAGCGACCTATAAATGTATGGATGTCAAAACCGAATGTCTCCTTTGGGGAGTGGGGGGAGAACCCACCTCCGAAATCACCGACTCTAACGCCCTTGAAGGCGACGACAGGGTTGTCGGTATGGTTCCAGGCTTCGGCTTGCTTGCCCCACAGCGTCAATCGAACAGAGTAGCCAGAGCTATCGACCAAAGTTAGTTCGCGTTTCAAGAGCTAGGTAGTGCTGTTCGTGAGCTATCTGAAGGGAGACTTTATGGGGCCATCCTACCTCCTTGTGGGTCGTCTTGGAAACAATTGTGGCAACGCCGCCGTCTTCCTTGACCACCCCAAGCACGTCTATGAAGGCACTCTGAGAAGCAGTAGGAGAAGCAGTATCTCTACGCTTACCACACGTTGAGTCTTTCTCCTTCTGTTCCAGTTCGGCCAACGGTGTGAATTCGTACTTCACTGCAGGAACTCCGGAAGGATCGAGGCACTGGGAAAGTCAGTATCCGTGCGTCGGTATAACAACGATGTCTACCTCTTCGACTTCAGTGTTACGCTCGAAGCTCAGTTCATAGTCATTGGCGAGGTTTGAGAACTTCTTCTTAGCCAGGTTGACCCGCGCCCGACTAATGAAATACACCTTGCCCTCCTGGAACTTTTCGTAGAGCGCGTCTACGACGTCGTTGAAGCCCGTCCCTCTGATCTCGCCGCTTTCGTCCATAAGCGTGACATTGAACAACTTGCCTTCTCCACGCTGGTTTGACCAAGTCCGGATGTCAGACTTCTGAGTGACCCTGGCTTTGATCGTCCAGTTGTTCTGGTACGGCGAAAGCCCTTCGATAGGGAGGATCGCTGATTGACGGCCACCACTCTTGTTACCGGGCGTCGAGCGTTGAGGAGCGGATCTCGGTGGGACCGTGTTGGAAACGGACGGCGCTGACGCACGCGCGGGGGCAGGGGTAGGGGCGGTCTCAGCCATCGGGACATCACCGTCTGTCGTGGGCTGATCGCTCAATGTTATGGCAGAGGGATCTCCGATCTTCTCGGCAATCTTCAGGACTGGAGTCAGATCCAGAATAATGATAAGTCTATACAATGAGTTAAGGCGGGTCACGAGTGGCTGTATATTCAGTTAGGCTCACCGCCTCTCCTGGACGACGTTCGCGGTAAATCGATCGAGAACGACAATGCTGTGCTTGCCAATAGTTTCATCCTCAATAAGATGGTTGAGTTGTGTGGCTAGCATGGCTTGTACGAAGTGTTCTCCGTCGGACATGATAATGCGGTACCGGTCAGGCGCGTTCGCCCCAGGCGGGCCAGTTGGACTAATCTTCTTGATGGACAGAAATTGGACAGTAGGGCAGCTCAGATAAATCTCTTGATCATCAGTCTGAGCGTGCTGAAGGCGCAGGCATAGACCACGAGTGAGTTGTTCGGCCATCGAGAAGAAGAGGCAGCGAAAAGACAACGGGAGGTCGCGACGCGTGAACCGCGTTATATAGCGCGTCACTTATGTAATCGCGAAATTTCGGCCAGCGCCGTGCCCGGGCCAGTCGACCAGAGCTCATTCAGCCAGCAGCGGATGGCGGCCAAGGATGCTACTTCGACGCTCCCGCTGCAGCCCACGAAACCCTCTGGGCTAAGGTCGGCACTGCAATATACTGGTACGCGTGCCATGAACATCGTCTGCAGCCTCACAGCCCTGATCGCGAGCAGGAATACCCCCTTCGTGGTTTGAGAAGCGGCCCAAGCTTCCCTCGCGCAACTGGCTTATATTCATCTCAGTCACGGCTTCCATCACTGGCTACTATCTCTACGACCGACGTGAATGTAAACGCATAAGGCAAGAGTATGTGGACCGCGTCAAGCACCTCGCCGAAGCACCTCTCGGCACCATGGAGCTTCCGCGGAAGGTGACGGTATACGGAGGCAAATGGCCAGGGGACGACGACTACGACCGCAGCATGAAGTACTTCAGGAAGTATGTCAAGGTGAGCATGGCCTCTTTTACACCTCAGCTTATGTACTCATCCTCACTTGCAGCCCATCCTTGTCGCTGCAGCTGTAGATTACGATATGATCAAGGGCAAACGTCTCGGGGACATCTCGAATCATGTCGCGGAATCTATCAAAACCCGGCGCCGCATAGACGCTGGCTTGGAACCCCTACCGTCACTCGCCACGCCCGCTGTTCAGAAACGTACTCCGGAACAGGAGCTTGAAGGTGGCATCGTCCTTATCGGAAGAAGCACCTTCAAGGAGTTTATGCATGGGCTCGTACGAGGATGGACCGAAGGTCTCGAGAAGGTCGATCGCGAAGAACAGTTGGCGAACGAACTGGCGAACGACGGTGCATTCGACGAGCCTGATACGGAGTCTCTAGCATCTACGACCTCGAGGCCCTTGGCTGACGATGAGCCTATACCCACACCCTCACGACTCGCCCCTTCCAGAGTATTACCTGGCACATTAGCCCAGTTCAAAATGCCTGGGATGACCCAAGCCTCGCCATCGTCATCCATCATCTCTGTCACGTCTTCAATCCCCGCCCACCTGAACGCTCCTCCGGAATCCATTCCCCCGCTGCCTCCTCTCCTCTTAGTGTCCTTCACCAACTTCGTCGGGCTCAAGCTCATACCCCATATGATTTGGGACTTCTTCAATGAACGGTATAAGGTAGCTTCTGGCTCCAGGGACGGATACAAACTGGTCATGGGCATCACCCGGCCATTCCTTGCGCCTCCTCCTTCTCTCAACGCGCCCGCATTCGACCCTTCGATCGACCCGGTTCAAGATTTACGACCCCAACTGGACCTCGACTTCGATCGGGATGTCGAGTCCTACTACAAGAACTCGCTTCAGAAGATTCCCTCAGAAATTGAGTCGTCTCGAAAATCCTATTACAAGAGCCTCGCGGAGAAACTGGTCACTGCTCGTGCTCTAGCTCGTGGTGACCGCGAGCCTACGAAGGAAGAGCTCCAGAACCCCCCTCCTACTGAGGTTGAGCTGCGCGCGGAGAGGATCAAGAAGGAATTGCGTTGGAGAGGCGACTTGGAAGGCTGGGAGATCGTAAAGCCTGAAAACCAGACGTTGTGGGATGAACGCCTCAGGGGCGTTCTGAAGGTTTTCGTCGATCCGCCCGAGGACGGCGCGTTACCATCGTCGGATGACAAGACTGAGACCCGAGCATGAGAAACATTTCACAGTATTCGAGCGTCCATCACGTTGCAGCACGAGGCCATACATAATTTACAGCGCTTTACTATAATGCACAAGCTTAGCGGGGACTAGTCATCTGTGATCTCTACAGAACCGCTGTTCAGGAAGGCCTCAATCTCAGCAAGAGGGTTGTCCGTGTAGTAATCCTCGTGATCCTGACTGCCAGATTCATCACGAGCAACATGACCTTGATGGCCGTCATTGAGTGAGTATGTGTTGTGTAGCTGATCGCCAGATAAAGACGTAGCAGCAGAGTCTTCAGGAACGAAGTCAAATAAAGTCATGTCGAACTCAAAGCCTGTATCCGGGTCACCGAAGTCAAACTGCGAGTGCAGTGCTTCCACATCTCCGTTGTCTAGTGTGCGTGCAGTAGCGCGCTCGCGGTCTGTCCTATGTGAATCCGGTGACGAGCCGCGTAGAAACAATGAGTCTGCCTTTGAAGGAGGCTGTTGTTGTGTCTGGTCGGGTTTCTGCGTGAAGGCGTGCAGTGCATATACATGGTATGACATGTATAATGCATACCGTATTTAGGAGTTCATCAGATCCCTCTTTGTAACGCTTGGCCGGCCAGTCATAAGCCTCGTCTTCGTATGACCTTTTGAGAGAAGATTCCGCAGATGTGCTTGCGGGTTCCAAGTCACGTTCGTCAGCACACTCATACAGCAGGGAATCCTTCGGAAGATCCATGTCGCGGATGAGAGCGTCCATTTCGGGGTTGCTGTAGCTGCTTTCTGACGAGGTTCCCAATTCTTGGCCAACGTTCTTCTGATCAGAATTCCTGGCGACACGAAATAGTTCATGGACGTCTGGAAACTCCACGTCGTCGTCTGAATGAGATCCGGTCACGGTGCAGGACTCCGAAGAAATGTCAGCAAGTTCGACGTCGAAACTGGGAGCGGGCCTGTGCTTCCCCGGTCTCTGAGAGCCTACAGAACTTTCCACGTCTTCGAGTTTGAGCCGCTGATCACCGAAGAGCCGTAAACTTCCTCGAACGTTGGCATCCGAATGTAGTTTGTCCAATTGGTTGAGGCGTGCGTCTAACTTCGCAGAAGATTTCGTGGCTGGAGCAACCTTATGTACTGTCTTCACGACATGTGTAAAGTCGTCAGAGGGTTTCTGACGAGGCACGACTGCCGTGTTATCCTTCCTCGACTTCGACCTTGCTTGCGCGTTCTCTTCTTTCGACGAGTTGTGTCGTCTCTTCGGAGTGTGAGGCGGCTTCCCCAGCCCATCCCGGCAGCTGGACGCTGCGGTCCATAATGCGCTTTTACAGGGAAAGTATTGTTGCTTACCAGAGGTGCCTACAGGTTGCCTTGTCTCTGCATGTGTGGTTGCAACTATCGATGCGCACATTGAGCGTACAGCTAGGATTGGCATGCTGTGGCAGTGGCATACTCACGCATAGTTCCCATTGGACAGTTTTGGATGGCTAGGAGCGGCAACCGAATCTTGGACATCAATGTTCCTTCGGATCAGGTATCGCGATGGAGTTGAAGGCACTGCAAATAGGGTTTACACTCCTGCCTGCATACCAGGGACTCCAACTAGTACCTTGATGCAGGGCCAACGTGTTCTTCGGACAATCCTCGCCATCATCCGGCCCGAAATTCCAGAAGTCCGGATCGTCTTCCAGGCCCACCAAGTCCATTTCCTACACGACGCTTCGATTCAGTGTGAAGCTCGAAATGGTAGTGATGTCCTTGCCGCTGATGTCTGCGGTCGAGTGTCCAGTATAGGATACTGCTTCGGATCGATCTCCGGCTTGTAGGTCCTGGTAACCCCATTGCCTGCAACGCTCTCCTACGTCAAGCGAATGAGAACGGAGCTTGTCTCGGATCTCGTTGAGACTTACCGATGTGATGGAGATGATGACTGATTGACTCGGTTTGATCAGGGATGCTATCACAGTGAATGATTTCGATCCCTGCAGCAATTTCGTTCTATACCTGGACATCAATGCCCGACCACGGTGAGTGCAGCACCTCGGCTACTCACGGTATGGTGCGGAAGTCGAGGAATTGATGATCGGAGGTCATAGTCAGAATGCAAGTCTTATCCGACCGGTGTCTGGCTTTCTTCAGCCTCGAATGATTGGACCCTGTGCCTTCGTGGAGGATACGACCGCAATCTACTTTGAGTTTCACGTGCACTGGCCCTCTTCCATCCTTAGTGCGAATTTCCACTTCCGAAATCTCGAGTCGGTATGTAGGAATCTCCTTGCAGCTCTCGAGGATTTCTTGCCCGTATGGAGGTCTTCGATTCAAGAGCTAGTGATCTCAAAATCATGATCAGTCACTCGAGAACCGAAGCATCCGTACTATCTCGATCCGGAGGGGATCTTGTTTCCTAAGCACATCCAAGCTTGTGACTCCATGTTCAGCCAGGGTTTTCAGGCTGAAAGGTTAATCAGTTGACGGATGACTCGAAACGACGGTATACGCGCACGATTTCTCTCCTATTGATTCAATCTGCCGCAGCACAGTTGGTCTATCCTCCCAAGTCTTGGCAGTCAAACACCGTACGCTATGCACGAAGGTTCGTGAATGACCTATGCCAACAGCATAGCGTTACGCACAGTTCCAGTCCATGGAGGAGCTGAGTCGCTGACTTCTTGATGACAGCCACTTCTACGATCCCTAAATGATCATCAGGTATCACGGGCAACACTCGCTGGTCCGAAGGGGCCCACCCTTTGCTATGCGGGGAGCGTGTCGAAAGATAGTCGTCGATTCCAGATATGGTTGGCTGTCCGCAGTTCTGTACTCAGGCGAATTCAAATAAACGCCACCTAATACGGCCTACGTGCAGAGATTTTAGTGAACATTCGCGCATGTCATCATTTTATACACCTGCATGAGGATAAATATCTTGTCGCCAGGCTTTTCTATCTTGCTGAGCTTGAAACGGACGCCATCGTCCGTACGTAATTTAATATAGACCTAGGAGCATGAGGCTCCCGGGGTTAAGGAACGGATTGTGTTACATTACCTGTTTCTCTCCCGCTCGAAGTTTGAGGTCATTCAACCTATGAATTGCTTTGCGGCTCTTGATCGCGTGTTCGGCCGGAAAGTGACTCACTCGTCAGCGGAGGCAATAACTTCCAGCTACGAGAGTCATTCAGAAGCATCCCGCTACCACAGAACCTGGTCCCTACCATATCTCGCAAGCTTGCACGATCAGGTAATTTGAGAATCAAACTCATCTATAACTGAATCAGCCAGAAGACATCGTAGTCGATATATCGGCCGACCGTAGCTAAACGGATGTACAACTGCAGAAGAACATAGGTCAGGAAAGAAGCTAGCAAGGCCAATAGAAGATCTACTCACTTTGCTCATGATCTCTCCATACTCTGTTAGGCGCAACCTGCTCTCATCGCCGTCGGCGTCTCCAGGGGTTTGCAGTAGCTCGTGGTCCCCGAGTCGCTTGACGGTTTCGTCCACTAACCGGTCAAACTTGTTCTCCCATGTTTCTTCAGCATTCTTCCCGATGTGGTAGTAGCATGGATTGCGTTGTATCCTTTGGAAGAGAAACGAATCTTTCAGCCATTTTCGCGCACCGCGGATATCGGTTATGGTGCCTAGACCAATCTCGGAGTTAATGTGCTCGCAAAGGTTTAAATGCAGACAGGATTCAAGAAGGGTTTTCCCTTGAGCTAACGCTTGATACTTCGATTCAAGCTGCTGCTCGCACATGATGATGGCAAGGCCTTCGTTATCTGGTCATCGTGTCGTGAGATTGTTTGTTTTCCGTCTATAACACACAGTACTTCACCGAATTGCGGTCTACCCTGAGGATAACGTCAGACAGCATTCGCGTAGCACATAAGTTAACTTACGGCACGACCTATCATTTGCATAACGTCCAAATCGGAATACTCCTGGCAGGTGTTGTTATGATAAACCTTGACACCTCTGATGACAACAGTGTGCGCGGCTAGTCCGTCTCACGATGAGACACCTCTCGGAGCTCCGGTGAACAAGCTCTTACGGAGGTTCACGCCAACGGCCAACGTCTGACCCTTATTTCAGCTATCTGTGATGCAACTCGCTGTGAACGGCAACTCACCGATGTAGCGACGACAACATTCAGGAATTTGTTCAAGAACAGTTCCTCTGTTGCTCGTCTATCGCTCATGCTGATACCGGCATGGTGCACGCCAATGCCATACAAAGCTAGCCCTGCAGCGTCCATATTAGTCGACGAGGCGAGCCAGCTTTTCTGCAGTTGACGTACGCTCCAAGCGTTTGTCATCGAACATCCGATCGCAACTAGAATTTTGTTTTATCACTGATGGCAAGGACTGCTAGTAAGAACAGAACCAGCCTTTTCGGTTTGAGCCAAGGGACGTCGAGCCCTTTACCCAACGCATTGGAATAATCCGCAAGCAGCCGCTCGGCTGTTGCTAGCACACCTGCAAGAACACGAACATTCTGGCAACGCTCCCTATGTGTATGGAAGGAACGGCACCTTTGCGCGTGGCGACAAAGATCAAGATCGGCTTTTTCCTGCTATGTTCTTGTAGGACGTTGAAGAGTTTAGCATCAAGTATCTTGGCAAATGCGAAATCATTCATATTCTGAGGTCGCTGGAAGGCTTTGACAACTCTTGTAATCTTGCACGGCCGGAATGACTCATCAAACTGGTCATTGAGAATTATTAATGAATAGCTGTATAAATTACGCGCGAACTGAAATTGCAACTTGCCTCGAAGATCTCAGCCGGACCATGGCATGGTTGGTCAGAGGTTGCGCATCCCACCCAATTTGCAATGTCCACGATATTGGGGACAGTGGCAGAGACCATCATAAAACTAGGGTCACAGCTTTAGCCGCTCGTGGTATAGAGTAGCGCTTGCCACCTACCGGACTTGTGTTCCGCGATTCTTCATACGAGAGACCACAACTTCAAGTGTACCTCCCCGGGACTCATTCAGAATATGGACCTAGGGAGTTGTTTAGCACAGAGCAGAAACCTTGTGTACGACAAGCTACGTGCCTCATCGACCATAAAAAGTTTGATTCGATCCAAAATGTATGCGGACTCCGACCAGTGGCGTGTCAGGCTATCCCACTTCTCGCCCTGTTGGACATGACAAGGTACTTGAAATAACGTATGGTGTCAGTCAAATGGTGGCCATCCTACCGTAGTGACGCTGGAGTAAGTGTTAGTCGAGCCTTCCTTGGTGAAGCAAGAGATTCCCACATGATGCTGGCATGTCGAGCGTCGCCCCACGCGCTCGATCCAAATTGAGCAGTATCGCCAGTAAGCTCGCAACCTGACATCAACCACAGGAGGTTCAATGCACGCAAAGGACCAAGAGACGAGGGTACTGCACATTTCACTCCGATTCCTTCAAACTTCGTCGCCCAATCTCGAGCTCTTTCTGCGCAAAGAGCCTTTCACATCTCAGCAGCACGCACAACTACGTCGACATTCTCGGATGCATACCTTTGTGGGTGCCATATAGACACATTTCGATCGCCCGGCACGATCGTTCATAAGGATCCGTATCATTGCCAACTCGAATAATACAGTCTTTCCCGATCCCGTAGGGGCAGATATGACCTCGATGGACAAGTGAGTGACCGCCGCTCGACTATAAGGATCGCGAACGCAATACACACAATATTCTCGTCTGAATTCATGATGCTGTTGAAGCACTTGGTCTGAATGGCGTTGAAGACACCGAACTTGAAGATTGAACGGTAGATGTCGGCTTATCGAAAAGTATGACTCGGAGGGAAACAGCACCAAAAGAACGAAACGCACGTAACGCAGATACAGGTTTTAACTGAACGCCGTGCTTTTCAGGGAAGGCGTGATCATGTTCGCTGGCAGGGTTTGGAGAGACTGTATCGGTGTAGTCTTCCGCGCGATCAGAGTCATAGTAGTCGATATAGGCGTCATTACGTGGATGATGCTGTTGGTATGGCTCTCCATGAAGCATCAAGGACTTTCTGGCAGTGTTCACAGCCTTTTCGGAAGCATCTGCGTTTCTGCGTTGATGGCTACTGTGTGTGTGACCGAAGGAGTCAATGTGCTGACTGCTTGTGCGTAGCAGCAGTTGATCTCCACGGAATTCTGTACTCTCATAGCCGTGCTCCATCACGTAGTCATGTGTCGCCTGTATAGCATTAGGTCTCCTCCATTGCAAAGAAGACGGGGTATGACATCGCTCATCCTTCCCAAATGGTAGCGTCTGAGGACCGTGTTGTTGGCTGGAAATGCGGACAGGAATCTCATCCGCGTAGGAGCCTATATGCGCCGTTGCTATATCATTAGATCCTCGCTCATCGATGAATCAGAACGAAAATCCCCCACCATTCCGCAGTACGTCATCCTGATGGTAGGAGTGGGTTGTGTCGCGGAGCGATGATAGGTAATCGTCCGTGAAGTGCAAATCATATCTGTCAGCCAGACCAGAGGAACGCTGCACAGGAGATGGAGAAGAATACTCTTGAAAGGGTGGATATAAATGCATCGAAAATCCTGATCACGCATATACGCACGGAATTCACCGTGGTGAGACGAGTAAAGGCCATCGGCATCGTCAGGATCAAAGGGATCCGAGGATTGATGAAGTTCATAGTCCTTTGTTGGTTGCGCATATATATCGACACCACCGGGAGGATCGTTATGGTAGTTGGACACGAATGCATGCTGGTAAGGCATACTGGGAAAAGCTGGTGAGAGCGAAGTAACTTGAATCGGTGTAGTGCGAGCAACCGGTTGCACTTGCAGTAGGACGAACTTTAGGTCTTGAAAAAGGCGGACTGAGAACCGCCCGCCGCGTTTGTCACAGACACGCGACCAGTCACATGACTCGCATACGTGACATACGCGTTTATCGTCAGTTCCAGCCCGCCCTCTACTCTCGCCTTCCGTGCTCCTTTTCCTGGTGCTACGTAGCAACTCCTATCGGTGGGGTTGACCCTGAACCTGTATTGGTCTTTTTGTCTCTGCGATCATCATCACCTTTGAGGAAACGGCTTCGGACTGATCGTTTCGCCCCCATGGCGCAACCTTCCCAAAGTGACAAGCTCGAAGAACTGTTGAATAAGTGTGTGTTACACATGTAATGCTGGCTTCAGTTCGGAGCTAACTGAATATCTTTAGAATCCACTACTCGGATCGGTATTCCGATGATGAATTTGAGTATCGGCACGTCATCCTACCGAAACCGTTGTTCAAGATGATTCCAAAGCAATATTTCAATCCCGACGAATCAGGTTGACACACATCAAGACATTATGATTGTATTGCGCCGATGTTGATGTCCTTTTACCAGGGACACTGCGCCTCTTGACCGAAGCCGAATGGCGAGGAATCGGTATCACTCAGAGTCTTGGATGGGTTCATTACGAGGTTCATGGTGAGAGCGATATTCGTGTATAGCATAGTGAAAGCAGCCCAACCTGCTGTGTAGCACCTGAACCGCATGTCTTGCTGTTCCGACGACCGAAGAACTTCGATGCAGAACATCAGGTTGCACCGGCCGTGAGTTCAAACTCGCATTGCCCTGAGATTGCATTGATTCTCACCTAATCCAGGCCAATGGCAAGAAAGCTGCGCCACGACGGAAATAGGCATCGTAGTATACACATCTATGTTATCTACGTTGTTCGGGATGTTGTCAGGTTTTGTTTCGTTTCATGTTGTCGCTCGTACTACCGTCTTCAGTCATCTATGGATAGTCTTCTCAATCGCATAGTCTGAGTGTTCTTTCTTGCCGTGTTGGATAGTCACAGAGCAAAATCGAGCAAGGTAATCTTGTAGGGGAAAGCTAGATACATATTTACTTGTCAAGACGATATCTCTCCCTCCCGAACTCTCCTTCCCTCATCGCCTCCACAGCATCGGTAACACATGGATCGTAACTCATACTCTATCCTGGTTATAAACCCGAATTCCACTGTGTCGATGACTATCAGTTTGGTAGATGTCGTCGAATCTCTTAAGTATAATGATGTGCGTATTTTTCTTCGCTACCGCTGGTTTTCACCATCAGGATGACATGTTTACCGACAGACTCGCTGCGAGTACTTCACAGCGCCATCCGGACCACGTAGCATCGATAACGCCTCGGATGCTACTCTAAGCATGGAACGATGCTTGCCCGCGTTGCTCCCAATGCTGCAACGACAGGATGCTTTCCTTGTCGCATGCTACAGCGAGCATCCCCTGGTGCGTGAGCTACAGAATCGGACACACCGTCCAGTCGTAGGAATCCTGGAGGCAAGTATCGCAGCTGCGTTGCAGACGATACGGCCTGGGGAGTGTTTTGGGATTGTCTCCACAGGTAAGTAAGATTGGCGAAACGCTGGGCGCTTAAACTCGATCCTTCCAACAGGGGCCGTATGGCAAGAGCTCCTAACGATAGCTGTCCATAATTTCTTGGGAGGTGATAGTCAGAAATTTGCAGGCGTGGAAACAACAGGCCTCTCTGCGGTGGAGTTGCACGATGCCCCAGCCGATCTTGTGAAGTGCCGCATGCAGGATGCCGTCAAAAGATTGCTTCGTGGACGGAATGCCGTGGTCGGGACGATATGCCTCGGGTGCGCAGGCATGGCTGGATTGGACCACATAGTCAGAGAAGCCTGCGTACAGGAACTTGGAGATGAAGGGAGGAACATCAGGATAATAGACGGGGTTAAGGCTGGGATTGGGAGTCTCCAAACGTTACTCCGCGGGGCTTTCTGACCATGATTGTCTGCGTCCATAGGAGTCATGAAAAAAATCACGACTCATCCCTTCACGCAATTTGTTTCAAATAAGTCATATTTTTGAAGCGTCGTGACCATGACGAGCACACCCGGGCCACTGCGCTTGTCACGTGATTGTACTATCGGCGAGTTACCTAACTGAGCCATATTTGGCATACGCCATGCTCTGCGGTGGTGAGGTTTGCCTTCCCATTGTCCCCATTATTGTTGACTGTATTGCAAGTCATCTAACCCCCGAGCTCGAGAAATTACGTATGGGACGCCGTGCATAACCTGAGAAAAGGTGATCTACCGCGTTTGAGGAACCAGATCGAGTTGACTGAGACCGACCTCGACGACACGTAACACGTTGCGGTACTTCCTTTGAGCGGCGACCTCGCAAGCGCTTCCATCGAGACAAAGCAAGTCTATCACATACCGCATATAGTGTGTTCTAATTGTGTTGACTGATCGGGTTACTCAGACCATTGCGTGAAGCTTGGTACTGCGCTCAGTCTTTTGTAGCGCATGCGGAGTCTCCCGTTGCGCCTCGCGACCCTGCCTTGCTTGCGACTCCACAGCACCGACCGCTCTGTGGTATCTCCTATCAGGCGCTTCACCATGGGCTCTCTCGATCCCGACTGGAAGCCGATCCATGCTCGAGAGAACGTACCTGCATACAGGCTCTTCACAAAGCCAATCGAAAAATCGGAACAAGATGACAGGGACTACAGGGTGATAGAACTGCTTAATGGACTTCAAGCTACTATCGTATCAGACCCTGCAGCGGATAAAGCTGCTGCCAGTCTCGATGTAGCAGTTGGGCACCTGTTTGATCCCGTGAGTTGGTTCATGTTATGATCTCGCCTGAGGGTGCTCAGACTGTGCCGTGGCTCAGGATGATATGCCAGGTCTGGCACATTTCTGCGAACATCTATTGTTCATGGTTCGTAGCGCTACGTTTGTTGCCGGTCTCCACTGAAGGAGTCATTAGGGTACGGAAAGTTATCCAAAGGAAAACGAATATTCTGAGGTACGCGAGACGACGCGGCATCCTACACTCTCTCACTCTCCGACAGTTCTTGGCGAAAAACGGCGGCGCCTCTAATGCTTTCACGTCCACCATGAACACCAACTACTATTTCCGAGTCAACACTCCTGCTCTGAGGGGCGCGCTTGCCCGCTTCGCCGCCTTCTTCCACTGCCCGCTTTTCTCGCCGAGCTGCACCCTCCGGGAACTGAATGCCGTAGATTCAGAACACAAGAAGAACCACCAAAATGACATATGGCGGATATATCAGCTCAACAAGAACCTCAGTCGAGAAGGGCATCCTTGGAGCAAGTTCGGCACAGGTAACAAGGCGACTCTGGAACAGGCAGCACGACAAGCAAGGAAGAAAGGCCTTCTCGGTCCCTCGAAACTAGGGGATGACAATCTGGAGCCTTCTCGGAGCCCTTCGCCAGCGCCATCTCAGGCATCTACGACCGTCAGCGAAACAGAACCTGATGGAGGTGTTGTTGGCCGAGAAACGAGGCGTCGCTTAGTGGAATGGTGGACCAAGGAATACTGCGCAAGTCGGATGAAGGTCTGCATCATCGGCAAAGGTGGTTGGATCATCTACCATGCGTATATTGCTTGCTTATGCAAACGGCAGAATCCCTTGACGAATTGTCGGATCTAGTCTCCTTGATGTTTTCACCGATACCCAACAGAGGAGCAACGCCACTGCCCACTATCAACGAACATCCATTCGGGCCCAACGAAAAGGCTGTACGTCCTGCGAAATTGCCATCTGTTCCACTACTTGACCTGCTTACAGACAATTGTATCCGTGCAAACAATCATGGATTTCCACGCCATGGAGACGTCCTGGCCATTAGCGTGGCAAGCGCCCCTTTGGCGATACAAACCAGCTAATTTCATATCTCATTATCTCGGACACGAGGGTCCAGGTTCTCTGCATTCTTATCTGAAGAACAAGGGCTGGATAACAGCTCTGAGCAGTGGCCCGCAGAACCTTGGCCGCGGCTTCGCCATGATGAAAGTTACCATACATCTGACCAACGAGGGCTTCAGTATGCAGCCTTTCCGATCTTCCGATGAATTAGCTAACACGTAGAACCAGGAAATCACCGTTCCGTGATGCTTGCGGTGTTCAAATACCTTTCCCTCCTTCGTTCGTCAGCCATTCCTGCTTGGGCTCAGCGAGAAACAAGCCTCTTGTCTCGCATCCGTTTTCGCTTTCGGGAGAAGCGTCGTCCAGACGACTACGCTGTATCTGTTGCTGAGTATATGTCCTGGCCGACCCCTCGCGAGCTCATTCTCAGCGGCCCTGCGCTCGATTGGGAGTGGAAGGACGAAGAGGGAGAGCGACTTGTCCGCGAACTCCTGAACACCTTGCGAGTCAGCGAAGGTCGTGCAGTATTGATGGCGCGAGGCGATCAGCATGCATTGCTGAGAGATGGTCAGGACGCGGATTGGAAGCAGGAGCCGGTTTATGGGACGAAGTTTCTGGTCGACAAACTTGACGCAGCCTTTATGAAAGAGGCGGAATCGGGAAATGACATCCAGGAACTCTTCCTACCGGGGCCGAACGAATTTATACCAACTAATCTGGAGGTTGAGAAAACCCACGTGACTGAAGTATGTATGTGAGTTATGCTTACGGTCCTCAACTGATGTACGTTGTGCCAGCCTTCGCGACGCCCGTTCTTGATCCGAGACACTCATTCGTCAACATTGTGGCACAAGAAAGACGACCAGTTCTGGGTCCCAAAGGCTCATGTCGTCATACAGATTTCTAGGCAAGTAGCGAGCGTTTCTAGCTTTGACATGCTTAAGAACTGTCAATTCAGCTCGGCTGCGAATACCTCTCCAAAGGCATCGGTCATGACAAGGTATATGAAAACGTGCTTCGACGGACTTCCAGCGGAATGATTCACACCCTCAGGCTTTACACAGATCTGGTCAAGGATTCGGTGAATGAGTTCGCTTACAATGCAGAATTGGCGGGACTCGGATATGATATCGGAAGTTGGAGTAACGGCATATCGATCTCTTTATTCGGCTATAACGACAAATTGGCGGTGCTTGGGGAGCACATCCTTGAACGCGCCCGACATCTTCCCGTGAAATCCGATCGTCTGAATGTCATGAAGGAGCAAGTAAGCCGTGTCACGCGTAATTCACAGCAACGGTTCGCTTATTGTTACCTACACAGCTGAAACGAGACTGGAAGAACTTCTTCCTCGGACAACCGTACTCGATATCTGACTACTATGCCCGTGATACGCTGTCGGATCGCCCATGGACCTTGTTGGAGAAACTCGAAGCCATCGACTGTGAGCAATCCGCCATTGGTTCTTTCTAAAGCTCATGACTTTCTAGCTATTTCGGCCGAGGACATGCAGGAGCATGGATCCCAATTATTGAAGCAAACCCATATCCGAGGATTAGTTGTGGGCAATATGAGCAAGCAAGTGTGTATACTTCGACAGATACGCGAACCCTTCTGATCATCCTTCGTGCAGCAAGCAACAAGTATGATGGAAGATGTCGAACGCATTTTGGGCTCGTCGGCTCTAGCAGCCGACGCTGCTCTTCTGCATTGCCGCATCCTTCCCGAAGGTGAGCAGCCTGTTGATAACCGTCCTATTGTCTAACCGTGCCATAGGCTCCAACTACGTGTACCGCATGCCAACACCTAATCCGAACGAACCCAATTCAAGCTTGACGTATTACGTGCGCTTCGGTCCTACAACAGATCGTCGCTTGCGCGTCAAGGCCGCTTTGCTTTCCCATCTTCTTGCTGAACCTGCCTTCAATATCTTGCGGACAAAGGAGCAGCTTGGGTACATCGTCTCTTGTGCGCCTTGGACACTCCTGGGCGATGCAGAAACAGGAATGCGGGTAGTGGTACAGAGCGAGCGCGGACCTGCGTATCTTGAACGTCGCGTGGACGCTTTCCTTCGCGGGATGAAAGAAATCATCACGGAGATGACCGATGCCCCTGATGGTGAATTTGAACAACAGAAGGCGGGCCTGGAGAAAAAATGGCGGGAGAAACCCAAGAACCTGAAGGAGGAATCGAACAGATACTGGTCCCAGGTGGAGAATAACTTCTTAGACTTCTATCGTCGTACGCCTTCTGTTCGCAATGCGGTGGATCGAGGACTGAACGCATACCAGGTGACCAGGACGCTGATCTCCTTCGAAGTATCACCAAGGCTGAGATCCTCGACTTGTTCTCTTCCCGTGTCCACCCTGATTCGAAGCAACACGCCAAGCTCTCTATCCACATGAAGTCCCAGAAGCAGCGTGCTGTGAAATTGTCCTTCGAAGCACTGCAGGAGTTCGAGCGGTCGTTGAAGACAGCGGTCCCCGCTGACTCCATTCCGCCCTCCTGGAAGGAGGATCTTGGCGTCTCCGAAGCCACTGATGAGGTGTCCGCGGTGGACCTCACAAAATATTGGCTAGAAAAAGCTGGATCGAACTCGTTCCCCAAGGAAGGCGGTGGGACCGTGACTGCGCTGCTCAACACCATTCCTGAACTCGCGCGCAAGCACAACACGGACCAAGACTCGGAAGAGCCTGAAACCGAAGCGCAGATCATCGAGGATATCAAGAAATTCCGCGATGGGCTACGGTTGAGCGCGGACGCCCAGCCTTTGGTAGATTGGGGTGACCTCAACGGTGACGAAGCTAAATTGTGAAGGCGATAATTTTTTATACAAGTTGCGAGCTCCTTCTGATACCATGATTGCGATATGTTCGAACGCACGCCCTAACGTAGAGATTCTTCTCTCCCGTTGGTCAAAATGTAATCATGCGTTGGAGCTGTGCTATGTGTGGGAACACGGTCCCTGACAAATCGACCCGGCGGCTGCGCGTCGCGCTCTACTCACCACCACTTACCGGTGGTTGCTGCTGAAGCGTTAGACCCTCCCCCGAGATTCTGCCTTCGTGCGTCTACATAAGATACGAAACCTATCAGGAAAATTCATTCTCGACTCTCCGACGACAGCAATGGCTGCCTTGGCTGCGTGAGCATAATCTGTCTCGCTACGTCTGCGTCCTGCTTACTCGTGACACAGTGTCCTTCCTACTCCTCTCCATGCCGCCGACGTTTCAGAAGTTGAAGACAACTTTGAGCAAGGATCCTCACAACCTCAGTCAAATACCTTGATCTCACGCATTCCACGATATGGTCACCGAAGAGGGTGGAAACCGAGTGGACCGGAGGACTTCGGTATGTTCCCCCACCATTTGTCCGATCCATGTCCTTACTGCGCCGCTCAGGCGACGGTGGCGCTTATCCCGAATGTCATGTCGCGCAGTACCCGTTGGAGATGGGTCGGAAGAAGGTACACCTCCTCCGATAAGCGGTCCAGTACCCTGCTCATCCTTGAATAGGCCTCCTCCGGGAACACCCTTGCCCTTCAAGTCGATAGCGAAGGAAATGTTCGATATGATGCCATCGCTCTCCAGGGCCAACGAGATGGGAAATATGTTCAATCCCAGTTTAAGGACTTGGTGCCCCTTGCGTACCGCAAGGATTTGGATGAATCAGCCCGGAGCATGGAGCGACCTTCAGAAGATGAAGTCCAAGCCACGGCTGATAAGACGAAAGCCGCGCTGGAGAAGCTGGTGAATGGTAAAATAAAGGCGGCGCAACCCAAGAATGTCCCGGACGCGCAGGGCAAGACCAGCTTCATCCGATACACTCCTGGTCAACAGAGTGGCGCGGTCGGGCTCAAGCAGCGCATTATCAAGATGACAGAGGTAGTTGAGGATCCGTTGGAGCCACCGCGGTTCAAGCACAAGAAGATTCCTAGAGGACCACCGAGTCCCCCACCTCCCGTTCTCCGCAGTCCTCCTCGAAAGGCGACGGCTCAAGAGCAGAAGGAGTGGATGATTCCTCCGTGTATATCCAATTGGAAGAACAACAAAGGTTTTACGATTCCGCTCGATAAACGATTGGCTGCCGACGGTCGTGGGCTCCAAGACGTGAGTTCTTGCTGCGTCATAAAAACTCATCTAATCTAGGTCTCCCCCTCTAGGTACACATCAATGATAACTTTGCGAAGTTCTCCGAGGCACTCTATGTGGCAGATCGACATGCACGCGAGGAAGTTCGGCAACGATCCCTCATGCAACAAAAGCTTGCGCAGAAGGAGAAGGAAGCCAAAGAAGAGAACCTGCGTATGCTTGCTCAGCGTGCTCGTGAGGAGCGATCCGGCATAGCACGACCGACAGCTGCAGCGACAACGGAGAGCAAGGCCGCCATGAAGTCTTCACTCGCAGTGTACGGAAGTGACAGCGGCAGCGGTAGCGAATCTGAGGAGAGCGAAGAGGAGGATGACAAGGAGGCGGCTAAGATTCGGGACCAGATGCGTGAGGAGAAGAGGAGAGAACGGGAGCGAGAGATGCGTATGAGCAATATGGGTCAAGAGCAGAGGGCGAAGATGCTCGCGCGCCAACAAAATCGAGACATCTCAGAAAAGATCGCCCTCGGTCTTGCCAAGCCTACGCTTTCCAAAGAGTCGATGCTGGATTCTCGGTTATTCAACCAGGAGAGCTTATCGAACTCGTTCGCCGACGATGATGCGTACAATTTGTACGATCGACCCTTGTTCCATGGTTCGACGGCTGCGGCTGCCATTTACAAGGCGAGGGGCAACATCACGGAAGGCGACCAAGAATCGTTTGGCGGAGGCACCGAGGAAGGTATCGGCAAGGCACTGGACAACGATCGATTCGGTCTTGGTCAGGCCCGGTTCGGCTTCGAAGGCGCGCAGGATCAGGAAGTTCGAGAGGGGCCTGTGCAGTTCGAGAAGGATACCGGCGACGTGTTCGGTGTGAACCAATTCCTGGACGAGGCGAAGAGTGGCAGGAAGAGAGGGTTGGATACTGAAGCGTGAGTCCTCTTCACGTATTCTGCCAGTGCCCAGCGAATGACACTTTATGGTTACAGTGGGAGCTCCAGGAAGCGTCAACAGGTGGAGCGAGCTACCGAGCGGGACGATAAGTAGATTGTGCTTGCTGTCGTTGTATTCTTATGTTTAGCTAGTCTACGAGCCCACACCTAGGGCGCTCGTCAAACCGTTTGTGCATGAAGAGACGAATGCAGTATTATGGATAACGAACGAATTCAACGAAAGGATTATGGTCGCATACGACGTGGTTACATCTATTCTTGAAGCCAGCCGCCTCGCTAAGGACGTGATTCGTACGACATGCATATCCCGCACACACATTCATCCCTCGCATCCCGCCTTCCTCGATTGTGTAGACTCTAGGCCACAAATCTATCGCGCCCTATATTGGTCTGGCGATGGTATGAACCAATCAAATACGTGGTCATTTAGGGTCTGGTAACGTCGGTGGAGGAGAGGGAGGTGGATGAGGGTTCATGGCTTTGGGATGATATTTCGAGTCCGGTGGTATTATTTGGCCCTATGCAAGTAAACCTGTATAAGCAGCTGAACGCCCGCCATGTTCACGAGGAGGCGCACCATTTCCAGAAGTCTGACCACTGATTTGCTGGGCTGAGCACCGACGCTCAGCCAGTATTTGATACGGTCCACGCTCCATTCCATGGTTTTCATAGTGCGGTCGTTGTTCTCTGCACCGACGCGGTGGTTGTAAATACCCAAAGTCTCAAGAGGCTTAGCATCGCGCCTCTTGCGGTGGTCAATAGCAACCAGACGGAATATGCGGTTGTTGCGATTGCCCTGCATGGAGAGTCGAAGACGGACAGGCATGGTGGTGGCGAAGGCAGAAGGTGAAGCGCGCGCGAACCGCGCCAGACCGCGTCTCTCCATGGCGTCCCAGATCCTCCCTCTTGGTACGAAATTCTTGTTCGCGCGTCGCCGTACTGTCTCTCTGAGTTTGTCCAAACCGATAGAACTGATTGACCGATGCATCGGCTCGCGTATCTGGGTGATCATGAAGAATGATCGCGAATTCACCGGTACCCTTCTCGGTTTCGACGACTTCGTCAGTGCGTTGCGTGTCGCTGTCTATAATGTAGTCAAGATGCCTGAGCTTGCTATAGATATGGTCCTCGATGATGTTACCGAGTTGTGAGCACCGGTGTTCTTTCAAAACCGATGATGCCCACAATCTCACAACCGCTCCAGCGAAACAACTCCCGAAGGGAAGAAGAAGACACAGCTTGCGCAAACCCTCCTGAATGGCAACAACATCTGCATGGTGCGAAGCCCAGAAATACCCAAGCTACCAAATAAGCTGACAAGCGCTCATAGCTCATCCCGGGCAGCAGCGGCCCAGAAAGCTAAAGAGGGTCATAAATCCCAAGACTTGCAGCAGGTTAGGTTGGGTCAAATCTAGACTATGACCTCTGCGACGTGTGTGAAAGCTCTGCGAGACACACGCAAGCATCATCCTAAGTTTGAGGAGTTGCGCACCAGGCATGCATCAATCATCTAGCCAATGTGCAGCTGGGTTTTTATCAATCCCTACTCAGGTGGTTTTGGCGACGAACCGATCCTTCCCTTTGTAACGATAAGCAAAGTTCGCGTCTAGGATACATGCAAATCGTGATTTGCGCCTATAAGTACTTCAGTCATCGTCTGACACATCCATATCCGAGTCTTCCTCGACGTGGCTGCTCGGTCCTGAACGGCTTGGTAATGCAGAACCACAAGGTCCGTGAGGCGCAAGTGCCTCACAAGGAGGTGGATGTGGGGGTGAGAACGGCGGGAGAAGTGGCAATGAGGGAGGCGGGGGTAGCGGAGGCGGGGGTTCGGCCGGCGGAGGCGGCAAGTGCTGAGCTCTCCATTCTGCGGTCAGCTCGCCTGTAACATTGTCGAATGGCCGACTCCACACTAGCATCTCGTGCAGGCTCAGCATGCCAGGGAAGCGCCAACCGTCATGTGGCCTGGGGACAGGACTCTCCTCCGGAACAGGAGGGAGGGCAGACCCGGAGTAGATAGGTAAAAAGATCGGACGAAAACCAGGTGTTGGGGTATTGTGCCCATCTTCGGGGCTCTGCGTCAAACTTGGAGGAACCTGGCAACACGGAGTCCTGCGAGGATGCGAACTCCGATACGGGACATTCCTTCTCTTCGTCGATCGTGGTGACGTTATGAAGTAGTACACGTTCGGCTTCGTCTTCACCGAAGACCCACAGATATACTCCATCTTCATCTTCATCGTCCACACCGTCATCCACACTTTCCTCGAGAATCCTACGGCGAACCGTCTCCCGCGGGTCAGTAGCGGAAGCCCAGCCCTTCGGATAGCCCCAGATCGCCATATTGCTCAACCACGGCATGGCATACGCATCGTCCGAGCTCGAGTCTACAGGACCGTGTTCATCAGCCCCGCGTTCGTGTGGATCCAAGCCTAGTGCATCCCGTAAATCGTGCCCGCGGACGTGGCCCGGGCAGAATCGTTCAAGCCAATCTAATCTCCGCATCTGCCAGTCTAACCTCGCTTGCAGATCGTGCAGGTCCGAAGGCCCGTCGGACGCGCCGCGTTCGCGGGCACGAAAGAAGTCGAACAGTTGTCGAGAAAGTGAAATCAAGGCATCATTGCGGGGAACCAGACACGAAGCAAGAGTATGTTCGGGCTTTCCGCAGTTGAAGCAGCGTCTTGCGCCGACACCAGCTTCCAGCTGGTGGGAAGGGGTAGAGTCTGTTTCGCCGAGCGTGATGGATTGTGGGATGTAGAGTACATCTGTGACTTCGTGGCCTTGACTCGGTTCTGTGTCGATAAAGCACGAGCTTAGTCCGAGCTCGAGTCCTTGTCCGCCTTCGTCGCGCAGGACGGGCTTGATGCGGACGTAGACTGAGCTTCCGAGGGTGTCCAACTGTCGAGTGCCTGATTCACCGCCTGTGCATCCCATCGTCCCTTGGCGACCTCCTTCCCCTCGAGATGTAGCGCAGGAATCCACCACACATATTTCTTCTTCCAGCGTTCCTGACCAGGGTCCTGAATGTTCACAACCTCGAGGTTGAACGGGCGCTGATGCGAAGGTACGCGGTGAGCGGTGCAGGGGAATAACGAGACAGCACAGGTCAACCAACCTGCTGTCGAACCTTGGCAAGTTCGATTTTGGCAACGTCACAGAGCGAGCAGTTTGGGCCGGAGTAGAGCGTGAATCGAGGAAGGCGGGCGAGACGAGCAGCGGCCATGGTCGACTCACCGCGTCGCGGGTCGCGGTTGACGCAAATGCACGCAGCCAACCCCAGACTAGGGTTCCTACGGACCGTTCGGCGGTTGACCCAGGGCTTGCACACAATCCCTCGCTAAACTTCCGTCGCCCACTGCTGGCACAGATGTCGCTACGGCTATGACCGTGCCAGACCCACCATGGAAACAACGCGGTACGCTCAACTTCCGACAGCCTTGTACGCAATGCACTGATAGATAGTACCAAGCCCGTCCTTGCCCATTCTACTCCCAGGGTCGATGCCTTTTCGGAGAGAAGGGCTGCAACTTCCTGCATGACGTGAAAATCAAAGCACCCCTTACGGACACGTCTGCGACTCTCCTCAGAGGCACCCCACCCTCCGGTTGCCCGACCCCAGATGGCCCTGTGGTTAGGATCCAGTCGCCGCGCTCCGTGCGCTCTCCGACGCGTACACCACGCATGAACGACCTGCTGGACGCGTTAAAGGGCGTCATATCTTCTGACGATGAAGATGAGTATAGCGAAGAGGAGCGGGGATCTTCCTCCCCGATCACTGCCTCCGACAACTCCCTCACAGCAGAGCAGCATACTTCAGACGCCCGAGACGAGGTAGAATCCGTCGCGTCCAACTCAAGCGTTGATGCTTTGTCATCCGTTCATATGTCACCTTCCCTTCCTGTTCCCTTCCCTCTGCATTCCGACACAGGGTCGGACCTCTCCTTCATCAAGGACTCAGACGAGTTCCAGGACTCGGGGTACGCTCCCTCTCCTCGGCTCATGCCATTATCACCACCGCGCAGCTCGCGCCCTCCATCTACCTGGGATCTTCTATCTTCACCCTTTGGATCGCCCTTCGGACGCGCCATGACGGCGCCCTTGATGTCACCGACGCTCGGCGTCTTTCCTGTATCTCCCACTTTGACGGCCCTGCAGGCGCCAGGCCGCTCTATGCTTGCATACCATAATTCCCCGCGACGCTCGGACGCCGGCACAGGAGACGACGGCGAGGAGACCACCCGGGTTGGTGATCTGCCAGGTCACGGCTCACTCGACGACCTCGATTCCCCGACGGCAATGTCGCGGCCGAGCGAGGGGTCTGGAACTACCCGTCACGATGAGGGGCCGCAGTATCCCTCCTACGTCCTAGACCATGACGACGATGCTGCATCTCCGTTAGAAGAGCAGTCGTCTCCGTTCGATGATGTCTCTGAAGTGCCTAATCCACCTTCGTCAGCGCTTACAGAAGACGCGGACGCAAGGGACCACGACACCCTAGCCCACCTCGATGATCATGATCATTTGCGCGCGGGGGAGGTTTCATACGTCGTTGATGATGCCATTCCTGCTTACTCCCTCGGTTCCGGGACGCAGTCCCCGGCGATGATTCTTGGCCAAAACGACGCGGCTGTGCCCCCTTCTTGGGATGAACAGCAGGACCTTGACAAGCACGGTTCCTACTCCCTCAGGAAGCTTGATTCATCGAAACCGGAAGGGACTGGTGATATCGCGCCGCCACCGGCGCATGGCGAGAACGAGGACGATGCCGAAGATTTCTCCTTCGTCGCCGTGTATGATGATGACGAGGCAGAAGCATTCACGTCCTCTGCGACGGATTCTTTCTCGGGGCTAGCCCTTGTACTGGATGATATGCCAGCGGTACCATCATTTCGACCACACATCCCAATCGAGCAAGCTACGAGTAACAAGGTGCCCGAGCCCGCATCGAAAATCATTGTCGACGCTGTGAACTCCGTCGGTTCGGTTGGCCAGTTGGTTATTGACGCTGCAGTTGCCGGTGAAAGCCCACCGTCAGCATCAACGCCTGTGGACATCAACGACAACGATGAAGTCGTGCTTACCCCTATCTCAGATCAAGACCATTCAGATGACCCAGCGGGCTGTGGTGCTCGTTGCGAACACCGAACGCCAATTTCTTCAACATCCGCCGGACTGACAAACTCGACCGAGGACCGCCAAGTTGTGCCAGTCCCTGTCTCAGAACAAGACAGCATGGGCGGGCCGCGTAGCGAAGACAGGATGCCAGTATCTTCGACATCGGCACTGGAAGTACTGACAGGAGAGAACGTCGTCACTTACCCAACTAGTGAATCAACAGCAGAAGACTCACACGCAGAAGAAACGCCCGGAACAATTCGCGCTTCGCGTGTTGCTGACTGTCCCAGCTTTGCGGTAGTGTCGGATACGCCCGAGCTACCGGATGATGACTTCGACGAGGAAACGCCGGACACCCATTCGCCATACGCTGCTGCGCATCCCGAATTGACGTCGAACACCGATAGGCTTGAGCCGGAGGCCCACAACGTAGAGGATGCCCCGGAGACGAGTCCTCCTGACGCCGAAAGTACCAACTTGGTATCTGTCTTCGAAGATGACACGGTGTATGCCCCTCCGTGTACCGATGAAGAAACGCTTCGTCTTCCGCATGCTGCCGAAGCAGATTCCCTGGACGCGGACGACACCATCCACTCGCTTTACGACTATTATTCCGAGTCTGGGTCTGATGCAGGTTCCGACGAAGATGAACCGTCTCTCGTCGAGGAGGATGAAGACCAGAAGTCTCTATCATTCGCTGCCGTGTTGTCCTCCACGCCACCAAAACCATATCGTTTCTCTCCTCCCGTCCAGAGAGACGCTGCTTCTGCCTTCGCATCGGTCTTTGGGGAAGGATCGTCCTCTGCAAGAGCGCCGGTGTTCTCCCCGCCCTCCGCACCAATCTCGCCGCTGTCATCTAATACCGTATCGCTGAACTCGCCTCAGCCAGAGGTGTCGGGTGCATCTGCTTCAAACAAATTATCGCCCGGCGACGCCACCGGAGTGCCTCCCGTTTTCCACTCGCCGCATCAGACGGCCGGTAAGGCACCGAAACATCTGCCAGCCCCTGTCATCACCGATCTACCTACGCCTCGCAGCGTGTTAGCTTTCTCTACCCCGACTTCGTCTCGTCGAGAATCCCTAGCTTCCATTCATAATGCGGAAATTCCATATTCAGCGCCAGCGTCACGGCTCAGTCAACTCAAGCCACTCAGACTAGTCGGTGTCGTTATTCTCTTTGGTCGAGCTGCGGCAGACACTGATCATTTCGCAGTCTCGCATTCTCAGCCCCATGTCTTCTGCATTCTCGCTCTCCAATGTCACATCCTCTTCTGCTACGTCACATCACAATGGTGAGTAAGGAACTCAACGTCAATCTGCGGGGTCTTAGTCGCGAATCTGGCAGCTTCGGATTCCATTTCATCAATTCCTAGTGTTGCTACGAGCCTTAACGAATCTATTTCGGACAATCCTTTGGTAGGTTTGCCAAAGTCAAGCCTCCGTACATTATGCTGATCTTAGATATGACAGCTTTCATCTCATCGGCTGTCGTTGATACCCTCGCATATCCGGAATACCCTCGTTTCCCAGCATGATGCTTCTCCCTTGCTATCACCATCAGATCGACCGCCCGTCGATGATGAGCACCACCATCCGTCCGATTCACCTCCCGGTTATCGGGACGCTACATCCTTGCATTCCGCCTCTTCGTCCCGCTCTGCGCCTCTTGTCCGCCCGGCTTCTTGGCGATTACTTCCAGCTCGCCATAATCGCCCCAGTTCGTTGTCACGACCCCACACCGCCGACGTCCTCCGGTCGCATAGTCGATTATCAATTTCCACTAGGCATGGAGATGATGATGACGAGGGCGAGGAAGAGGGAGAGTTAGAGACAGCATTTGACGAGACGGTTCGCAAGCGGCTGTCTAGCTCACCCATGACCGCTCCGATCACCCGACCATCCTCTGCGCTATCGCATGCGATTCATTCTTCTCCCTCGTCGTCAAGACCCGCTTCCGTGATCGTGACCAACACCGCTATTCGGGAGCTCCTGCCTAAGCGGCTGTCTACGGCACCTCCAACTGCGCCCATTACACGACCTTCTTCCGCGCTTTCTCGGTCTTCGAACGGACCTTTGTCGCCTATCGCACCTTTGACGGCCCCTGCTACGCGGGCCTCGTCCCCTATGTCTCGCTTCCTAAACTCGCCCCGATCCGCACGGCCTCTATCCATGGCTTCTGTCGCACCTCGTCCAACCCTCATGTTCGCGATCGCCAGCGACGATCCGCAGGCAGTCCGCGCAGTCCTCGCAAACGGCGAAGTAGGCCCCAACGATCAAATCGGGCCTCAGTCGGCGCTGGAGTTCGCCCTGACTACGGGTAGTTTGACAAATAGGACTGAAATTGTCAAAACCCTCCTCGAGTACGGCGCGGAACCGCCATCGAAGGCGGAACAACAGCGGACAGCGGATCCCACCGCATCTTCTGGACAGAGCCCTCCGCCCGCAGCATCTTCCATTTTGGACAGCCTTGACCCTGCCACCAGGTATGGACTTCCGCGTTTGGCGCATGGATGCAGCTGATTGTATCCCCCTGTTCAGATACTATGTCCAGAAAGCTGGCGATGAGAACACCCGCCGCAATTCTGCGTTGATACACCGATCATTCTTCCGCCCGCTGACACGCGTTCGCTATGATCTCATTGGGCAAGACCGAGCGCTGGAACAGCTCTTTCGCGTTTTGAGCATGCACTCGCAACAATTCTCAGTGGCGCCAGTCGTCGTCCTACTCTGCGGTTAGTCAGGAGAAACGATTCGCGGCGTTCGCACGCTGAAACTTCTCTTAGGACCTAGCGGACACGGCAAGACGTATTTGGCACAGAAATGTAAGTCGGGGTTTTCGTGCTTTCCGTCATCGCATCTTCATGTCCTTGTAGTCGGATCACTGCTCAAAGTTCCGAGTATCACGGTCAATATGACCACGCTCAGGAATGCGCAGGATTTGTGGCAGGCGTATTCCACCGATCCCGATAGCGTATGTGACTTGATTTTGCGCCGGAATCCCGATTGACGATCGCATAGACGGCCTCGAACCATACGCTTGCAGACTTCCTTCTCGAGAATGAAGGAAAGCGCTGTGTCGTGCTTCTTGACGAGATCGAGAAAACGCAGGACGACAAGGCGCTCTGGGCTCTACATATGCCTTGGGAAATGGGTGAAACCCGATCTTTCTCTGGAAAAAGACGCGATGATGAACGTTTGATCAGGTCGCTGCGCCTTCGAAGCCGGACGGCGCCACGTCGATGTCAGAAATGTCATCTGGCTCGCCACTTCGAATATCGGTCAGGAACTGATATTCGAGCACCACTCGTCGCGTCGGGAACAAGAGTTCAGCATGACGCGAGAGGAGTATTTGGACCTAATGGCGTCTCTTCGACCGCAAGTTTCCGGCCGGCTCGGGGTGAGTTACATGATCCAGCATCGACTGCCTCCGGCTTCCTATCTGATACTGATACTACATATTTACTCAGACATCTTTACTATCACGAGTCACCACCGTATTGCCGTTTGTTCCCTTCACGGAAGAAGAGAGGATGGCGATCGCAGGAGAGGCGGCCCTCCACGTTGGGGGCGACATGGCCCGGTCCTTGCCTCCGGAGACGATGCGTCACATTGTCAAACAGGCAGCGGGCGCGGGTTACATTCCGTCTGAGGGGGCCCGAAGTTTGTATCGGGATGTGGCTGTACGACTAATGGATGCACTGTGAGAAAGTATTTCCGGATGGGTCCAGCGAGGCTTGATCCTGCTTGAGCGCGGAATCTGATGTGATCACGTATTTTGATGGAGGTGCGTTCTCCTCATCCTGGGCCAGAGCTGAACACCGCGCAGTCCCTGTTGGATCAGATGCAGCCAATAAACACGCGTTCCTGCGACCTCGAGCGGTGCATCTCCTTGCCAACCCGCCCTGCCGGACAGCGAGACGGGCGTCTTCTCAGATCTGGCGCATACCGTCTGAGATCAATCCTGCCTCTCATCATGCGGGTGGGTCGGGTTTGTACATATAGTCCAATCTGCCTAGCATGGCACTCTGGCTCTGCTCTTGCACCACCTGGTCTCTGTCAGCGAGCCTTCCGTTCTTTCTTTCCAGCACTCCGTCCGATCTTCACGAATGGCTGCTTTCGTTGCGCGTCCTCATTTGCACGGGCGCGGGCTCGCTCGTTTATTCGAGCGACGCTCGCCTCAAGCAGGCGCTTCGCCTTCTTACAACCCGTCAATTGTCGTGTCCGCCAGGGATGCCACCGCATCCACCTCCGTCGTGAACGCGAATCTGCCCGTGAAAGTCAAGGCATTAGCCGGCGTGCTCACCGTTCTCGGCCTCATCGTCTTGGGTGAGTACGATCCTCGTCGTTTGGGAGTGTCAAGCGCTCACGCCCGCATTTTTAGCCATCGCCGCGTGGAAAATTAGATCTTGGATGAAGAGGCGTCAAGCCAAGGCGACCGGAACCGTTGATGAGAAGAGGAATAGCAGCGGCAAGGCGTCGCTGTTCGACTACTCGGACGTCGAATCCGGCCTGCACGCACCGCGGCAGGTCGTGCTCGTCCCTCCTCCCCCGCCGTCGCCTAGCACCGGCGCCGCCTGGGTTCCCCAGATCAAGCCTTGGACGCGCCCGTCAGGAGCTGCTGTTAAAGTCCCTGAACCCGCCGTGCGCCCGATGTCAAAGACCCGCATGATGCTGGAAAAGAAGGACATGCCCATGGGCGTCTCACGAGCGGGCGAACCGTCACCGCCGCCGTCGTACGCCAGCTCCGACGACCACACTACCGCCTCCCGCGCGCTGCCTCCTCCCCCTCCCCCTCCTCAAGCTAGACTGCCTTCTCCGCCGCCGCCGACGCCGCCCGCCTCCCTCAAGCTCAAGTTCATCCCTGATGACGACTCCATCCCCGCGCCAGTGGCCAGCCCGCAACGCTCGACGTCGTTCGCGCCCGGCTCGCCCTCTCCTCAAAAGACCAAGTTCATCACGCGTATCAGCGCCGGATCCTCGGCGGACGTTAAACGATTACCTCGCACGATGACGGTGATCCAGGTCTTCGTCCCCTCTCTCGATGACGAACTCGCTATCGAGTTGGGGGAGAGCCTCCGTCTCTTGGAGGAATACGAGGACGGCTGGTGCTTGGTTAGCCGAGGAGGCGCTGCCAAGGGCGTCGTCCCCCGCTTCTGTCTGGCGGAGCGGCAACCCGCACAACCAAAGCAGAGGGCATTCTCCTTCAAGGGCCGGCAAAAGTGATGCTCGGTGCTCTTCACGTCCACCTGTCATGACCATCACGCCTTTCGCCGACCCCTGCCACGTCTAGCACCGGATTCCTGTCCCTCATGACAGGCCCAACAGGTTTCTTAACCTATCCATTCGTTCCACACCATAGTATATTTATTCGCTATCATAGTAAGTGACGCTTCCTGCTCGAGACAAGCGTGAAATCTGATCCTCCCTCGTTGCAGTGTGTCCTGGGCCCATTTAGTCCCATGTTATTGGCATCGTTATTTATCCCGCCTAGCCCTTTGGCTCCGACGGAAGGTCGCCCTCAGCTCGCTCTCAAATCGCCCTCGTCCCCGCACCGACATCACGCTCACGAGAACGACGCTGGCTCGACCGGTCCTCCCTCGCACTGCAGCGCGCGACGCGGCTAGTCCCGCGTCCTTCAAGACGCGCGCTGCCCTTCAGATTCGCATTCGCTGCTGCTAGCCAGCTTCAGACGGCATTATAACTGTATCGCCATGGACACTAGGGGGACACTCGTGTTGTAGCTAGCCCCGCACCCGCCTCTCCGGCAACCCTCTGCTCTGTACGCATGTATCGGCTCAATCGCAACTGTGCTCATTAGGCCTCTGTTCTACTCCGCATTGTCGTGCGTGATGCGTGGATTCGTGCGTGCGTATATTTCCGCGGGCCCGACCTACCCGACGGCGCCGTTAGATGCGCCTCTGATGGATGCGCCAGCGGCATCATGTGCTCCCTTTCTTGTTGCTTCGGATCTTGCACGCGCTCGCCCATGTGCCTTTTCTTGATGACAGTCGCTGCACACCTGATGCGCCCGCCGTGTGTTAAGTACCAAGGACATTGTTCCCCATCTGCTCCGGTCTGACGCTGCGGCCGCCTTGACATCGGTAATTTCGGCCCCGGTGGTACGCTCGCAGCTGAATGCTCCCAGTGGCTACGATCATTGTAGAGGCGCCCGAGGAGGGACAAGTCGCATTATATATAGTCCTGGATCGATGATGAACTATGGGTAATGAGATCTGAGCTTGAACAAGTCATTCAGACGATTCTGCGATGCCGTCCATGTGTGGATACTTAGACCCGGTGGTCTGCCTCCAACACCAAAGAGTATCATATAGATGCTCCATTATGGTCACCGCTCTGGGCTCGTACGCATTGTAAAGCCTCTGTTGGGTGAAGGGTACAACGCGTGAGGCAATGAAGCTGAGACGTACATTGTAAATATCAAAATAATGGGGGGACATACAATACCGCGCATGGCTGACAACACGAAATAGTTCGCGAATGAAAACACCCAAACGAATCGTCCATCCCGCGCGCTGCGCTCTACCAAATGGCAAGCAACTAAGGCATTGAATTGATACCGCGAAAAAAGATATCAAAAGGTACAAGGAGCAGATACGCCCGGCCAACATCTGCATGTACACAGTCAGACCACTGCAACATCACACTGGATCGGTCTACGCTCACCTAAGTGTCCTACAAAACCCTCAACCAACGACGACACGCAGGGGGAAAACGCACGAAAAGCCAAAGCCACACGCACACGATCAGACGCCGGCGCGGAGGCTGCTCGCGCGGCGGGACTGGCGCCAGTCTCCCGGCGCGCCGGCATTGGCGCCCGCGCGCTCGAGGCATTCGAGCGGGACCATGCCCTGCTCGCCGCGCGCGTTCTGGCAGAGGCCCCAGCCGTCGTCGTACTCGGCCAGGATCCGGACGTTCTCGCCCGTCGCGATCTGGAGCTCGTCCGGCAGGCTAGGGATGAACGTGCAGCGGACCACGGCGGCGCCTGCGCCTGTCGCCGGTGCCGGTGCGCCGACGAACGAGAGCGCCGGGGAGGGCGCGGGCAGCGGGCTAGCGGGGGCCGCCGGGGTGACGGGACGCAAGGAAGGCGAGGGAGAGCCTGGGCGGAGGACGGCCGGGATGGCTGAGGGGATGGTGGGCACCGTCGGCGGGGGCGGGGGCGGGTTGTTGTACGACGCCGCCGGGGGCTGCGGCACGGGCGTCGGTGCGAACGCGTACGGCTGCTGCTGCTGCTGCGGGATGACGGGCGCCGCCGGCGGTGCAAACGTGTAGGGCGCGGGCGCCGCCTTCTCTCCGCCGTTCGCGAAATAGCTTTCCAGGCCGGGGGCGGTGGTCGTCGCCGCCCCATCGCCGGTCTTGAGGTAGGACGCGGCGCCGGGACCGGCGGCCCACGTCGCGCGCTTGCTCTGGCGGGTGCGGATGTAGCGCTTGCGGATCCAGAAAAAGTTGATGGCGAGCAGGGCGAGGATGCCGAGGACGACGGGGACGGCGATCGCGGCAGCGGGCACTTTGCTGCCGTGCGTCTCGGTCGCGCCGGTGGAGCCCGCTGAGGTGGCGGACGAGCTCGGGAGGGTGCTTGTGCTGGAACCGACGGCGGGCGTGGTAAGCGAGGCGGTGCTCAGCGGGGTGGTGGACGTGCCCGCCGCGAGCGTGCTGGTGCTGGTGCTGGTGCTCGTCGCGCTAGATGTCGAGGCGAGAGTGGTGCTCGTGCTCGTTGCCGAGGTCTGGACGACGGAGGACGTCGCGGGTTGCGTGCTCTGGGTAACGGGTGCGGGAGAGGAGGTCGCGGTGGGGGCGCCGACGGTGACGGTCGCGGTGGAGGTGGAGGCGGCCGACTGGGTGGACGTGGTCGTCTGGCCTGGGTGGACGGTCACGACCGCGACGGTGGTGATGGTCACGGCGAGCTCCTGGGGATCGACCGCGACCGGGGCCGCCGCGCGGCGGGCGAAGGGCGCGTTGGGGAGTCTCCTTTTCGCATCTGCGTGACGGGCCCGCCCGGCAGGAGAGCGTCGCGCGTGCATATCGGGGGGAATAATAGATGACTTGTTTGAAGACAGATATATGAGTGGATGGGTATGACGGTCGACAGGAGGTGCGACCGGATTGCCTGGGCGGCCGGAACAAAGAGCGTGGGGCGTAGCAAGTGGTGGTTGTTTCGTTCAGCGGGTACGGACAGGGGACGTTCGTGTCGAACGAAGAGCGGAGCGGAGAGGAGAGGGAAGAAGGACGTGGTGGGGGGACGTCAACCAGCGACCGAGTTGGGCGGAGTGGGCGAGCACGAGGGTGTAGTTGGGGACCGAGACAGCTTGTTTGATGATGGGAACGAAGTAATGCAGCTATCGCATCAAGGTGGACCGGGCCAAGGCGACCAGCACAGCCTGGAGATGGGCACGATGATCGGTGCGCCGCGAGCTCGACGGGGCGTCGGGAGGCGGGGGGAAAGGACAGACGACGTTGTGGACGACGGCGAGGAAGAGGCGGTGGCTGGCGTGGGCGCTGGGTGGCCGGGTATATACCGACTCTCTTGCGGTGGATATTGTTGCGGGTACCTATCCCCGGCTGTTTGCAGGATCCAGCGTTGCGCGTGCCTTTCCTTTGTTCAGCGTATCCCTGGTGATCCGACCGGTCCCTTTCACCTCTCGCTCGGTCGTTGTCAAAATGAAATCGCGCGTCATTGCGCTGTATCTATTCCAGCCCGTACTTAGTTTCTGATACGTTAAACTATGGGGCCATGGGTGGTATCTATGTCGTCTCTTGCTATGTCTGTATGGTGCTGAGAGAGAAAAAGAAAAGGGACCGTCGAGGCTATAAACGCGGACGACGATTACGATGCGGCGACGGGAAAAGAAGGTCCGAGGCATGATGCGCGTACGATATGCTGGAACGAGTGAAATGCGAGAGTTTGCGTAGAGAGCCCGAGGGCAGAGAATCCATGCGTGAATGTGTCGTGAAACGAATATATATAAGAGAAAGAAGGAGGATGCGTCGCCTTCATGTTACGGCGACGGCCACGGGCGTCGCGATCTTGAGCTCTTCGGGTTCGGCGACCCAACGGTCCTTGGCGCCTCCTACGGGTTCTGGCGGCTGCTGTCCCGAGTCCCTCCTCGTCAATATCGGCAGCGGCGGCGGCGGCACCTCCTCCTTCTCCCCCGCCCCACCGCCGACCGCCCTCGGCTTGCTCGAGCTCCGCCGCTTGCCCCGCAGCGACGCGAACCGCTTCTTCAAGAAGCGCGCGCACGCCGCGATCGGATCCTCCTCCTCCTCCGCCTCGGCCTCCTCGTCTTCCCGCTCCTGCCGGTCCTCCTTGCTCTTCTGCACCTCTTCCGCGACGACCGTCTCCGCCTGCTGGTCGCGCATCCGCCGCTTCCGCGCGGCGAGCGCCTCCGCCTGCTCGATCTCCGCCGCCGCCTCGCCGTAGCCGGGGCCGTACTCGGCCGCCTCCTGCGCCATCCGGCGCTGCCTCCGTTCGGCCAGCATGCGCGAACGCGCGGCCACGCCGAGCTGGACGCTCGACGTCCGCTTCCGGGGCTCCATCACCGGTAAGGGCGCGAAGGAGATGGTCCGGAACGTGCACTGGGGCAGGGCGGTCTTCGTCGTGGCAGGGGGCAGCGACCGAGTGGAGAGGTTGGAGACGGTGTCGGTGCTCGGGACGGCGGGGAGCTGGAGCGTGCTGCTGCTCGTCGCGGTCGACTCGGCGGCCAGCGTGGCGGAGGACGATTCGGACGATGACGAGCACGACGACGACGGGGCGCGGCCGGTGGCCAGCTGGGGCAGCGAGGAGAGCGCTTCAGGCATGGATGCGCTCCTGTGGTCCGCCGGTAATACGGGCAGCGAGAGTCCTGGAGGGGATGAGTCAGTGGAGAGTATAGAGGCAGAGGCCGGGTGCGCTTACGTTTGAACTCTTCGGAGAGCGTCTTGCGCGAGTATTCGATGGGCACGGCCGAGTAGAGCGAGGACCTGCGCCCGCCTGCGGGATGATGGTGGGTTCGGCTGCTGAAGGGGCTCGAAGGCCGGAGGATGGGCACGACGGTGGGAGCTGGTGTCGTCGTCGTCGTCGCAGCAGCAGCAGGTGCAAGAGACGCGGAGTCCAAGAGCAGCTGTTGTGGTTGTTGTTGCTGGTGCATGATCGGCAATATCCTTCTGCCAAGGGGCCGTGATATTGCCGAGCGATGGACGGGATATTGTGAATCTGCAAACGGGCGGCTGCTGGACGAGCAGGATGGTCGGCAGGCGGTCCAGGCGACTTATGACTGATGGAGGGCCGCCGACGTCGAGGTGTGGGAGGGTGCCTCGTTGCGCACTAACGGCATCAGCCCGCCCCCTTGATAGCAGACGGTGGAACGGAAACACATGTTTTGTTTGCGATGGCTCGTCATCGCGGTCTGTACGATACATATGCATGTACATGGACGTCGTACTGAGACCTCGCAATACGAGAGGTGCGAAAAACCATCGTGCAACGACAAGCTTGCTCACGGCGCTTGTAGCCGCGCTTCCAATCCTCCGTCGTATCGCCCGCCTTGGCGCATTCCATGACGACGAAAGAAAGCTTCCGCGGCGTGCACGAACAATCCAGGGGCCTTACCCACCAGACAGAGCCAACGATAAGGCAGTCCGAATGTCTGACACTACCACTCTCGCCCCCGCAGGAAGAGGTGAGGCTGCATCCCGATCCGTCGCGGCGGCTGCTATCAGAAACCGCCATCTTCTCCGAGCGATAACCGCTTCAACGTCGGAGAGGGAGGCAGAAGTCCACCAGAATGGCCTTGAGACTGTCGCTTATCCCGAGCGTCAGAACGTCCATTTGTTCGGACGGCCTATATCGGGGATGCAATACGCACGAAGAGGGCATCTGGAACGTGGATCCCGAAGCCGTTCATATATCTGACCGTGTCCGTTGGCCTGCGAGCGAAAATTTCAGCGGCTACGGGTGTGCAAGGACCCGGCGAATGGGTACTGTTGCTGCCGGAGTAAAAGCATTACAGACGCTGTAGACGACGTCGTAGCCATCCTCTGCACCCACGTAATGCAGAACGATGGGCGATATCACTCGTTTCCATCTTCATTGTGAGGTAATGACGGCGCACGTTTTGAGCGGTGCAAGGACAGGTCAAGCGCGAACGCTGGAAAGGGGAACAGACGCACCACCCGGATATCTCCGCCTGGAAGAACGCGGTCACATGATTCTTCTTGCTCGACGTTGAACGCGCATCTCATCCTCCCTCGACAACATCACAGCAAGGGCACTGGCGATGCTTGCCGCCGTCACCGAAGGAGCCGTGCTCCTCTGTTCTCCCTCGTTGCTCAAATCTCCTCCGCAATCTCTGGCCCCCTCGCAAACGTTTTCGCAGACACCCACCACGGCGGCGTGGTCGCCCTCAAACAAGGCCCTTTTTGTTGCCTTCGCCAGGTCAATCGCCCAACATAATGCCGAAGGAGAACTTGCTGGAGAGGTTTACCAAGAATCGAGTGAAGACCCGATCTCGTGCCTGGTGGCACGCGACGATGAAACCATCATCTTCAGCTCTGGATCTCGAATATGTCTATACGAGGCAAAAAACCGGAGGCTCGCCCACGAATTTACAGCACACAGGGCGCCCGTAATCGGGCTTTCTCTTTCCAACGACCTGTCTCTCCTTGCCTCCGCTTCGTCCACGACCGTCGTCGCCCACGATATCCAGAATAACCCTCCTTCCCTTATCACCCTGCGCGGATTACCCCCGAGCTCCGTCGTTACTACATGCGTCTTCCATCCGCATACGCGAACGCGGCTGCTGGTGATCGCTGGAAAAGAGCTCCTTGTCTACGATACCACGAAGCCTTCCGCTCCCGCTCGGACCATCACGGCTCCCGGCGACATCACCGGGCTATCATGCAGCCCGTTCAGCAAGACGCTAGTAGCGCTTTCTTGCAGCGGGCCTGCCCTTTGTCTTGCAGATCTTGAGAAAGAGCGCGGGTACGTTCACTCGTACAGTCTAGGCTTCGATTCTTCCGTTAACGATGTCGCTCTGCCAGGATCGTTCGGACGATACCTCTCAACGAACGACCTTCTTGCATCGCCTTTGCTCCCGACGGCTCCGCCATCCTGCTCGGGACGCACGACGGGCGACTGCTGGTGCAGAACCTGCGCGCGTTGGACAAGCCCCCGACATCCACCTCGCTAGGCGACACCGTCCCGGTCGTAGCCATCTGCGTTCAGGTATGCACCACATTTCCTGCGACTCTCCGCGCACATCACTGATGCTTGGGCCAGGGCAAGGCACGAGCACCTCCCAAGACGGTCGACAGAAAACCCACCTCTACCCTCGCGTCCCCAGCACCGCGGCGAGCGTCCGCGCCGCACGCCAAGTCGCCGCGCCCGTCTACAAGCCGCACCAGCTCTGCCGCGGTCGCCAAATCACCGCTCGCTCGACGTGGAGCACCGTCCTCCTCCCAATCGCCACTCACGGCCAGGTTAGCCGCGAGCGTGTCGAAGGGCTCGACGGGCACGCCGATCACCCCGGTGCGTTCCAGGAAGGCAACAGAACCGGTTAGCAAGTCACCTCAGGTGCTCTTCCCCGTCAAGGACATTGGGAACGCGAACGCTCGAGGTGAGCGTGACAGCCTTGGCATCGGTTGAGTCTTCATGTCTTTACTGACACGCGCCATAGCTACGTCCACCTCTGCAAAGACAGGCAAAGCCGTGCGTCCCGCGCTGAAGGGCACCGCGAAGAAGGAGAACGAGTCAACGACACCCCGGTCCCCGCCGCCTAGCGGACTCGTTGCCACCAAGGGCAAACCGGCCGACGCGAGGGCGCGCGCCACATCTTCCGCCTCGGCGCGCGACCGTATTCGGCCCAGCGGTAGCTCGTCCTCAACCGCGTCCAAATCGTCCGGACGAGGAACGGTCCGCGAGCGCGAACCCCCTCCGCCCGTCCCGCCCATCCCGTCCGCCCACCGTATCGAAGCCGCGCCGCCGCAACATCGCCGAACGCGTAGCGCTGTGTCGAGTGCGAGTACCCGCACCCCGTCGCCCGACTTGCCATCGCCGTCGGACGACCCCGTCACGCCTCTGCCCGCCGGCCGGGCAAAGAAGATGAGCTTGGGCGTGCTGGGGCTCGGCTCGCCGCCGGATCCGGATACGGAGAAGGGCAAAGAGAGGGCCAAGGCGGAAGCAGACGGAGCGGACGGAGCCGTCCGGGTCGGGTTCGCGGACGACAGCGACGAAGACGGAGACGCGGACGACGGCGACGACGTCGTCGTCGTCGGCGCACCGCCGCAGAGAGAAACCTCGATGCAGATCTCGCCACGCCCCCCGCGCGCCTCCGTTCCGCACTGGGCCGTGCCCTCGCCGTTGCGCAACAGCCACGGCCCGAACGGCCTGCCGATACCCTCGCCCTCGCGCCCGGGGCTTCCGAGCGGCGCGCAGGAGCTGTTGCGGTCGATCGTCCAGGACGTGATGTTGGATTTCCGGCAGGAGACGCGGGCGGAGATGATGGGCCTCCACCTCGACCTCGTCCGCATGGGCCGCGGGTGGAAGAGCGAGCTTCGCGAGGCGCTCGGCGGCGTCGGCGAGGAGATGGAGCGCCTGAGGGAGGAGAATCGGGTGTTGAGAGAGGAAAACGAGCGGTTGAAAAGGGGGTATTGAGAGGGTTTTGTACTCGTGTACGCGGGGTTCTTTCGACTTTTTTTTTTCGAACATGTAATGGTCTATGGACTCGGGCTAGGGAAGTAACATATGATAACTCTCGTTTATCTGTGGAATATATGCAAAGCGTCCTGGGCATCGTGGTCTTGTAGTGAAGTGAAGGTAATAGCTTAGTATCTCAGTAATCCATTTCTATGCCAATCATAACGTATTGGTCTATTTTACCCAGATACACGACAGTAACCACGATTATGTAGTCGCTTGCCCTCGACCTGACGATAACAACCGACGAAAACGCAAGGAAGCCACAATTGCGAATGCCAGAACCATGCTTCACACTTCTCCTTCGCCCGGGGATTCGGCTGCGATGAATCGAGTCTCAAGGTCCGACAGAGCGGCGAGCTACCAGTTGGATGTCTTATATGCCCGGACGTCCGTATTCGATACGGTCAGTGCCAGTTATGGTAGGAGGGCGCGTGGAGCAGACACGCTGCACGCGCATCTACCGTGATTATGAAATACCTTGACTTACCGTTGATTACCGCCCCGCGCTCTCCGCACCATCCATGACCTGTCCTGAGAGACGATAGGCTCTGCCAAGAGGTGCATAGCGCTCCCTAGGCAGCCGGAGATCCGTAGACCCAAAGGCTACACGCCCTCGAAGTCTCACATCCCGGTTCCGCCGGCTCGGAATTCGCCAGCGCTAGGACGCCGACACTCGAACATCCGTACAAGCTCTCCCGAGGCGAGAAATCTCTTACACTATAGGTATGACTCCCTGGCTGTCTGCAATGGCACTCTGGGCGCACTCGTCTATATTGTCACCGCTTAGACGCTATCGGACTTGGGCTCAGATATCCTGGCGTCGGGCTTCAGTTTCGGTACCGCTCGGCCAACGTTAACAACATTCTCAGTGGCACCAAAACGCCACGTACTGACCGTTGTCGGCACGGCATCCCCTCAGAACCCTATCAGCTCGAACGACGTAGCCTTATCCCACATTGGATATGCGGAAGGTCCGATGGAACTGTTTACGCCCATATGGGATGTCCATTGCACGAGCTATCGATCAACGTGCACTATCTATACCCATACAACGACGAGGCAGAACATTTGGGGAGGGCGAAAAGTCTACCTGTTTCGTTCACACTGACGGCCGCGGTCATCGGCAGCTTCACAGGCGGGTTAGTTGTTACAGCGTCACCGTACTCTCCTGTGTCAACCTGGTCCGCGATTCTCGAACGATGTGATGTAACAGCATACGAGCGTATATAAGGACGACCCTTGTGCACGCTCCTATCCAAGACACAGTCCCAAAGACGAGCCCCCAAGATGCCTCACCACATCAGCACTGCTGCCAAGAGCACGTCACTTAGGCCTGCTGCCGACGTTTTATCCGTCGGAGATACGAACGACGTCAGTCGATTTTAGGATCCCGGACATCGTCTGAGACTGATACATCAGCGCAGACCGTGGATATCGACGAGGTTCGTGCGACAATTCGAGCGTTCCTTGCAAGATGCCAGATCCCGTATTCCAAAATGGCCTACGACCAAGAATTCGACCGACTCACCCGCGAAGATCTCACCCGCCGCCGATGCCCATTGGCCGGCCCACACAGCGTCGCACCTTATATTCCCCTCTCGGTATGGATTGCCAGAACCTCGTATGGGCACACTCCGCATGAAACGCAACTCTTCGTATGCGTGTTCACGGTGCTAGCAAGTTACCTCGACGACACCTATTCGGACGACACAACCGAACTCAATGACTTCAACACACGCTTTGTACGGGGACAAGAACAACGTGATCCCACCCTGCAATCCATGGATGAGCTCATACGCGAGATACCACAACGTTACGGCTTCTTCGCCTCGAACGTGATTGTCAACTCCATCTTAAACCTACCAACCGCTCTTTTACTCGAGAGCAGGACTAAGGGCATGTCGGTCAGCCATTTATATTGCCCATCGTTTCGACCATACCGAGCTAACCTGTTTTCCCCAGATTCGCTCCGGCGCCGTTCGATACCCATATTGGGCGCGAGTCATGTCAGGCGTATCGGAGGCTTACGCCCTCTTCGCGTTTCCTCCCGAGATGCCATTCACGGACTTCGTCCAGGCCATACCGGAAATCGTGGTGTTTATAAATTGCGCGAAGTGAGTGATCGCTATCACCCACGCGCGATAGCATTTAACGCCTGCTCGCCTTCTCAGCGACGTCCTTTCATTCTACAAGGAGGTACTGGCTGGAGAAAGCACAAACTATGTTTCCGTTGAGGCAAGGCTCCACCGCATTTCAAAGATCGAATCGTTGCGCAGAATCGCGGACGAGACAGCGACGTCGCACGAACGGTCGCAGCAGATGCTGGAGGCCTGCCCCAAAGCGTTGGAAGCTTATATGGCCCTGAGCCATGGATATGTAGCTTTCCATGCATGTTCCGAACGTTATCGCTTGAACGAAGCCGGTCTATGACCATGATAGTTTAATAGAACTTTCAAATTTCGGATTGGTTGCTATGATCGATTTTTGGTGCCCAAGCCAGAGCCGCGTGCTCTGGTTCGTCGGCGAGCCGCACGGGTGAGGGTCCCTCGCGCTCCAGCGGACTGTCCTGGGTTCGTTCCAGTCTTTCGCACATGTCGTGGTTTGTGGACTAGTGCTAAGGAACTTATATATGCTGACTCTCGTTTACTTGTGGAATTTATGCGAAGCGTCGCTGGCATGTTCATCTTACTCGAGCTCAAGTGATCCTGACAGGCATGGCTTGGTTATGGCCATGCATAACTCAATGACCGCTATTGGTACTTCCCTGGCCGTCTACCGACTCCCAGAACGAGCATCATGGGTAGCGACTCGCGTGTATCGTGGTGATTGGCTTGATTAGCATTCCCGTTAGGGTTGAGATAGGGAACATGATAGACATCGGGAAAAGGCCTATAGGGTCTGATAGGGAATTGACCATGGACCGGAAGCAGATATCTGCAATTGAACCTCCGCAAGACGAAAGGAGAGGTGTGCCTCAATGTGACGGCGAGTATACATACAGCGTACTAAGGATGATAAACTCAAGTAAGATAGAAAACCGTCCTGAACGGCCAGAGGGGACACTACCTCCGACGGTCCCGGTGACAGAGGGAAAGAGCCCTGCGACGTTCACGGCGAACATCAAACGTCCGGGAAGGACTCGCAGTATTTGCGGTGTAAGCGGATCAGATATTCCCGTTCCGTTCCTAGTATACGGAGGTGCCCTTGTCGATCCGCTTCATAGATGGTTTGTACCAGTGTGGCAGGAACAAGGCGATCGTCGTATTCCGCCAGGGCGTACAGATTCTCACACCACTGGCGGGACGACCATCCTCCGGCAGCTCCGGAGGCGACGAAATTCTGGATCGCATTGAGTAGACGGAGATAGGGTGCGCTCTCCAGTGAGCTACGCTTTGGAGCAACAGCGAACGCTCGCAGCGCGAACGAGCTAGCGGAGATGAACATTTCCCGGTGATTTGTATCCCACTTCGGCGGAACGCTATCGCAGAACACGAATGCCCTGGCCACCGTGTCGCATAGGTTGTGTACAGCTGTGTCACATCGAATGTTCAGAGCTGGGCGTGAACGACACTAGCCAGACCCTTACCGTCTAGGTCAACCTTGATATCACGAGTGCGAGCGAAGGTATAGAGCGATCGCATCACCATCGCCTTCAGGCGCACGTCGCTATACAGATTGTCTCCAGTAAGGGAAAGCATGCCGGTGCAATAGTCACGGCAGATGATCTGCCCGGCGGGGGGCATATACTCCAGAAGGGAATCTATCAGCGAGATAATGTCTCGCCGTGAGATTTGCCTCGTCGAGAGCGTCGGATCGACGAACGAAGGCAGTTGTTGGCACGACGTTAACACGTCCAACAGCATACGGAGCTGCCTCACGACCTCGCGCTCGACGCCGGTGGGATGGTAAGCCCTTTCCGGTAGGGCCAATAGCGCGAGATCATTATAGTGAACCTCATCCCATATTGGCCCGCATCGAGCAGGTGTGGATGTCCGGAGCAAGGCCACATCGTTGCGACGGATATAGGAAAGGACCTGATCGATGTCACAGGAGGATTTCTGCGCGACGACATCGAACGCCAGTCGCACACGCTCCGCTTCTGGCAGGTCTCGAATGCAGGGTGTGATAGCGTCGAGAAGATCATCGTCCACGATGCTCTTGTGTGCCCAAGCTAGAGCCACGTGCTCTAGGTCGTCGGCCAGCCGCACGGGATGGAGGTCCCTCGCGCTCCAGCTGACTGGCGATCGCGACATGGTCGCGCGCGAAAAGTCGTACAGAAACTTGAATGCCGACCTGAGTGACCGAGACGTCGCTCGTTGACGACGCCGGGCGAAATATCTGGGAATGCCAATGAGGAAAAACTTCCCCCAATGGCGAAGAACGAGCGACAGAGGAGTCAGAAGCCGGATGAGGAAGAACGACAAAGGGGACTTGTATGGGCAGCTGCTGGAAAATACCGGCATGAACGCCATGGCTACGGCCATGAGGAGGGTTATGGCGGTGAGGACAGTGAAAATGCCGGCGACAATCGGATGGAGGTTCCATAGCAGATCGACCAGCCCAATGAGAAACAATATTACGGCAACTTGCAGCAGCACAGGCAAGGCTCCGACAATCTCAAACACGCCCCACTTCATGAGGCCCTCGTATCTGTATTGTCGCATGCGCAGGCTTTCTCGAGGTGACGCCATGCCGAAGTTCGTATATTCGCGTATCCATTGTTTCTCCATCATGCCGAAGAGGGCTGCTGACAAGCTACAGGCGAGGCTGGAGAACCACAGGGCTTTTCCACGTACTGTCAGCGACCCGCAGAGTACATCGGTTGAAGGTACACTTACTGTTTATCCTAATGGCCGAATGGGTCACTGTTGCAGGGGAGAAGGAGGTCGCGGCTGAACCAGGTGGGTCCGCGTGGGTCACCAGATCCCTGAGTTGCACGTTAATCTGTTGCAGTATCGCAGCCGATGTTTCTGCCGGATCGGTCGAGAGCATCTGATAGCTTTCTGCGGCGAACGCTGTGAGGACGGCAGAGAACAAGCCAGCCTGTGAGTAGAACATCAATGATGGGGGCTAGGATGTCAGCGTAATCGTCTTACGAAAACGAGAAGACTGTCGATCTCCTCCTTCCAACCTGCGACGAGGGATTCATCATACTGTTTCACAGCGCGTGCACAGGCTGTCCATCCTTTTGAGGCATAAGTAAGCTCCGACAGGGAAATCGCCTCGAGACGCGTAGTTGTTCCCAGATGCTTTTGTTGTGATCCCTCAGTTGCGGTTCAGAATAGGCGGGGTCATTATGCTTACCTTGTTCTTGTCGTCGTCGAGCCCATTCGAGGACGACATGTCGGACCCATCATCCACCTCAGGCGGTGATTGAACAACCGTGTCTGCGTTCGAGGCGTAGCCACTGTCACCTCTCTGTGACACAGGGTGATACAGTCCTGATGAGTCTTGTCGTACACATGTTGGCTGGAAGGCAGTAAGATGGAGATGGCGCTAGCAACAATGGCATGTCTGACGCACCTCAGCTAGTTCACGGCCCGAGGCAATAGGCGATGACATATGGGTCTTAGCAGAACAGGGTACGCAGTTCACGGTACGCCGACTCATACGATGCTTGGCGCCTACAAGCTATACATCCGCAGCCCTGTGGGCCGTGGTTTGATTGTGCATAGCCATGACCGAGAAGGCGATGTTTGATCGCAACAATCTGCTATGAAGTCTCGCAGCAGACAGGACGAAGTGAACGATTTGTTGGTGAGAATGATATGCCTTGAACATTACGAGCCTTAGTGGTGGAGGAAGTAAAGTCGTGGCCGCCAAGTCCGCGTCGCGTATGTAGTGCCGTGTGCGAAGGCACGCGTCGGGCTTGTTCTCCTACCAGGACAAGAGAGGTATGCTGATACCACCCAAGGCAATCAGCAACTCTGAATTCCTTCGTTTGCTTAAAAAATGCACTCCGCCTACGGGATGGCCCAGCAAGATTGGTCCGTGACTACCGCTGGCACTCAGGCCCTTCAGCTCATCGAAGGCATTGAACTCCAGCCGTCGCGAACTCTGGAGGACCGGATTCAACATGCCTCCTCTTCCTCCTAAAACGCGCCATATCGGGCATCTTTGGTCCCGAAGACCAGATACCCCTAGTCTCCCTCAGCGTAGACCACAAGCTCCAAGACTCTTCCAGCGCCATGTCCGCGAGGGCCGAAGCAACCGCGAAGTCTCTAGGAGTGCAGCACATCACGTCCTCGGTTCAGTGGGGGACTCATCCCTTTCCACCGAAGCCGACGAGTCACACTGCGCTAGAGAGACGAGCACGCGACGTCCGATATCACATCTTATTTCGCGACATGGTCCAAGCCGGCGCGGGCGCGGTCGCGTTCGGGCATCATGCCGACGACCAGATAGAGCTTTGCCTCATGCGAATGGCTCGAAGTAGCACTGAGATAGGTGCAGCCGGTATGAGGTATTGCCGTAGGTGGGGAATGGGCCATAGCGAGGGTCAACTGGCCTGGGCAGGCTACGAAGGCATGAGCAGATGGATTATCCGGCCTATGCTCGGCTTCACGAAGGTGCCTGCCGCTCAATCCTATGATGAATGATACCCACTTATATGACTACGTCAGGATAGAATTTTGGCAACTTGCGACGAGCATGCGCTCGAATACGCGGTTGACCAGACCAACTTCCAACCGGAGTTGACCATACGCAACTCCATCCGCCACTTACTCGCCGGCAACCTCGACATTCCCTTGCCGCGTCAGAAAGAGATAGACGCAATACAGCAAGGCGCCGCACGTCTCAACGTGGACAACCTTCGATCCCCTGCCGCCCGAGTGCGATTATATAGTATATTGGAGATGTTTGGAGAGCAACGAGAATACATCGATGAACAGGGTACCTTACCCCCCTTAACACCGATATGCTCATCTCTAAAATGTCTGATTCACAGTGACATCCGAGCTGTCCCGGTTACTCGTTCCCAGCCCGCCGTCGACGATCGCTTTCCCGACGGAGGCGCTCGGAAAGATCACTGATCCCGTCGTTCTCGCTCAGCTACTCATGCGCATAATTCGTTATGTCTCTGCGCGCCCATGGGGATCCGTGAAATCAGAAGCAGGACGGTCGTCCTCCTCGATTACAGGGATAATCAACGGATTACTGGCAACAGACCCGTTCCCCTATACTCCTTCCCCTTCGAGGATGAAACGCCGCCTCCTGGATTCTCGCAAACGTTTCTCTGGTGGATCTGACGTCTTATGGGAACCTGTTGCTATCAATGCGCGAGGAGGCATACGTTACTCAAGCGGATCCAAGTTTGGTGAAGGCGAGAGACCCGGATGGCTCGCCATGCGCCTTAAGCCGATGTTAGGAAACGATGCCTTGACAATAGACATCACGAAACCGGTACAAGACGCACTCGGAATCCAGCCCGGACCGTCCAGCGCCCGTTCGAAAGAGGAAGTGCACATTTTATGGGACAATCGTTTCGTGGTTCGTATCCATCCCCATCGTATGCCCTCCCATCTCTGCCGTTTGCTTGCGTCGTCACTACCAGCGGCCACTATGGCAATTGAAGCGGATTCCGAAAAGTACTGCAGCAAGTGGTATTTGCCCAAGGTAACCCTCCGCTGCGCAGGCGCAGAAGAACTTCAGCCATCTACATCCGCCCGAGATCAAGTAGACGATGCCCAGACACTTGCACGTATGCGACCTACGTTCTCGCAGCCTTTTCTGCAGCCTCAAACGGAAAGAGCCATCAAGATATCAGCGCCCGCGAAGCCCAGAACCCTGGAATCTGACTGTGACTGGGTATCATTCGAGTTTATTCGGCCACTTGACGCGTTATGAAGGATTGGTCGCATGCTTCCCTCCGGTGCTTGGTCCGTATTATCTCCTCCTTAACTTCCTTAATGGTCTTTTCTGATTTCCTGTCTTTCTCTGGATGTAGTCACCATCCTGTCTACTGCACGAGGCAGCCATGAGTGCTATATTTACCGCTTGCACCATGACCATGCGTGAATCGACTTCATTACGATTGCCAAATCGTCACGAGATGCACCTTTTGCATATGCAATACCCCTCCCCATCCAAAGTTACCCCCGCAACACCGATTGTATTCTACGCAGGACATCCGATAAAGCATGGTCGCCTCTCTGCTTCTATGGTTGTACCTGCTATCAGTGCTCTAGGAGCTCCGGCCCGATCGATTATATTTCACCTCATGCGTCCTAGAATGTGCACCTCCTTGAGAACGAGATCGAAAAACCCCCGTATCCTGTTCTGTGCATGTCGTGGCATGGCGCTCGGTACTTGTCCCGCGTATCCCCGGTTTGGCGTGTTTACCGATTGCCAGCATCGTAATTCCGGTTCGGAAGCCAGAGATTGCCCACGCTGGCGTATGTTCGCTGCAGTGGTTCGCAGACGGAACTTCGTCAGAGGATCGCTCAGGCGGCCGAATTCGGCTTGTCCGCGGGCCATTCTCGGCGGCTCCCTGCTAGGGCCCGGCATCGACATCAAGCCTTCACCTATTCCTCGGAAGCAGTGGCAATGACATGCTACAGCTGCAGACCTTCTGATCAGGAGTGTGTCCACCTTGAGCAATGGTCTTCTATCTTGGACGCAACCCGATCATTGCTACAGCCTGTGGTGGTGGTGGTGGTGGTGGTGGTGATGGAAGACAGCGACCCTGTCAAGTAACCGCTGGGCCCGGGCCAGCGAATCCGTTCTGGTGCTCTTCCGCCGGGCTAGAATATCGCTGAGAGAAGTCTGTGGCACGCTGGGAGCGGAGACCAAAAAGGGGCCAATGTCACGCGAAGTACTGCACGATTGTCAATAGGGAGGTGTAAGTGAATCAGGCCCGTGAGCGATACGTGGAGCCTGTGCTTCTCGTCCGCCTGTGCACTTGTGAGAGGGGTCAGTATGTGCCCGCACGACTATGGAAATCGGCCGCCTCATGGGGTCTAGTACGGAGGGGGGGAGGACATGAAATCATGTATAGGGGTACCCATTTACGGTCTACCCGCATCATGCTCCACAGACGCCCATGTAATTGAGCAGAGTATACAGAGATAAGCACACAAATATCCTCGGCCAGCAAAATGTCGGCCGCGGGCGACACACGCGTTGCGGCCGTGTAGTAAACCTGACTTGTACACGCAACGACCGCGCTCCGGGTCCCAAGCTGCGATCAGCTGCATGCACAGGCCGTCCTCCGGTCTTGGTCACGCACGCCAGCAGGACTGCATCTGCAGACACGACTGACATTACCGTCCGTCGCTCATCACTTCGGGCCATAAACCTCCGAGTGAACGGGCTGCTGATCCAGTGGAGATGAGAGAATAATGACTGAGAACCTGGAAGACACGCCACGCCGCCGTCTGACGCCGGCGCTGGAGATGGCGCGTGCGCGTTGGACTGTCATACACGCGAGGTCATGCGAATCTTCTCGCAATGTCTCACTTTAGGTCTCGTAAACGTGATATAGTAGTTCGTTCGAACGACGTTCTGATTGCAATTGAGATGCGGATCGACTAGATGAGTGTTTTGTACACGTATAAGTTAATTGTACATTAGATGGCACGAGGCGACACGCATTAAGGTTTTTTTTAGAGCGGTCAAATTGCAGATGTGATGCCAGCGGATGCATATGATGAGAGAAGATGCAAGTGAGCGTAGAAGTCGAAAATAAGAAAACGGAGATGCAATGAATGTGGCGGGGGCGCGACGAGAATCATATCCAGATATCGGACGACCGCGGAGGCTGATGTATTTGTGCGGGCGCAGGTGCAACCTTCGAAGAGCACAGTTTGTGCCCGTATCGTCGGGGAATGGGGAAGTGGAGGAGCAGATCGAGCGTGCTCGATCGTCGTGGCCGTGAAGGCCGCGAGAGCTTTGATTTGCCCGTAGAAGGCTCGAGGACTTCGTCGGTGATGTCAACCTCCATTGGCGAGTGCGATGGCACAGGTTCGTGTGCGGGCAGGTCGGGTAGATATTGCAGCTGATCTGGCGTCCGAGGCGAAGAAGACGCTGTTGACGAACCGGAGCTGGAGGAGGGAGAGGACAGTTCGGGCACCTCGCTGTGGCGGGGCGAGGTGTGCTTTGACGTGCGCTTGCGCGAGGTAAGACCACGAACGCGCTTAGCGGATGGGGTGGGAGAGGCGAGCTGATCGAGACGGCGATGGTGCGGGAGGAGCTCGTCCTCGCGCACGCCAAGCTCCCAGTTGAGCACATCGAGGAACTCTCGCTCGATGCGCATGATGTCGGCCTTGCCGAAAACGCCCGTCGCCCACGCCCAGTGGACGTTTTTGAGCGTGGAGTCGTTGCAGTACTAATAAAAGTTATCATCAGTAAAGAAGTCGAGATAGCAGACAAGCGAGCGAACGTACTTTGGAAGCAAGGATGAGTGCTCCGAGGAAGACACGCTCGCAGGCCCATTGTTCGAGGGCGATCTGGAGGTGCGGCTTCGCACGCTCGATGTAGACAAGCGTGACTAAGAGGGTGGGCATCGAGACCTCGGCGGCGCGGAGGACGTGCGATGCAAGATTATGAAAGGAGTCCGTCATCTCTTGCTTCAGCGAGCGCCCGCGAGTCTGCTTCGAGGTGGATGGGGCCGAACGCGAGAGCGCGTAGTTGACCGTTTCCCTCGTGACCTGGACGGCGTAGTCTGCAAATGAGATCAGCGTCTTTCTGAAAAAGCATGGAATGCATGTTGGGACTTACCGATGGAGGTACGGGAGATCTCGCAGTCAAGAAGACCTAGTAGTGCTGGGTCGTGCATCGAGGCATCGACCATGCTGGAGGGGTGTACCACGGGGGAGGAGTATGCGACCATGGCCGTTGGGGACGGGGGGCGGAGGTTGACGAGGGGCCGGGCAGAGGACCATGGCGGGCTATATACTCCTGCGGCGGACTCGGAGGCGGGTCGTGGCCGGCTGAGTAGGCTGTCGTGTCCTCAAACCGAAATGACTGCGGCGATGCTGGGCGCGATCTCAGATGGGATCTGCGCTCTTGTCATGTTTCCCGATATGGCAGCCAGTCACACTGCCGTGACTCACCCGCCGAGTCAGCACCATCCGTCCACCTCGGGCCAAGCGGCACGCCGAGCGCGTCAGTCCGGCCGGCGCCGCTCCCCATCCGCGCCCCTCGCACCGTGTCGCACGCATCCAGCCTCGTCTGCAAATCCGCTCAGGCGACGCTGCAAACCTGTCTGAGCTGCACTCGCAAATCGCAGCGCAATATGCGACCACTCGTTCGCATCGAGCACCGTTAGCTGGAGTTGCTCTGTAAGAAGGGCACGATCGCTGACTGATTCAGGTTTCGGTAGATTGCCTGCCCGCTGACTACGCCCCATCATTCGACTCGGGAGCGTCGGCTCGGCGTTATTGCGCCAGCCCCCATTGATATATCGGCAGGATTACAACTCAACCTAAGACACCACATTTGATCGACTCATTCTGCTGGGGACCTATGTCTCCTGATTTACGGAGTAACCGGTGTGAACACTATACCACCGCAACGCCAATCCTGGCGCGTTTCCGCCCACCGAGTGCGACGAGGCCGTGAGAAGTTTCTGTTCTTTTGCCCAAAGTAGTGCCCGACGCTCTCGTGGGTTCGCTGTGATACGTACAGAAGTGTAGGAGCGATCTTCAGGACGCTCTCAAAATACCAAACTTCGCATCGAAGGTGACGATGTCGTGCCACTGGCGCTGCCTAGAACAGCGACGTAGTGATAGAACCCCACCTTTCTGCGAATGTGGCTATCTAGAGACCGCAGGCTATTGCCGTAGGGATGCGGCTCTAAGTTACATGTGGCAATGACGTCCATGCGGCAGCGGGCTCGGTCAGAGTTGTTGTCATTCCGTTTACCCCCTCGTCCCGTCCTATGCTCCAGCAGTGACGAAGGTGCGCGTGACGCTTCGTTGCACAGGCGAGAACGGGCGACAAACCGCGGGTGCGATGATGCAGCAACGGCAAGGGGCCCCGGACTGCGGTCTGTTCACGAGCGACCCGCAGAGACGCAGATCTTGGCGAGATGCTGGGACGATGTTTGGCGGCGACGACGACGACTCCTCGTCGGCACTGCCGCTGCACGGCTGCCCTGCCGCACCTACCGCGTCCCGGCGCGCACGCCTGTCACGACTCACGTGTCACGCCGCCGCGACGTGGCGCAGTTTGGCGCTCACCAATCCGAATGGCGTGCCGCGATATCTATGGTCGTATAAGTAACAAGATTCGTGCGTAGCCGGTACAGTGATAGTAGTATTCGTAAGCTCCTCCTTCTTCCTCCCCCGCGCGCGAAGGAATCGAGCTGCGAGCGTGCGCGACTCAGACCCACGCTAAGGTCAATCTTATCTATATAGCCCCATCGTCCTCAGCGTACCTGACTCATCGGACGTGGATCTGACCACGACACCTGAATCAAGTTAGCGTTCAAACCCACCAGGGCCCGCCGAGGCATCGAGATCTCGTAGGATCGTGGTCCGTCGCACCTTTCAGTGTACATACGATCTCTTGAGGGACCATCTATCACCGGTGTCGCCGCCCTCCGGTACACACTGACTGTCAATCCTGAGCATGCTCTGGACCAGCCAAAGTCGCTCGAAGCAAATGGCCGTCTATCGTCACGCTGGTGCTTTCATGAGCATTCGCCGATGATGCGCAATCGCAAAAACCCACCCCAGTGGGTTTATTCCGTCCTTCCGAGCCGGACGCGTTACTCAACGGCAAGGGAACTCCCGACGCCTCCCGACGCCTCCCGACGTCCTGATCGGGACGCGTGCGAAATGCCGCCCCGACGACCAATACAAACCTTTAAATTTCGACCACCGCCGTGTCTGCCCGAGAACCGCGTCCATCTGCAACGCACCGGCGTCATCGTCGGGCAATGAGCGAATGGCACAATGGCCAGGCTCCTTAACCAGCCGCTCGTATCGCGTCGAACTCCCAAATCCTAGGGCGGTAGTCAATGTTGTAACAGAGTAATAGATCATGTGAACTCAGGGGTAAACAATCATGTGATCTTTCCTTTTATATCCTGGGCTTGGGGGAGTACGACGCGATAGAGCGGCTGGCGGATCATGTATTTCAAATTCTCGGCTTCGCTCGGCATACCCGCTCAAGAACGAGCATGAGGTTGGAAGAAAGTATAGTGGCTGTGCCATAAATCAAGCCCGTTGTGGGTGCTACTACTGGGGTCCTACCACGTCCACCAAAGCGGCATATACTGACTGTGTCTCTAGCAGCACGCGTCAAGGAAGTCCCGAGGTCGTCGAAGTCCTCCTTGGGGATGTTCTGCGCCTTGCTGATCCGGGAGGAGAGCTCGTTCAGTGCGGAGAGGACCGCACTCGCGTCGAGCGAGGGGCCCTGCGGAAGCGCCGGCTGCGGCCGAGGCGCACATTCTCAATGGGGGTGTTGGACGGGAAGAAGAGGCTAGCGACGGAGTGCGGGAAATATAGTTATATAGGCTTGCATTGCGGGAAAGAGCGAACCGCGATGACGAAGTGGTTATTGCGTCGTGTTTGAGCTCTTGTTTTTGCAGGAAGGCACAGGTTCGATCCCCGGCGGTTGCCTTTTGTTGTACATTTGTCCAGTGCTATACCTATAAACAAGGTCATATACAATTACGCTCCACATCATACCGGTGTTGTGTTAGCTCAGCGGTTAAGCGTCTTTTACTATTGGTTTTGGTGGCAGTCCGCCTCGCGCGTTCGAGTCCGACCATTGTGTCTCTTTTTAACAATTGTTTCCTCCTGCTTCCCTCCTCACTTTTGCTCAGGCCGCTTGCTCTCGTACTTAGGGTGCTTACTCTGCTAAGGGAGTGATTTGTACTGTAATATGCATTGGACCGGCCTGAACTGTCGAAACTTCTTGCAATTAGGCTACGGTGGGCCTCGGGGTCCTTGTGGCGGTGCTTTGTATTATGCCGGATCACGCTTTCGGAATAGGCGTGTTTCTTGAGCGGGTATGCCGAGCGAAGCCGAGAATTTGAAATACATGATCCGCCAGCCGCTCTATCGCGTCGTACTCCCCCAAGCCCAGGATATAAAAGGAAAGATCACATGATTGTTTACCCCTGAGTTCACATGATCTATTACTCTGTTACAACATTGACTACCGCCCTAGGATTTGGGAGTTCGACGCGATACGAGCGGCTGGTTAAGGAGCCTG